GCAAAAGTCTGAAACATTGGATGTAGACATAACTAAACTAGGATTATTGTGATCTAGTAGTCACGAGTTCGCGTCCCGGTGCCGAGGGAGTCTTTTAAATCCCCGCCCACACCCCCTGGCCCGGAAAAAACCCGTATAGCCTTAAAGTCAACGAAGGGGAGGACCTCCCCCCCCCCAAAAAAAAAAATGATTCTGTCATATTATTAGATCCAGTGAAAACGTTGGGTACTCTTCCAAATGCCTATTAGTTCCAGCGGAACCGTTTATAACTCTTCCTCAAAGGCCCGCTTGTCAGGTCCTATTGTAATACAGGGTGGGCCAGACCCCCTTACCGTGCACCCCCCCCCCCACATCCCTATAAATTGCATATCGTTGTGTTCCTTGTGACAATTTATTTAAAAAAAGCCAATATTCCCACAAAAAAAGTGAACGAACTGCCCCAAAATGGCGTCCAAACATGGCGGATTGACGACTTTGACTTTAGTTAGTTTTTTTGTTACTGAGAATCAGTATTTGGCTTAATTTCATTATAGTTGGTCTTTTATTAAAGCTGGATAGTCAGAGAATAATAAAACATGAAAAAATATTAAAAACTAATTGGCTTAGTCATTAAAAAAAATCGGTAAAGTCCATTTTTTTTACAAAAAAATTTTCGAGTTGAAAATCAAGCGTCGTTTGTAATTAAACGGTCAACAATAATGCAAAACGTGCTGAAATAAAACATCTGGAGAATACATTTCTCTTTCTAAAACACTGATTACTTTTTAAAATATTTGAAGTAGTTCCGTAGAAAATGTACTTAAGCGGCAGAAAAGCGCTACTGGCGTAGGTGCCTACAGGCCTCTACCACACCACTCAGTACTCATAAATGGCTTAGTTATAGTGCTATAATAACGTTTTTGTTATATTTTATTGATTATATTAACGAACAAATATTAATACAATAATTTAATTGTAAAAAATTATTTTTTTTTAAATTTATTATTTTTGTTTTTATTTTTCATTATTTTTTTTTTAATTTAACTTCATTTATTCTATACGGAGATCGCTTCAGAAGGCCTCTATTATAAAAATTATAAAATTATAATAATAAAACTTAATTCAAAAATACTTTGCAGAATATCTTGATTTTTTTATTTAATATTTGCAATTTAACATTTTGTTTTATATATTTACTGATTCTTAGAGGTAATTTAAATTGTATATACTTCCCTGGAAATGAGTCATATTAATATCTGTTTTATAAACTAAAGTAATATATACCTAATCAGAACTGCTTTTAATGAATAGGTGATGGATTGTTTAGTAAAATTGTTATATCGCTATTAAAAAAAAACATTTTTATTTCCTTTATTTTATTCGGAAGTTGGACCATATCATAAAAAATAGGAACTTTTAATATTAAAGTGCATTATTCCCTCTGCACAAAAGAAATATGGAAAGGGCGAAGCTATAAGTTCTTCTAGGTAACTGGAACTGATTGTTAGTATTTGGTCTCAAAATGAGGGAAAACGCGAAATTGAACCCAAACATTGGAAAAATACATTAAGCGAACGACAAAGGAAGTGCAAAAATTTCGGAAAAGAAAACAAGGATCAGTATCCATTATATGGCTAAACGAATATATAGTAGACAGATGAACAGAATATTTCAAGATGCTGCTAAAAGAGGATAAAAATGCTTGATGGGTTTGGATGATGTTAAGCAGGTTTATTATGGTGAAGAACACTTTATCAGCAAGAAAGATTTGCTCTAAGCAATTGGCAAGCAGGTCTGGAGGAAGTAAACGAGGTTGATAATGGTGTAAACCACTTTATTTTAGATTGCTATTGAAGTTCTACATTGGGACTATCTTCACTTTGAAGCAGGTTATAGAGAGGTCTATTGATAAAAGGAAATAGCTCTGCTCCTCTTTAGTGCAATTGCAAAAGATTTTTGAAGGAATCTGAAAGGAAACGAGCTTTTGTGAAGGACTAGTAGATATTCGATCAATCCAAAGTGTGAGGCACTAAGCAGATAGAGAACCATTTTTCTTTCTCTGTGGACTTCTCTATAACCTACCGTGAAGTGAAGACAGTCCCAATTTGCAACTTATGCTCAATGTGCAACTTGAGTTTCTCAATCCATATCGCTCAGGCAATCGACAATATTTCTAATTTTAGCTTCTACGATTCTTCAGTAGACTTTCTTTGGTACTATAAACAGTAAGGAATCTCGAATAACATTTCCTAGTATCTCATTTCCTATAAAGGGACAAAACTACAGTCCTTTCATATATATTTTTAATTCATTTGTAGCATTTGTACGCACAGCATTTCGGGTTACTTCTTCCAGACTAGCTGACTTGCCAATTGCCTAGAACAAATCTTTCTTGCTGATGAAATGGTCTTCACCACAATAAACCTGCTTAATATCATCCAAACTGATCAAGCATTTTTACCCCCATTTAGCAGAATCTTGAAATATTCTGTTCATTTGTCTAATATATATTCGTTTAGCCATATAATGGATACTGATCCTTGTTTTCTTTTCCAAAATTTTGGCACTATCGTTCGCTTAATGTATTTTTCCAATGTTTGGGTTCAATTTCGCGTTTTCCCTCATTTTGAGACCAAATACTAACAATCAGTTCCAGTTACCTAGAAGAACTTATAGCTTCGCCCTTTCCATATTTCTTTTGTGCAGAGGGAATAATGCACTTTAATATTAAAAGTTCCTATTTTTTATGATATGGTCCAACTTCCGAATAAAATAAAGGAAATAAAAATGGTTTTTTTAATAGCGATATAACAATTTTACTAAACAATCCATCATCTATTCATTAAAAGCAGTTCTGATTAGGTATATATTACTTTAGTTTATAAAACAGATATTAATATGACTCATTTCCAGGGAAGTATATACAATTTAAATTACCTCTAAGAATCAGTAAATATATAAAACAAAATGTTAAATTGCAAATATTAAATAAAAAAATCAAGATATTCTGCAAAGTATTTTTGAATTAAGTTTTATTATTATAATTTTATAATTTTTATAATAGAGGCCTTCTGAAGCGATCTCCGTATAGAATAAATGAAGTTAAATTAAAAAAAATTAATGAAAAATAAAAACAAAAATAATAAATTTAAAAAAAAATAATTTTTTACAATTAAATTATTGTATTAATATTTGTTCGTTAATGTAATCAATAAAATATAACAAAAACGTTATTATAGCACTATAACTAAGCCATTTATGAGTACTGAGTGGTGTGGTAGAGGCCTGTAGGCACCCACGCCAGTAGCGCTTTTCTGCCGCTTAAGTACATTTTCTACGGAACTATTTCAAATATTTTAAAAAGTAATCAGTGTTTTAGAAAGACAAATGTATTCTCCAGATGTTTTATTTCAGCATGTTTTGCATTATTGTTGACCGTTTAATTACAAACGACGCTTGATTTTCAAGTCGAAAATTTTTTTGTAAAAAAAATTGACTTTACCGATTTGTTTTAATGACTAAGCCAATTAGTTTTTAATATTTTTTCATGTTTTATTATTCTCTGACTATCCAGCTTTAATAAAAGACCAACTATAATGAAATTAAGCCAAATGCTGATTCTCAGTAACAAAAAAACTAACTAAAGTCAAAGTCGTCAATCCGCCATGTTTGGACGCCATTTTGGGGCAGTTCGTTCACTTTTTTTTGTGGGAACATTGGATTTTTTTTAATAAATTGTCACAAGGAACACAACGATATGCAATTTATAGGGATGTGGGGGGGGGGTGCACGGTAAGGGGGTCTGGCCCACAGACTATAACATTCGTAATTTTTATACTGAGGCCCGCTTATTAGGTCATATGGTACCACTTGGAACTTTTATAATGAAGTCCGCTTATTAAGTTCTACGGTACCATTCGGAACTTTTATACTGCCTGCTTATGGGTTATTTTTTTAGTCCGATAAAACTTCAACGGTCTAATTCCCAACACTTTAGAAGGGATGTGGAAAATTATTTTAATATGTTCTAAGATTTTTTTTTTTTAAAAGAAGAAAACGTAATAGTCACTTTTATAAGACGTTATAAAAATTAATTTATTTCAATATTTAAAAAAGTCATTTAATTGGCATTTCTAAAAAAAAATATTGTTGGCTGTGTGACTTTGTTGTTGGCAATAAAAACTTCTAATTACTGAAAAAAAAATGTATATTTGCTATAATTCATACAAAGTTTACGTTTCGGGATACAATTTCCATCTTTAGAACTTTATTCCAACCTTTCATAAGCAATTAATAGCTAAAACCTCATGTTGTCCTTTAACATAATTATAAATATATAAAAGTAATATCTGTTTATATATAATAAAAACTTTAAACTATGACAAAGGAACACACGAGGTTTTAGCTATTAATTGCTTATGATAGATGGGAATAAAGTTCTGAAGATGGGAATTGTATCCCGAAATGTAAACTTGGAATGAATTATAGCAAATATACAACTTGTTTTTATTAATTAGAAGTTTTTATTGCCAACAACATAGTATTTTAAACAGATTCTTAGCAAAAAAAAGCAAACATAGGAACAAATACATTAGAAACATTTTTAAAGTCTTATTTAGTAATTTAAATGAATAAATATGTGTTAACACACTTATAAAAAGTTATAAATGTTTCTTGTCTAGCAGTAAAATCTAATTAATAGTAAATATAAACTTTTCTTTCTTATAATAAGAATATTTACTCTAAATGATATTTATTGTTTATAGAACCGTTCTATTGGATCTGTTCGTCCGCGAACTACTCATGTCATAACATTTGAAATGACGGGAGCCTTGTTTGAAGATAATGTTTTGATTAAAAGTGTTCATAAATTAAGAATTTACGCACTAACGAATTAGATTATTATGGTATCAAATGAAATAGATGATTGCAGAGCAATATTTAATAATTTTATGGGATGATATATTACCCATGTTAAAATATTAAATGAATTTGTTTTTGTGTGATTATTTTTGATTAAAATGGAAGAAGATTTTCTTTCCAAAAATAATCCTTGTGGGCAAACTCTCCTACAACTAGTGTCTAGGGGCAATGCTGTAATAGCTGAAATTTCTAGATTGAAAGACCACATACCACCTGTTTTCAAGTATTAACCATTTATCTTATTTAATGGGATTGGCCATTGGTGTTATTTGGTAATATTTATTGTATTTTAGGCTTGATAACAAATCGGATCAACAGAAGTATGGAGACATCATTCATGATTTTAATTATTTCACCTCTTCAGAAGCAATAGATAAAAAGATTGAGGCAAATGAGGTATTCTTGCAAAATGTGCTGTATAGCCATTTAACATCACTATTTGTTTCAATTTAGAAATGATTATCTTTCTTCACAGAACCTTCAGGATATTTCGGATGAGCTATGGGAGCATTACGGTGATATATTGGAAAGATTTTATAATGCCTATGAAAGTATATTCAAATATATAAGGGACTTGAACTTTTTCTTAGAAGAAGTTGATGAAGGAGTATATATTCAACAGAATCTGGATACTATTTTCCTGAGTGAAGATGGATTGCAGTTAATGGTACTTGTCAAAGCTGTCAAAACCGATATATATATATTCTTGAATATTTCTTTATATAGTATATGTTTTAGTGTGAAAGCATTTATTTGTATGGTGTTATGCTGTTCTTAATGGAAATTTATCATACTTCTCCAGTTCGGGAGAGATTAGTTGTGGCCTATTCTAGATATAAAACTGCAGATACTCTTGATCATGTCTGTCAATTAATCAGGTCTACAGGGTTCACCAATACTGCTGGTGTCAAAAGGCCCATTAATTATCCACAAGATCTTTTCAAGTAAGCCACTTGCAAATATTTTTATTAACTTGGATAAAATTTAAAAATTCTTCTTTTCTATTATCTAGAAATAATATTTAGCTTAAATGCTATTTCATTTCTCTTGTTCAAATCCTTTGCTTACTGCTGTACTTCATCATATGAAATTATGTTACTAGTTCTGAATTACTACTCCTAGATGGAAGCTGATTTCAGAATAATTAGAATGTAATGCTGGGGCCATATAGGCGGAGCTGTGATTCTGTCACAGTGACTGGGCCGGAGCTGGTGATCACAGTGACAGGTGCACTGAAATCACAGTGACAGTCACTGTAGGCGCTGTGAAATCACTGTGCTCCTACAGTGACGATTACTATTGGCGCTGTGAACGCCTGGATGAAAAATCACTCCACTCTATCACTCCTATCACTCCAGGGATCTGGGCATTGTTGATATCGATTATTTAATAAATAGATTAAAAAAATAATCATGAAATAATTATTTCTAAAATAATAGTTATTCGTCAAATTTTATTAAAAATACTTTTTGAACTTAAGAAGAATTGAACATTCATTGCCATATATTTCTGAATGAGTTATGTCTGAAAAAATTAACGTAAATTTTTTCATTTAACTGTTGAAATATAAGTAAAAAATGAATTAAAAATTAAATAAATTCCAATATTTTCTGCAGGGATGTATACAGAAACCAAGGGATTCCAGAGATATTTATCTCCGTTAAACATAAAATTTATCACTGGCAAAAAAAAAAAAAATCTATTTTCTGTTTTAATATAAATTTAAACACGTAAACTGTGATTTCACAGTGACACTTTCGTCAAGGAGCCATTGTATACTTATCACCAGAAACAAAATCACTGTAGTGACATATCGCTGTGATTTGTCACAGTGATGTTATCTGAACTGTCACTGTCAGAGCTATGAAGGAAAATCTCTGTCACACCCCATTACTATTAGAATGTTTATGTTAGGTTGGGTAGGCTTTAGTCTGCCACGTTCCGTTCTTATTACATATCAATAAAAGAGTGAACCAACTTCAAAATCAAAATATTTGTCATCTGTTCATCGAAACTTACACTTTTTCCTTGAAAATAAATCAAACTATTAGGCCTTAAAAGGTTACATAGTTATGAAGATATTTCTTTTTTTTTAGATTGAACTCTGATCTGAGTTTTTTTTTATTATTTAGAATAGTATAACTTCAAAAAAATATTAAGGGTTTAATTTTATAATTTATGTTAACTGTGCTTTTGGCTGTACAGAGAACAAATATGTGTAAATTATATGTTTTATACCTAACAATTTGCAAAACACACATTTCATTATTATCCTATTTTATCTTTCCCCTGGACTGGGAAAAACCCTGGATAGCCGAAAGGGCAAGAAAAAAAAAAGAAGAAATAAATGACTGTGCGAATTGGACAGGGTGGGTCTTAAGAAACACAGGGATCACTGTTAATTTAATTATCATGTGTTCTAACTCAGGCTGACGGAAACACCTCTGTGCAGGTTCTGCCACAAAGAGGATGAAACAGCATTTCATTTAATCTGTCAGTGTGACTGAGCTTCTCAATCCTATTTAAATTCATTGTTATATTAAAAGTAATGTTTTAATGTAAAATAAATTAATATAGCTCACAATAGGCCTTAGGAGGAAGCAGTACATTCAACCACTGATATTTTATTCTTTTCTAAAGTTTCTTTGTTGTATTTTACATTATTATTGTTATTATAATTCTTTTTTTAATTTAAGTATTTTTCTCTTAAGCCTGCTTTTAAGTAGACAGTGGTCTAAATTTATTCCTGCAGCATAAGTCCTTTTATTCTTAGTATCTTTTATTTGATATTTTGTTCACTTTTAAAGTATCTATTGTAATATTGACACGTTGAACAGATTAATAATTTGGGTTTTATCTTTCCTTTAATTTTACAAAAATATTTTATGTTAATTAGGAGGATTCCAATAGATGAAAAGTTTCTTGATTTAGTCATAGGAAAGCTCCGTACTGAAGATATTTATCATCAACAAAAAGCACTCCCTCAACCTCAACATTCAACTACTGCTTTTGCTCAACAAGCAGCTATGTTATTTGTCATACTTTTTTTTGCTCCTAATATTCTTCATCATCAAACAGCGAGAATGAGGGAAATAGTAGACAAGTTTTTTCCTGATAATTGGGTAAGAAATACTAATTTTACAAAAGCTGTTTGTAAGCAGATTTGTTTACTTAATACACTTTTTATTTCGAATCAGAACCACTGCTGTTTCAAATGCGACCTGAAAGTTAAAATTTATTTTTTTGGATAACTCACAGAATAAATCTCATACATACCACTTTGGCTATAATAGTGTGGTTGCTTAAAGAATAACACATCCTTCTTGCTCTTGTTGGGCTGTTATTTTAAAATTATAAGGATGACAAATAATCAGCATTTGCAGTTCTAAAGGGTTTTTGAGGCCTGCCGACGATTCAACCCAAGGATGGGGATCATCAGGGCAATGGTTACTGCCTAGTCTAGCATAAATAGCTTGATTGACTAGCCAGTAACCATTGCTTTGATGATGACCCACATGTTTGAGTCGAAATGCTGACAAGTCTAATAACTGTATCCTAATAAACTGCAAATATTGATTATTTTTCATCCTCATAAAAAAAATAATAATAATAATTTGTATATTTATATATATATATATATATATACAAATTATTATTATATATATATACAAATTATTATTATTATATATATATATATATATATATATATATATATATATATATACATATACATATACATATACATAGTTTGTTACCCATCTAAATCCATATATGGGTCAATTCATATCACATCCAGGGTATGAATCCTCTAGTCACAGATTTCTATGATTTTTTTATTTATTACATTTGCAGCCTTATTAGCATTACAAAATTTTATTTATTTACTGTTTTTTATAATAATAAACAACTTGAAGTTCATAATTATGTATATAATTAGTTAGCTTTCTCCTACTAAATTGAATATACTGGTAGTCAAAAAATCACCAATTGCCATTTAAAACCTGTTTCATTGTATTTCAAATATTATTTTGAAACAATAAATATTTCGTAACAGGATTTATAAACTTATTTCAAAATTTTACATTTTTTCTTTAAAATATTTCTGGTGTCCAAGTTTGAACCAATAATGACTATACTATATCATAGATATGTAGCAAAAGGCATTTTTTTTCTCATTTCATAGATCTTCTTATAAAATTCGAACATTTACATGTAAAAATTGTGATATATTGAAATTTGCCAAAGTTATGTTTTTTTTTCTTAAATTGTTATCAACACCACAGTTGTTGGTGATGCAAGAACTTCATATTTCTACTCACTAAACTGGTAGCCAAATAACCTTATCGTCTATTTTCTTTAATATCCTGTTATTCCATACTTTAAGGATTATTTAGAAGTAATAAATACTGTGATAACTTTTTTTTAACTTAAAATTTATGAAATACATGTTTGATCTGATAATGACTGAACCTTTTTGTAGATATGTTACTGAATTTTTGTGCAAAAATTATTTTTAAAAAACAAAAATGAAATGACCCATGTAGTTTTAAAATACAATAACTTTTTAAAATATTGTTTCATTATTATGCAATAAATATCATTAAGAAATGATTTCCAGATAGTAAATATTTATATGGGTGTGACAGTAAATTTAATTGAACTTTGGGAGCCTTTTAAAGCAGCCAGATTGGCTCTTGCGAATACGTTGGAATCCTCAAATATTCAAGATTATGCTCAGCAGCATGCGAAAAATCTTGAGGTTAGTTACTACATTCTTGAATACTTTTTTAATTTCTAAACCAGTTTTTTTTTTTTTTTTTTTGTCACTATTGTAGAAATTGCTTGATGATACAAACAAAATTTTAAGTGAAGGAGTTCTTAGTAAAAGTTATCTTATGGACAATATAAGCAATATTCTTGGTCTATCAAGGGATAGTAACGTTACCCTTAGATGGCTTTTTCTTCATTCAGCACAGCATCATGCAGGTATAAAAGATTTGAAACGTTTTTGTTTTTTTAATGATTGATTAGTTGCATTGATTAAAGAATTATAAAGAAAGAAGATGGTCCGGGGTTGCGGCCATAAATAGGCTAAATAGTGGTAAAACTATTTTATTTTGTTTTACCACTATTTAGCCTATTTATGACTGCAACCCCGGACCATCTTCTTCCTTTATAATGCAACAGTCAACTATTAAATATTCAATTAAAGAATTATGTATGTTGCATTTTTTATATTTATTTATTTTCAGCTATATAGAAACTATATTTATATTTACAGTATTGGCATACAAATAATTTGTGGAGATCACTTATGTAGGTTTATGCAACTTTGGGATTTGTAGTCATAGATTCCTTACTCTTCAGTTCAATGATCAAAGGCCTAGTTGGTTGAAACTAATTATTCTCTATAATTTATAATTATATAATAGCTGTTTTGTGTGTGTATATTGCTGTTTAACAATGAATTTTATATTCTATTGATCTTATAAGTCAATATGTGATGTTTCATTGGGCCAGGAAACTATGTTTTCTTAATATTTTATATAAAAATTTGAAGTAGTTAAAATACAATTATAATTTAATTTATAATTAATTTTCTGACAACTTTTTGCTTTGTTTTAATTATGTATTGTTTTTTATTTAACTATAGTGATTGAAACTAACAAAAAATGTAAACAAATTCGTGATCAAGTCATTTCAATCATTCAGCTAGATGAGGAAAAAATACTTCAGTTGCTTTTTAACACAGCACAGTATGAAAATAAGATTAGTGACTTATTTAAATCAGTGAGTATTTTCTTTATTTTTGTTATGTTTTTTACCAATGATCCTTGATATTTTAATGAATTTCTCTTAACATAGGTCTTAAGTGAACGATCTGAAAATTGGGAAACTGGAAAGAAAGAAAGCTTAGCAAGAATACAAGAATTGATTGAAATATTTGCTGGAAATAAGCAAGTAATGCGAGTAAAAAAAAGTGGTTAGTAATTTTTTCTATGTTTTGTATTATGGTTAGTTGTGGAATAAATAAAGGTAAGGAGGAGTAATTGTAAATGTCAATCAATCTAGAAAACTGTAAAAAAATACAATTGCACAGCTAACCTTATACGTAGTTTGCAATTATTATAAATAAAGAACAGGGATAAACTTTTAAGTATATTAGTGTTGACTTAAGAGGTAACTGTTTTCCTCATGTACAACTAGATGTTATCTAATCTAGATCATTTTTGTAGAAAACCACGATAAACTTAAACCGCAGAAAAAAAATATTTTTTTAATTTATTATTATTTTTTTATTGATTTTGGAATTTTGTTTTTCTGTATGAATTTGGAATATTATTTGGTCAATCACTAAGGACATGTACTTATATTTATGAAATAGGCATGTTTAATTCAAATTTAATGAGAGTAAAACTGCAAATAAATGAACAAAATTAATAAAGAAAATATATCAGACTATAAAAATTAATGAAGAAAACAATAAAAATTTGAAGGGTACATGGACAAAATAAGTATGGTCCATTTTATTGCATTCAGTAGTCATAATAATGAGTGTTGAATTTTCATAAAGATCTCATTATATAGTATTTAGTAAATGATTAGTTTTCTACAAAATCACTACCCTTGAATGTTTTCCATGTATACAATATATATTAAACTTTAATTTTTGCTTTAATTGTGGTATTCATTCTTTTCCCCTCGCACCATCCACTTAAAAAGAACAACAATATAATAATTTCCATCCTAGATGTTTTCCAGATTCCACCTTAAAGCACAAATCACATCTATATATTTTACACTTTCGTTAAATATTGAAATAAACCAGTTTATTTCAGATTATTTTACAAGTTTTTTATTATCTTTTTTTAATAATAAAAGAAAATATTGTTTCAGAAAGTTTGAGGAAGTGGTTTAGTGACATATCAGTTGAAATAGATTCCTTAAAAATAGAAGAACCTAATATTTCAGCTAGAAAGATTGCACAGTTAATTCAAGCATTGGAAGAAGTGCAGGGTAAGTATAGAATTCTTAATATTTACTTAAGTCCAGGGAATAGAGGTGCTGTACTTAGCAAAATGTTCTATTTTTATTTTTTTTTTTTATGGTGTTTTACATTCAAAACTTAAATTTTTTTATTAAACTCCCAATTTATATTAAGTCGGTTTATTGCCTGAATTCACTAAGTAACATTTCATAAAATTAAATCACAATGCACGTTGATGAATTTTCCCTCTGTGGAAACAAAATAATGTGCACTTACTGTCTTTTTGTAGGCATAAAAAAGGTGAAATTAATTAATACATACTTAGAAATTTAGCTCTATCAAAAATGTACTTAGTGACTTTTTGTAATAAACCGATGATATAAAATAAATCAGTAATATGCAACCACTCTTTTTCTTATTCTTGAATTTTAAATTACTTTTGTGAGTCTGCTTATTTTAATTTTTTGTGTTACATTTGTTTAGGTTTCCGCCAAATAAATAATAATTTGGGTGTAAAGCAGTTGGTTTCTGAATGCTGTGACCTTCTAAAAGAAATGTTGGGTGCTGTTAATGTAAGAGACACTCTTCTGGTAAATATGCAAATCATTGGTGATTTTTCCTATGGTTGGATATTAATAGATAACTTCAATTATTTAATTCAAGAAAGGATAAAAAATGATCCTGTTACTGTAAGCAAGCTGAGATCAGTTTTTCTTAAGGTAATAATTTCAAATAAAATTATATAGGCTAGGCATTTTATTGAATTGATATATAACTATTTTAAAATTTAGGGTTACCTTTATTTTATATATATATATATATATATATATATATATATATATATATATATATTGCTATGTATTGAACATAGCCTAATGATAATTAATAATATTTAAAAATAATATCTAACACCTGGGCGGGAACCTGAAACCCCCGACCCAACCTTTTGTAAGTGGCAAGAAAACAAGTAGGAACCCCAAAGGATCGACACCCAAGAACCGTCATAATTACGTGGGAAAGTGGTTACCTAGATAGTGGTACGGATACCTGAGACCCAGAAACCTTTGAGCAGGGACTAAAACACTTGAGGGCAACGGCGGTCAAAAACAGCAAAGGACCAGTCTTGTGTTTAAAGAGGACAAAAAAGCTTTGAAGCCTCAGCAAAGGAAGAAACGGTCGTGTACCTGCTAAAAGGGGTGTGTTCAACATAACATTGGGGGTGTGGTCATCCCTTCTGCTACACAACTCCAACCAATAGTAACCATGCTTGCCCCACCCTAGATATGGAAAACAAGATCTACTGAGGAGGATAGAGAAAAAAAAAGGGAGGACACTTCTTCTTGGAACGCAGCTGAAGACACTTCTTCTTGGGGCTCGGCGGAGAAGACACTTCTTTATGGGACTCAGCTGAGGACAGCTGGATGAGGAGAGGCTGATAGAAGAGAGGCCTGATGGACTGCCCGGCACTGAGGAGGTCCCTGATGTTTTCTTCCAACTTGGAGACTGAAGCCTTGGCCCTACCTGATCCATGTCCAGATGATCTCGACTTATTAGATAAGTAATTCCCAACAATTCCTTTTTAAAGATGTTTAAATATTTAATGGCAATGTAATTTTAAATTCCATCCATCTGAATCATGCCGTCACAACCAATTGTATAGTTCATTAATTTTTGTAAATATAATGTATATAACATTCTTTCTCATCACTTGTAAATAAATATAATTTGTACATAAAAGTTATTTTAATCATGCCACCTATTTCTTTCATTATAAGCACAGGTAATGTTTGGTAATTAGTGAACAGATAAACACACAACAAGCCTTTGTGAGAAGTAATCCAATAAATTAATCAAGGACCAATATGTCAAATGACATAATGACATGATATATATATATATATATATATCATTATATATATATATTATATATATAAATTATTATATATATTATATATATATATATATATATATATATATATATATATATATATATATATATATATATATATATATATATATATATTTTATTTTATATATATATATAGTTAATATAGTAGGTTTATAGCAAAAAGTCAATTTATCAAGTACATTTTTGATGGAGCTGAACTTTTAAGAATGTTTTAGTAAAATTCAGCTTTATTTACTGATAAAAAAAACAGCAAGTTTACTATAATGACACAATCCCATATAAAAGGGATAAAAATCAAACATAGTTACAAGGAACACACAATTTCCTGATTTTATTAAGGAAAAATTCATCATAATTTTTCGTGATTTAAGGTTATGAAATGTCTCTTAATGACTTTGTGCAATAAACCAACAATATACATGTTAAAATTATTTAATAAAATATTTTCTTGTGAAAATAATTATAATAATAAAGAAGTAAAAAATGTTTAATAATGCAAATAATAATAAAAAAAAGTGTTTTAAAGAATATTTTGTAGAGGGCCATTCCATGTCAATTCAACAAAAGTTCCAAAACTCACCATCTCAGACTTTCTTGAAATTCTGCACGGTTGTACTATTTGTAGAGACTTCGAAAAATATGAAATTTTATTAAGATAAACTCTTTCTTGAATAAGACAGCTGTAAAGAACTCATTAATATACTCAAAAACATAAAATATCAAGATTAAAATTGCCATAGAACCTTTCATAATTTAACTATTAAGGGGTCAGAGATTGATGTCATTTTACATAATTTTAAATGCTCTTTCTTTTGATACATAGAGAAATTTAATAATATTTGTTTAAAAATCCAATTTAACATTTCTATTTAAATTTTGTCTGAAAATACATATTTTAAAATTTCCCTTTTTTTTCTAGAAATATATAGTGTTGTAAATCATAGGACAAATAAATTTGGGATGAACAATGGTTTCTTTGCTAAAAAAGTTGAAAAACTAATGTTCGATTTTCATAAATTTAAATCTTTCTTCAGTCAATTATCGCAATGATGCCAATATATACATTTTCCTGAAAGTAAACATGAAAACAGACCAAAATAAGATTTTTAATAATAAGACCAAAGTTACTTTTATTGTATCAAGTGACAAGATCTGTTAATGATGCTCATGGCAAAGGGCCTTGCTACGGAGTAGCTCGTGCGTTTGTTAAGACATTTCATAAACCAAATCCAAACCGATCTTAAACTTTTTGAGTGGGCAATTGAAAACATTGCCAACGTAGAGTTTTAATATTAAAGCGAAGTAGTCTATGCCAAATCATATTTTTTCTAGAAAATTCGCTTTGACCAAGCATTACCTTTTAAAAAAATACAACAATGCCATGCATTCACTCCTGAAACTATACCAAATATTTTGTTAAAACTATTCTATTAATTCACATACTTGTGAAAAAGAAGTGTCAAAGATCTTCCAGTCTGCTTAATAAAGTAGACACTGACAGGCCACGTGTCTGTCATGATTCAGAGGTCCTGACACTTGATCAGTAAAAGAAACTTTGGTCTTATTATTTGAAGCCTCATTTTGGTCTGTTTTCATGTTTGATTTCAGACAAATGTAAATATTAACATCATTCTAATAATTGAATGAATAAAGAGTTAAATTTATGGAAATAGAACATTATTCTTCAGTTGTTTTAACAATGAAGCTATTGTCATTCTACGTTTATATTTTATCCTACGATTTACTACAACACTATCTATTCCTAGAAAAAAAAATCTAGCATTTTAAAATTTGTACTTTCAGAGAAAATTGAAATTTTAAGTTGGATTTTGGAAAAAAAAAAAAATTATATTACCCTATTGTATTGTATATCACATGAAAGAGCATTTAAAGGACATCAATCCCACACCTCTAATTAAGTTATGAAATGTTTTACAGAAACTTTTAAACTTGATATCTTATGTTTTTGAGTCCATTAATGAATTATTTGCAGCTGTCTTATTAAAAAATGAGACAGTAATAAAATATCATCTCAATAAAATTTCATAGTTTTTAAGTCTCTACAAATAGTACAACTGTGCAAAATTTAAAAAAAAAATCTGAGATTCAGTGAGATCAAGAAAAACTTCGGAACTCGTGTTGAATCGAAATGAAATTCGAATCTTGTAGGGTATGTTTAATTGTCAACATATATTTTTATGATGTTAATATAGTTTATCTGAACTATGATTAGGTCTCTTTTCCATGCTGTAAAAGACATTTAGATTTCTTAATTTTAAAGGTTTATAATTTTTACCTTATATATTTTAATCAGTTTTGAAATATGTGTAAGTAGTTAAAACATTGAACTTATTCCAAAAAAATTAAATTTTGAAACTAGCTTTTTAGCTGTCTGGTGATAATATTTCTATAATCAGGGTATCTTACTAGTAAAGAAATTGGAGATTTTGTATAGTTGAGGAAAATTGTAAATTAGTCTGAAATTCACCATAATTTTGTGAAAAAGTTGTCATGAGTTCTAAACTAATTTTGGCAATTTGAAGAATTAATGATACTTGTCTGTAAGAGGGTTTGGGTCAAACAAAAGCAGATATGTATGCACAGCTTAGATCTTTCAGTAAAGTAAGGATTATCTTTGTACCGGTCATCAACTTTTTTTAAAAATAATATTTATTATTGACACATTTATTTTGGTTTATTATTGTCATTATTGTGGTCAACAATCAACCTTTGTAATTGACCAAGAAAAAAAAATTAACGCTTCCCCTTTCTTTATGTTTGACGTTGTGAGGAATATTAAATTCAAATAAAATTTTTTTTTTTAAAAATGGCAACTAGTTAGAGGTTTCATCCCCCAATGTTATTCATGGCTGTTCAATTTATTTTAGGCATGGCATCTAAATCAAATTTCACACCAGGACAATCGTTGGGACTCTATAGTAATATCTGCCATTTTATTTTAAAACCATATCTGATATGAAGTTTCATTCGCATGTATTTTGATAATTTGTAAAGATAAAGGAAAGTACCAGGTGTTTTGGGATCATTACAAGACTAAAAAAAAAATATTTTGTTTATCATCAATGCGGTCTGATAATTTTCATAAGCTTAGATATTTTGCAATTTTTTTATCATTTTGTTATATTTCCATAATTAAAATTGTATTTTAAATATATGTTCATCTTAGCTCTTTCAGTAAGGTGAAGTAAGGATTATTTTTGTATCAACGTTTGTTTATTTATTGCAGGTTTGTGAAAATTTTACTCGTCAGAAATGTTTGGAAAAAGTATTGAATTAGTTATGAATTAAATTGCCAAAGTTAGTAGACGCTGTAATAATGTATTCCTGTAATTTTTAAAAATAGGTTTAGTATTATAATCATCAATAAAATTAGTTTAATTATTTTTTCAGTGTGAAGGAAACTAATATCAATTATTTATATTCCATAATTAGTCTTACTTTGATCCTATAAATGTTTAATTTTATTATATTTTTAAAACACATTTTATAAAATTTTCATAAGTCAAATACAATCTTATTTATATAAATTTTCAATGTATTTTATTATAACAATTCTAAGGTTGTAATAAATCATACATAACTAGTAGTATTCCTATTCATTTTTGTGCAGTATGTTTCTTTAGTAAGTTTATACCATTCAAAATTTAACATTTCTTTCTCTCTAATTATATGTTTTGTCTAAAAAATCTATTTGTTTACACTATGTGAAAATCTGGAGATAATTACCAATAGTGTTTTTTACCTAAATCAATTTCTTATGTGTGTATTTCATTTCATTAATATGGGTTCATTAATATCTTAGTTGAGCTCAGCTATGGAAACTCCTCTCCTCCGCATAAACCAGGCTGATGATGGAGATTTACCTTCAGTTTCGATATACTATAGTCATCAGCTTTTGAATCGTGTAAGATTACTCTTGCAAGTCATTCCAAGATCTGTATTTCAACTCATGGCTCAATTAGCTCTCATAATGACTAATGAAATTCCTGAACTTCCTACAAGGTTAGATAAAGAGAAATTGCGTGACATGGCCTGTTTACCAGCAAGGTTTAAAGTAAGTATTATAAAATTGGAATGGTAAAATACATTAGTTACTTATAAATGTTGATAATAGAGACAGATATTATTATCAGTTATAAAAAATTGATATCTTAGTCAAAATCAATAGAAAGTTAAAAGCGCTTTTTTATTATACTGCAGTATTTGAAACAACCGATATTTTTTAAATGTGCTTTTGTTTATTATTACATCATTTATTTATTTTTTTAATTGTAACAGGTAGCTAAAATGACTCACCGAGTTTCTGTTTTCTCAAAAGGTCTTCTCAATATGAAGTCTACGCTCGTTGGTATAGTTAGAGTAGATCCGAGAGAGCTTCTTGAGAGTGGAATAAGGGATGAATTAACGTCACACATCAAAGCAGCCCTTGATGCAAATTTGAATTTTACTTCAAAATCAAAGGTATAAGTATAATAAGTGGGTAATAGAAAATATATAAGTCATATAAAATAAGTAGGTATAAGGAGGGAGTACAATAATTGTTTATGTTGCTTATTTACTGAAGTTTATAGTCATAATATTAAAAGAATTCTTTTCTTAACACATTAAAGGCGGTAGTTGTAGTACTACAATTTATCTCGACTAGCATACTTTCTTCAAGATCCCCCTTCAAGATACTTTCAATTTCAATACAATTATTTTAATATTTTTAATATAATTGTTAAATTGATTGTAAGGATTAGTATTATTGCATACTTGTCTTTATTACATTTCTAATAATATTTCATGTCACTATTGCTCATTAGAAAAGTTATAAAAAATTTTATGAAATTATTAAATATAAAAATTAGCCCTTAAGTTGATTCTCCTTTCCTTTTTTCTTAAACATTCCAATAGGAATGCCTCCTGGTTGGACAAGAAGAAGCTCTGTACCTCTCAGATACCAGTATGATTAATATTAGTTAACAAGATTTGTTTTTGTTAAACATCAAATTTGTTTTTGAAAAAAGAAAAGTAATATTACACAAGTTATTTAAACAGAAAACTAAATAATTTCTGTAAAAACAAAATCATCATGTAATGACTTTTGATAATAACATATTTCATATTAAAATCAGAATTTCATTAAAATTTAAATAGAAACTTCAGTTTCATATTAATAAAAAATTTATATATATATATATATATATATATATATATATATATATATATATATATATATATATATATATATATCAGACACCAAAGCACATGTTTTTGACTTTCCTGTTTAAAATAAAAATACAAGACATCAATAGGCGAAGATAGAAGAAAGAATGGATATCTCCCCTCTTATATTCCAACAAAAATAGAGAAACATGTCGACTATGTATTTGAGAGAATATAATCTAAATTCTTGTCTGGCTTTTACACTTTTTGACTTTTTTTAATGTTCCATGTATGAATTTGAAAAATTGACTGAATTTGTTTCAATAAAGCTTTTTTCTATAAATAAATAGTGCCCTAACATATTTGTTAACAATAACAACCTGCCATCCACCATCCTATAACAAAGTGTATACCTTCAATGAAACTTTTTCAAAGAACATTTCTTGTTTTTTATTTTGACCTTATTTATTGATAAAAAACAACACAGAAAGTATACCAAAATGACACAAACCTTTTATATATATATCAGCTATAGTTATAATAAGTGTAAACTGATGCGACTTCATGACTTTTTGCAATAAACCGATTATATTATCGCACAAAAAGTTAATTTCAATAGTGAAAAATAGTACTAAAGTGAGAGAAAATAAATAAAATTCTTCAATTATTTATTTTTTATCTTATTGGTAATTGATCTGTTATGTTTAATATGTTATTTATTATAATTAAATCGCATTTCTAATTTTTAAGATGGATCTGAAATCAAGACTGGCAGAGCTAGGTGCAACTATGGAAGGCCACAGAAATTCATTTGAATATGTTCAAGATTACATTGGGATCAATGGCGTTAAAATGTGGCAGGTTAGAATTTAATTTTTCAATAGTAAACAGCTTTATGTTTTTTGATAGCTTTATGTATCAATTTATCAATAAATAGTGTTTTGTATCTATCTATTAGGAAGAACTTAAAAATGTGATAATGGCTAGTGTTGAAGTTGAATGTAAAAATGTTGTGCGTAAAGGTATTTACACTGACCTGTTAGGAGTAACGTTCATGGGACGCCTTGCAAAACAACTACTTCATACAATAGATCCAAAGTTGGTAGTTTTAATATTTAATTCAATAAGCTTTGTAAATTTTTATTGTAATATTCTTTTTATTTTATAGGACTACATTTTTTGTAGAGCAGCATTCAGCATGGATTGATATCAAAACAAAACTAAAAGTTGCTGATTTAGATCTCTTTAAGCGTATTTTGAAAGCTGTGAGTGTTCCTGGTTTAGTTGGACTGGACAGAATTGTATCTTTCATAATCGCTAAGCAGTTACAGGTAAATCAATTACATGTAATTTTTTTCTACGCAGATAATCTTTAGTGATCATACCTTTAAAAAAAAACATGACAAACAGCTCAATATATGATAGTAGTTAAAGAAGTGTATTGTTAACAGATTAACTATCATTCCAAAATGATAGATTATTTAATGTGCAGAACCATTTATGAATGCTAATGTTCTGATCCACCTTGAAGACCTTTTTAGCTAATATTATAGATCATTTATAATAAAATAATTAAAATTGAAACTATAAAGTAAATTTGTACAGGAAAGACACAAATCCAGGGAGGTAGAGTACAACGGAATGTTAACTGTCATATGAAACTGACTACATTCGAACCTTTATATATAGAATATGAAATTTTCTTGAAAAAAAAATTTGATTTATAGAAATATTGCTATTTATAATCTTAATCATACTAAAAATAATTAAAATTATTTTATTATGGCTAAAGAAGCATCAAAGACAATTTCTGGGGGTATTTAATATGTTAAATTTCACAATTCTGCTTTATTGATTATATCAAACTTTAAGGACTTAAATTGTTTCTAATCTTCAATATTTTAACATTTTAATAATCCAACCTTGTTTTTAGTAAATTATTGATATCCTATTTGTTTTTTACTTACACAATTTATAGTTACTTAGATTAGAATATTTTAAATCTAGTTTTACCTCAAATATTTTAAAAAAAAAAAAATTGAAATTCATGTTTTTTTAATTATCTGTTTGAAGACTAAACAAATCGAGTTAATCTTTCTTTGTGAATCTAAACATTTTTTAATACTTGTTACTGATATTATATTTAGCCTTCAAATTTTCCTAAAAATAAGTAGTTCTGTACTACTGTTTCATTTTTACCATGCCCTGACTATCATTGGCTTACAATATCTGGTTAGTAATATTCGTTTTTTATAATTAAATCATGAAATGTTTGTACAATAACTAAACACTGATGAGGTGATTTCAGATATTGGGAAAAAGCGTCTAAATCAATACTAATATGAAAATTTTCTTTGTTTTAGGACATGGTGACTTTTCTGGAAAAGGAAGCTGGTAACAACAATGCTTGGTTGGAAATGTTTGGTAGTATTGCAAAATCACTTTCCCCCTATTCGGTTACTGTAGGTAAGTTAAAAACATCTATCTTTCTATCAGACTTTTCTTGGGAAAGGTTGATTTTACCTATATTCCAATTAGAGTTAATCATTGATACAAATATGTATATTTCTTTCCTCTTTACATTGGGATAACGTTAAAAATGCTGACTTTGTTTTTGTTTACTGCCCAGTGCTGTTCTGATATCTTCCAATATATTCCCTTACTGGTCTCTTAAATTATCTTTATTTATGAAATTTGAATTACTTTAGAAACCATGCAGCACCATAAAGAAGTAATTGTCAGTGTTAAATGAATAGATACTTTCCTGACTGAACACTTATTCCAAATTGTTTACTTTATTTTTTAAGATTGCATAATATAATTAATATTTTACAATATAATATAGTTTAATTTAATATCTATAAATTACATGTTCAGGTACCTTCCAGTAGTGTTAACCTTTCGCTTGAATCTAGTAAATTTTCTCTAAACTCAGTTGTCCACCAGTATTCCATTAAATTGATAACCTTTCGCTTGAATCTAGTAAATTTTCTCTAAACTCAGTTGTCCACCAGTATCCCATTAAATTGATAACTTTTTGCTTGAATCTAGTAAATTTTCTTTAAACTCAGTTGTCCACCAGAATCCCATTAAATTGATAACTTTTCGCTTGAATCTAGTAAATTTTCTTTAAACTCAGTTGTCCACCAGTATTCCATTAAATTGATAACCTTTCGCTTGAATCTAGTAAATTTTCTCTAAACTCAGTTGTCCACCAGTATTCCATTAAATTGATAACCTTTCGCTTGAATCTAGTAAATTTTCTCTAAACTCAGTTGTCCACCAGTATTCCATTAAATTGATAACCTTTCGCTTGAATCTAGTAAATTTTCTTTAAACTCAGTTGTCCACCAGTATTCCATTAAATTGATAACCTTTCGCTTGAATCTAGTAAATTTTCTCTAAACTCAGTTGTCCACCAGTATTCCATTAAATTGATAACCTTTCGCTTGAATCTAGTAAATTTTCTCTAAACTCAGTTGTCTACCAGTATTCCATTAAATTGATTAGATGGATTCCATCAATGGAATCAGTGTTCAGTTAGGAAACTTGCCCTTGCTGAAACTTAAAATTTTTCATTTGATGTTTTAATTATAAATACTTCAAACAGCTTTAATGATTCACAGTTAATGTTAATATGGACTATGAATTATTTTCATGAGTAACAACATAACCAAAATTAAATTAATATTTTAGTCCGTGGTACAGACCCCTTTTTATCGAATTATTAACACCTGCCTGAAACTCCGTAAACTGTTGGAATTGGAGTGTTGTCAATCTAGAAAACAAACTTTGTCTACTTAATTAGGTACTAAAAAAAAACGTAAATACCGATTTGCTTTCTACTTGGATTGTAAGATAATTTGGTCACAAAATCGATAAAAAAGGTGGCCTACAAAAATATTGGGCCGTTTGTTCTATATAACCCCGTTATTTTGAAAATTTGGGGGTGTAGGCCGAGCCAAATGGCTCAATATTTTTGAAGGCCACATTTTTTCTCGATTTTATGATCAAATTATCTTACAAACCAAGTAGGAAGCAAATGGGTATTTACGAGTTTTTAGTATCTAATTAAATAGACAAAGTTTGTCTCCCTCCAGATTGAATACGTCCCAATTCCAAGAGTTTTCTTAAATAAAATAGTTGTAGGTTACGATGTGTGAAGCTATTTATGAAGTTCCAGGCGGATGTTAATAATTCAATCTAAAGGGGTCTGTACCATGGACTATCTATGAATGAATTTCAAACATATATTATATCTTCACATAAATTGTCAAAATGAAAAAGAGTGAGTAACAAATATCTTATTTTAGAACAACCAGCAAAATTGTATCCGACTGCTGCTACAAGGCTTTCCAGACTTTTTTCTGCTATCAATCTTTTTGATGCGATAGTATTAATTGGAAATCTTCAAATACTTAGGAAACAAATATCTTTCACTCTCAACCAAAGTGCCAAAATCCATGCTCGTAATTATACTTCTTCACTGCAAGCTGTGAATGAGTAAGTTAATCATACTTAAAATTTAAAATATTTTAAAAGTTTTTAATTTTTACTTTCTAGTCATATTTTTGGTTTATTATTTTCAATAATCAACCATTGTGATCGACCAAAAATTCAAAAACTTAACCCCCTCTCAAAATTTGAGGTTTTATGTTTCAGGATGTGTTGAATTCGAAAAACGAATAAAAATTTTTTTGTCCATCTGCCGTCCACACATTTTCTCTGAAACTACTGGACCATATTTTTTCAAATTTGGATATAAAATCAGAGGTCACCCGAGGATGATCCTCCTTCATCGACATTACTACCTGCCTTTTACTTTCAAAATGGCGGCCAAAAAACCTGCGTTGCTATAGACTGTAGCTCCTAAACTAATCTGCAGATTTCATTGAAACTTCGCTAAAGACATTTTCTTGACGACCTTTAAATTTATCTATATAACATACTTCAACGAAAAGAAGCTGGAAAAAAGTTACGAGGGATAGTAAAATTTAATTCTGAATAATTAAAAAATTATACACTTTCTTGTCGATGTTGTGATAAGATGTTTCAAAGTTATTTAAATTTCCTACAAAATGAAGGAAATTTCATCTAAATCAAAGCACTATTAGTAGAGATATATGATTTTTAAATATTTTTAATTTATTATTTTCAATAATCAACCATTGTGATCGAGCAAAAAATTCAAAAATAAGTTTACAGAATTTCCTAAAAAAATCACTAAAATCGGACAATTAGGAGCAAAGATATAATCTTCAGTTTTTTTTATATGTTCTACTCCAAATGTTATATCCTTTGTTTGGTTTTTAAATTTTGAATGCGTTACTGAAGTAATGCAATTTTTTTCAGCATATCACTAATGATTAAAAAAAAATGTTAGTCCAATAATTGGAATCACCTTTTATTTATTTTTCTTTGTAACTAGGAAGATAATGTTACTTTAGATGTATAGTTGTTTGGAAATAATAAACCATTGTGAAATAATTTGCGGTGTTTTTATTATTTAAATAAATTTTAGATAGACACCAACAATTTTTTTTTGTCATTGTCGTTTCAACTATTTGTTGGTGACTGTTGTTCTAAAATTTATTTAATACAAATATTATAAACATTTTTAAGTTTTCTTTTTCTTTTAGTGCACTGTTAATAGAAGTTTTAGACCATGAAAAAGATAGTTCCAAACCTGGCCCGTCACCCTCAGAAATAGGTAGGGTATCTGAACTGCTGATGTGGGTTGGAGCTAATGACCCCTATGCTACGATTTACATTACATGTAGAAATATACCCTATATATCCCTTTTTGCATTTTTATTTTCATCAGTTCATGTACCACGCTTCACATACGATAAATCTTTAGGTAAGTAAATTCAGGGATTAAAATTCTTATTTTATGTACTATATGTCCGGATCATCTTCTCATTAGTCATAACTTTTATCTTTCACTTCAATTTCTTTCTAGCCACTCAGTGGATTCATTTTACCATTTTTTTTTTCTCCCAATTTATTTATTTTGGTGAATTTAAAAAAAAATTAAATTTGGTGGTAGACAATTGCATCTAATTTTTTTTAATAATCAAATTATACCAGCATCCTAGAAAAAAAGTGTTGAAAAATTTGTGAGGAAAATCCTCCGCATGATAACCGGAGCGGTCTGAGATCAGAGTACTAATATCTGGAGAAGAAAGATCAGTAAAGAACTACTTACAGAAATTGGTCAATCAATAACCCATGATATGAAGGCATGGAGGTTAACATGGGCGGGGTGTGTAGCTTCTAGTATCTGGAAGCCTCTACCTAACAATGTATGCCTCAACAGAAGGCAAAAAAACCACGTTGAAGGCCAATAAGCAGATGAATAGATTGAATCAACAAAGATGCAACAGAGCTGCATGCAGAAGAAAGAAATAGCCCGAGACAGGGAGAGATGGAGCAGGCTTGTTAAGGGAGCAAAAGATCAACCTGCTCTTTAATGCCATCAGAAAAGAAAAAAAGAATCACATAAATTCCTGGAAAGTAAATAGAAACATAAAATAAAATAGGGAGGGTAGAGAGAAATCTCTGTTAAATCAAGTAAAAGTATCTTTTTTTTTGTTCTCCCCTTCTTGCTTTTTAGGCTACACAAAATTTTTCCCGGTCCAGGGGAGAGAGAATTGTGCCGAGTTAAAATTCCCACTGGGTACCAGGATTTGAACTCATAATTTTTTTCGATCTAACTTCAGTGCATCAGATTGCTGGTCAATGCCTGATGCTGTGCACATGCATTAGCCCACTTAGCCACCCCGCCGTCCAAGTAACTGTATCATCGAGATTCTTCCAAATAAACTTAATTTCAATACTTACAAAAAAAAATTAAAAAAATGTTTGCTAATCAGATTGTCTGTTCATACCATCTAGAGAAATATTAAGTTTTCAATTAATTTTAATTATGAAATCTATCTTTTATTTATATTTAATTAATAACAATATCATTTACTATTTTTTTGCTTATTTTCAGCTACTTTGGTTTGTAAAAGAACTGGTGAAGGTGTAACACCTTTTGTTGTGGGTACTCATACTTTATTAAAACAGTTTAATGTTGATATCACTAAACAGTACATAGTCTTTGGATGCCAGTATGTCAAGTCATATATGCTTGCCCCTTTATTGTAAGCGAAAAATGGATAATTATTATTTTCTTCTATTTTTTTAATAGCAATAAGATTTGTAAATTAATATGATTATATTTTAGGGCTGGAAAACAGGATGTGGCACAAGAAGCCCTTAGTATGATGCAGTTCTTGGAACAATTCATTAGTGTTGGTGATCTTCCTAGGTCTCTTATCACTCAGTCTATACCTAATTTAATTGTTGATTTATTCAGACATGGATTAACTGCGTATACTAGCTGTTAGCTGTCACATATATATATATATATGCCTTTTGTAATTATTTAATAATTAATAAAATACCTTATTTAATTTGGCCTTATTAATTCATCACAATACCAGTAATATTTCTATATTACATATATTCTTTCCCTTTACATATTTTCATTTTTTAAAGATATTTAGTTAGCATTAATTGGAAATAAAATTTTATTTTCATAGAAAATAGTCATTTATTGATATAACATTTTTACATCAATCTTCATCATTTTTCCTTCTTTTTTTTCAAGAACAAAAACTAAATTACAAAGTTGGTAATTTCATTTTATTCTTACAAATTATCATTTTATAATCATATTCTCCAAACTATGAAGCATTGACCAATGAAATACATTGCAAATAAAAATTTCTTAAGCTTTTATATTTCTTATAAAGAAATTTTTATGTTGTATACATTTTTACAGTATTATTCAATAATTTTTTATTTTAAATAAGAATATAAACAATACTTGGCTTCTAAGGACTAAGTAAGGGGTCACTTCATCAGGTTTATCAGGCTATAATATCAGATGAACCTTCAAATAATAAAAAAAAGGTTCATGGAACAGGAAAATAATTTAGAATTAAAATTGAAAATGGCATCATGAAAGGCTGATACGAGAGGAAAAATAAGTCAAATTCAAATATGTCTTAACATTATTGATTTCTATACAATTGAAACAAGGACTATATAAAAATATATACACAAACACAATATTTTATATACTACGAGGTAAAAACAAAGATATATACATTATCACAGGGTTACGATTTATTGTTTGTACGTAAATTAGTTATCCTTGAAAGAAGGAAAGCAGTCCATTGGGACTCTGGAACATTAACAGCCCATGGAGGTATAGCAGACGGTGGTAAAACAATATTCTGCATTGCTGCTCTAACTTCTTCATCATTCACTTCAATATCCGTACGTTCCTGAAAGAAAACATAAGTGATAGCTAGACAATATTAGGACAGACAAAGTTGCTTTTAATGAAAAATATATTTTTCCAATCAGATATTTCAGTATCAGTTTCAAATTGATTTTCCAAGATGTTGACTGATTTCGAGATCACTCAGAGTATACGACAGATGGAATTTCAAAAGTAGATGACCAAGTTTTATGTTTGGTAAGGTCAGGTCAGCTTAAGTCCCCATAATGTTTGCTTCTTTTTATATATTGTTAAAAAAGTCACTAGGTACATTTTTGATGGAGCTGAACTTTTAAGAATACAAGAATACAAGCTGCCCTGAAATGATACAAACTCTTTTATATATCACATGTAGTCACAACAATCGCACAATCTTATGATTTCACAAATAGCCCAGTATATGAATGGCTCAAAAGGGAGTGTAGAGTGCGTGAGTAGGGACCTAAGCGATTCCTTCAGAAACTTGTTTAAGGTGTGAATACATCCAAAGTCCTGACATCTAGGTGGTGAGCCATGGGGGGGAGAGGAAGAGAAAGTCCCCAATTTTTGGGTTTCTGCTTATATTTCCAAAACGGTGCGTCATATGGAAAACATTCCTGATAATAAATGAAAGTTAATAAAGTTATCTAAAACTTCAATCTACAGTAGTTTTTTTTTTTTAATTCTCAACCATTTTCAAGCAACACACTCAGAAAAAGTTGAAATTTTAGAAAAAATCATTTTACCTCACATTTTTCATCAAACAGCCCTTCATATTGTCTAAGCTACTCATCAGAAAAATAAATTCATTAAAAAGAAGTTGTAAAGATTTGCTCTAAATTTGTATCAATTTTAGTCTTTCCTATCAAAAATATTTTAATTTTAATTTTTGTAAGTTACCTTCTTCATTATCGTTTTAAAGAGCTGGAATTTCATTTGACTGAATGTTTTTTCTTTATAATTTATTGTAACCAAAGCCATCTTTATATTTTTTCATATCATAAATTAATTCTTTATATTTATTTCTATTCGAGTCTATATGATTTTAACTCTTTCTTTTCAAAGTTCATTTTATGCTTATATTTTCTTTTCTATTGCAAAAATGAATATTTTGTTAAAAAACTGTTATATCCTACTCTCCTTCCTCGATCCTTTTCCCCGCAACTCTCCTTCCCAACATCTCAGTTATGACTAATATCCTAAATTCCTGTCACATCAATGCACAATCCCTTAATGCCCACGTTGTTGAATTCCAAAAATATTTCCTCGATAATTTTTACCACACAATAGCAGTATCTACAACCTGGCTGAAACCTTTTATTCCTTCCTCCCAAATTTCCCTCCCCAATTACTCTTTCCTACGTCATGACAGACCTGATCGCACGGAGGTGGTGTCGGACTATATATACATAATAGTCTCAAGGCCAAAATCCTCTTACAGTCTCCTTTTCATGACCTCCCTCACGTTGAATATTTATTTGTTGAAATTACCGCTATTTCCTCTCCTCTATTGTATGTTGTTGTCTACCGCCCTCCTCGTGTTCTATTTGACCAACTCTTTGAATCATCCCTTGTCAACCTGGTTTCCTCCTACTCCAATATCATCATCTCCGGCGATTTTAATGTAAATATGCTCACAGAATCTCCCGACAAATACTACCTTAATGACCTAATATTTTCTCTCAATCTTTATCTTGTCCCTTATTCTTCCACTCATCACACTCAGTTCTCTGACACCTAGTTAGACCTCCATATCTCTGACTCATCGCTTAAAATCCTTTCCTCCTCTCAACACCCTGTACCTTTTCTATCATCACACGACCTGATCCAAATCTCGTACGACCTACCCGTGAAATCATTTACTCCCAAAATAGTATTATATCGCAATCTAAACCTCCTTTCATATGAATCCCTTCAACCTGACCTGGATTCTGCCCAATGGGATACCATATTTTACTACACCTCCATTGACCCTAATGATATCCACCCTTACCTCAAACCTACAATCCATATTAGACATCCATGCTCCTCTGAAAACCAGAATCTTACGTCGTCCCACTGCTCCTTGGCTGACTCCTGAAATAAAGGGAATGATAAACAGAAGGAATGCAGCAAGGTGCAAATACCGTCAAACCCGCTTACCTGCTGATTATGCATCTTTCAAACAACTCCATAATGCAACCCAATCCACAATCCGACTTGCTAAATCCAACTACTTTCATAATGCCCTTTCCAATGCTCCCGATCCCAAATCAAAATGGAAAACACTTCGTAATCTATCCCTACCAGATTCCAATAACCTCATTTCCCTCCCTGTGACTCCAGATGATCTTAATGACCATTTTTTATCTTTTGCTTCTAATCCTTCTCCTACTCATGATATTGAACACCATAATTTCAATCCTGAAAACTTCTTTTTTTCCCATGTGTCCTACGACGAAGTACTTTCCACTATACTCAAATCCCACACCAATGATTATGGTCCTGACAATATTCCAGTAAAACTAATAAAATCCAGCCTTCCTACCCTTATTCCAGTACTTTATCATATCTACAACTTCTCATTGCAAAATTCCACATTTCCCTCTTCCTGGAAAACTGCACTCGTCCGACCATTGAGTAAAACATCTAACCCTTCCTCACAGAACGACTTCCGCCCTATTTCTCTTCTTTCCAACCTCTCAAAACCACTGGAACGCCTTGTCCAAAATCAACTTTCCAACTTCCTTGAAGAACGTTCCCTTATCAACCCATTCCAATCTGGCTTCCGACCCGGCTATTCAACGTAATCTGCCCTCCTTAAAATAACCCATGACCTCCAAAACTCCATTGAACACCAAAACCTTACTATCCTCATCCTTCTAGATTTTTCCAAAGCGTTTGATACAGTTGACCATAACATCCTTCTTACCAAATTGCAAAATCTTCCTCTATCCAACAGTGTTCTACGTTGGTTCAAATCCTTCCTTTCCGATCGATCCCAGTATGTAGTCGTCCCAGATCAACCTCCTTCAAAGACACTTCTCCTCTCCTGTGGTGTCCCTCAGGGTTCCTCCTTGTCTCCTACTCTGTTTGCTATTTACATTAATGACCTTCCCAACCAGATCCATCACTCCCAATACCACATCTATGCAGACGATTTCCAAATATACCTTTCCTTTCCCCCTTCCGACCTATTAGCTGCCACAAAAAAGCTTCAAGAAGATTTAAATAGAATATACAACTGGGCAGGAGTTAACAAGTTGAAGTTGAATGCGGAAAAGACCAAGGCAATCCTAATAGGCTCCAATCACCTCCTCAAAACTGTTCCTAACTTTCCAACCCTCTTTTTACATGATAATCCCATTAAATTTTATCCCACCATCAAAAACCTTGGAATAATCTTCGATCAAACCCTTACCTGGAAAAACCATGTGTCCAACATCTCCCGACGTACCTTTTCCACCCTAAAACACTTAAATAGCCTGCGACACCTTTTTCCTTTTGAAATCCGTAGACTCCTGGTCACCTCTTTAATATTTCCTCATTTCGACTATTGCTGCATGGTATATGGGGGCGTCTCTGGGGATCTCGAGGCGAAACTAAAACGTTTGATAAATTGCTTTGTACGATTCATCTTCGGGATCCCAAGAGACGCTCCTGTTTCCTGTTTCTATGAAGAGTTGAAGTGGCTTTATCCTTCCAACCGCCGTAAGTATTTCCTGGCATCCTTCCTCTTCCAAGTAATTCACTCCCGCCGTCCTTCATACATCGCCGAGCTCCTTCAATTTAAATCCTCTGTCCACTCCCGCAATACCCGTTCTCGGTCCTCAGATCTATATATAATGGCCCACCGAACCACTGCTTTCGATAAATCATTTATTATTCGATCCTCTTCCCTATGGAACTCCATCCCTCCCCACATCCATCAATCCAAAACCCTTCCTACCTTTAAATCCCAACTGTTTAATCATTTCTTATCCATCCAGTCCTCATCATAAAATTGTAAATAGTTACTACTGTATATAAATAGTAAATATGTATATAAATTATTAGATCGTTCTTTATTATTTTTACTTCATGTTTATTTTCAATTTTTTATTTTTATTATTAACTGATGTAAATTAGAAAGTAACTTATAATTTCTTTTTTTTTTTACTATTTAATCAAACTACACTCTTGTTTATGTATCTCTGAGGCTCCTTAGCCCACATTTTTGTTTCTCTGTATTATTCTAAAGGGACTCGTTCCAGAATAAATAAAACATTATTATTATTATTAAAGTTACAGCTATTTTAAAAATTTTCATAACATTTTGCTACTTCCAGAAAAAGTTGTTTATATCATATTCTTGACCCACACCGTTTATTTGTTTGTCTAATATGTGTGGTCACATTTTAAAGGCAGTTATTAAATAAGTAAAAAAAATTATGTTACTTTTATATTTTACAATTTCATCATTTTTTTATTAGAGTGCTACCAATGGATAGATTCTCTTCAAGCCTTGTCATGTCATTTATTTATTTCTATCACATTTGCTGAATGTATTTTAAATGTACACTTGTAAATTTCATAAATAATAAAAAAAAAAAAAACATTTTTAGAACATGTAGCTCGAAAACAGTTGAAAATTTGAAAAACCCATAGAATAAAAGTTTTAGATAATTTTATAAACTTTCATTTATTATCAGGAAAGTTTCCCCTGTGACACACCGTTTTGGAGATATAAGCAGAAACCCAAAAATCGGGACCTTTCATCTCCCTCCGGGTTACCACCTAGACGTGAGGACTTTGGATATGTTCACATCCTAAACAAGTTTCTGAAGAAATCGCTCAGGTACCTGCCCATGCACTCTACATCTTGTTCTCTGACTGGGCTAAAAGCGATAATTCATCAAAATTTTTAGTTTAAGATTATGAAATGTCACTTAATAATTCTTTGTAATAAACCAATGACATGATAGCAGCATGAACTGACTTACCAAAATATTTTAAACATGTCATCATAAAAAAACAAAAAAACACTCGTTTCAATTTTTCTTCAGTAAATCACTTTCAGTGTATCTTGGGTAAAAACATGATACAACACACCTGTAACTATATGCAAACATGATTGTTAATGCTCGGCTACTTAAGGATTTGATCAAAAGTGTGCTCAAAGTGATAATGAAATGAGCCTCCATCTTGGGGTAATGACCTAGAACTAGTAGAAACACTTTATTATGTAATATAATTGACTAAAGTAAGTGATTTTATAAACTAGAAAATGTAAAATCGCAGCATAATAGCTTTTCAATTGCTTTAAGTTCTAAAAAATTATATAAGTTAGAATTAAAATTCTACCTTGATAGGTGATTGAAGTGTTGCCTCAGCTCCATTTTCTACAGTCTGTGGTTCATTAAGCTCCAATGAATAAGTGTCTTCTGCGACAGAATGCCCCTGTAAAACGAATTGTTTAAAGACAATTTTCAATAAATCTGAGGAAAAGGTGAAGATTTACAAACAGCTATGTATCGAGCACCAGAAAAAATTAGATGCAAGAATTAAAAAGTAAATGATTCTTCCTGAATGTGCTCATATCAACACTTTTGAACTGCATTTATCCACGAATATCTAAAGAAAACTCTTCAACACAAAATATGCCAATAGCTGTGTGTGTGTGATATACCTATCATTGATATCTAGGTCATTCTGGCTATCTAAAGGGAGGATTTCAGGAGTTTCATTGTCTGATGATAAATTGAGGCCTTGCTTAAAAACCCTTTGGGTGCTCCAAAAACTGCCCCAAGCCAGTCTTTAACCTTCAGAAAACTCGACTACCTCTTCTTGAAACCACTTTTGTCAAATAACTTGGTTATCTGATTTTTGTAAGTCATTAGTCTAGCCTTTCTTCTTTTCCACATTGATTGATGAATTCCTTCTAAATATTGGAGACAAAAGAAATATCAAATGGAGAAACTTCATCTACGATTTTTAGAGAACATTACAGCGTCTTTGCAACCTTATCATTGGCGTAGATAGAGCCCTTTAAATTACACCAAAAAAGAGTGTTCACATTTGTATTTAAACCTAAGCAAGATGCCCAATTTCACATGTAACCTAAAGAGATGCTTTAGTGGCTGGCTGGTAAAGAGTGGCTGAGGATTTTCACTTACCAGATACCACAATAAAATTATTTTTAATTCCCTATTTTAAGGCAAAAACAAAATGATTGGTACTACTTAACAAGTGTCACTCAAACATGATGGATAAATACAAGATCACACTCCTAGTGGTATGCCGAATGAGTCTGTTATTAAACAGATAAGATTATATTACACATCCCACTGAAAAATCAAATATAAAATATTGAAATAAACACAATATAATTTTAACGACTGACAATTGTCACACACAACCCCACAGTACTTTTTCTGATTACTGGACAAAACAGTAATTAAAGTGAGGGAACAAATTAAAAAAGTGCCTCAAATCAAACATACACTAATAAATTAAATGATCAAGGTAACAGAAAAGTAATAATACACAATAATAAATAATACACAAAATTCACAAACTTTATATATTTTTTTGAGAAGGAGTTAGTCGAGGGTGCGGTCAAATAAATAAGAAAATTAAATTATATAAATTATTTTAATTTTTGCCGACGTTTATATATTTTTGTTGACTTCAGGAATGATACAGAAGTTTATAAATAAATTTAATTTCTAATAATAATTGTAACTAAAATAGTAACGTAGTATCTGATTTAATAAGTTATTCTCGGGAGTTATTAAGTAAAACAAATAAATAAAAACCCAGAAAACAGACAAATTTGGACCACACGCAACTTTCCCCTCCACACCCAACTTCTCTTCCTCTATTCCCTCCTTCCTCCCAAGAAGACTGCTTGTTCTGTGGTTTAATGGTACCTGTAAAAAAGCCATCAAAGAATATCGTGGAGCATATAAGAATTTTCAGAAATCTAATTGAATATAAAAACAGCAGACCATATGCAGAAAATTATTCAACCAAGAATCTTGGAAAAAATTTGTAAGTTCCATAAATGCCTCTACAACACCAACTGAAGTTTGGAACAAAGTCCACAAACTCACAAGAAATCCTCCATCTTCTTGCTACACTATAACAGCCAACAGACAATTGTCTGATAAGCAGTTACTAATTCCAAACACATTCGCAGCTTTTTGCATAAAACAATAGTAAAACCATCGTCCATTTCGAATTGCTTTATTTGTAGAGAGAAAGTTAACTAGACTAAGTATAAGTACAGACCTAACACATTCTTTTCTGATAAGCAAACAGCCTGCCTGCATCAGAATGGCAACACTATTAAAGTACTCTCACAGAGTTACAATGCCTTCAATTAATTTTATAGTTTCAAAATTTCTTTCTGCTAAACCATTCCTCGCTGGGGATGTTGAGGAACAATTGATTTTTGTTTAATAACAAAAATAGTTATATTGTCAGAGAGTACAATCAGTGGAAATCCATGAGTATAAAATAAGGATAGCAGCGATTTAACAGTTGTTAAATAAGTGGGAGCTTCTTATTATACATGAACCTCCACCCATCTATTAATTCAGAGTTCACCAATACCAAAAGGACTGATTTTAGTGAGATCCAGCATAATCTATATGAACCCTCTTGAAATTGGTTCATATAGATTATGCTGGACCCTACAAAAGTCAATATTAAGCTTTTCATTAACCAAACATTTTGAAGTACTGAGAAAAAATTATTTAGTTTTATAAAACTTATAAGTTACAAGTTCAGGCTGTTACTAAATAGATAAGTATTTTCATTAAAAGAGCTAAAAACGAAAATTGCACATACTGGAGATCCAAAATTGTTTAGCATTCATTATGCTTTTTTCCTCTTCTTGAAATGTAACTTTGATAAAATAAATCGTCAGAAACTGTTAGGAAGGCGAAGTAATACTAATACCCATTTTATTTTGATCCTCGTCGCCAATTCATTGTTCTGAATACGGTTGTAATAACAAACACTAGTATAATTATTATATCAAGATAAATTGATAGACACAATAGATTTGTAGGCAATTATAAACAAACAGCAACACTAATAATTTCATTTGTAATAGAATTTTAAGTGAGAAATTAAGTGCTTAATGCATAATGTACAAACATGCATGAACAAGGAACACTAAAAAAGCTTGGATTCATTATAGAAAGTAAGACCGTTAAACTTTATTTCATAGAATTTATCGTCAGTTTATAACAAAAAGTCACTAAGTGCATTTTGGATAAAGGTTAACTTTCAAATAGGGTTTTGTAAATTTCAACTTAATTTGTCAATAAAAAAACAATATGAATGAATGCAAATGACACAAAATCTTTAATATTTATCAAATGTAGAGACAAGCTTTCAATTTACTGATTTCATACAGGGAAAAATTCATTAAAGTTCTTAATTACTTAAGGTTATGAAATGTCACTTGATGAGTTTTTGCAATAAATCGACAATAGGTACTATAAAAAATGTATAAATTATGAATTTAAAACCTTACATTCCCATTACTTTCTCCAGTCGAAATATCCTGAGGCAGTAACTGATAGTAATTAATTTGGCCAGGTACTTCATCTCCACTGTCAGCAGATGCATCCTCACTTTCTTCTCCACCCATTGCTATTTCACTAATTATTTCAGAGCCAATATCATTTTCTGGATAATTAGGTGGATCTGGTGAGTTTAACATGGCATTCGTTGATCTTTAATACAAACATAAATAATAACACTAATTAAATCGCCTTCAAAATTAACAAAAAGCATTATAAGTATTAGTAATTACCTATAAAATCTCAAGCTATTTATTTTTTCCTAAAGTAGATTGGAGATTTAAAAGGTACTAGGCCGATTAGGACTGGAAAATTCAGTCTAACATGACAGCTACGAAATAGGTACATACATAAATACTGTAACCTTCAGTTTAGGGAACAAATTACAACCAAAGAAGACGATGAGTATTTGTGTAAGCACAGAAAACAGTTGAAGCTCTTTGGTAGTGGTGAACTTACTCTATTGTTTTATCGACTTATTTTCAGTTTTAATATTTCCAAAAAATAACGATATAGTTCAATCTTCCTCTAAACACAAATTAATTTTTACTAAAGACGAAAAACTCAATAGTATAATAACTACGGGTTATCCTGAAGGTACTTTTACTCCTTTCCCTTATATCAACTATTCTAACCATAAGGGTGTTCGTTATAAAATTAAAGCTGACAAAATTTGCAAAAGGATTGATCTTGTTTAATTTTGTTATCTTGCATAGTTAACGTCCTCATGCAAAAATACCTTACTATTCGCCAGAGAAAGTCATAAGGACCGAGACTTTCCCGGGTATGAGGCCCGTCATTCTACTGGAGGCAACATACAACGACTGGTCGTAGGACTGATGTACATATATATATATATATATATATATATATATATATATAGTGTGTGTGTGGTCGGTGTGAGTTGCCTGCAGTAGGCTGATTATATATATGTGTGTGTGTGCGCACGCACGCACGCACCCACACACACACACACACACACACGCGCGCGCGTGCGCGTGTGCGTATGCGTGTGTTTTCTGACTTCTTAGCATTCTTGATAGTTGTTTTAAGACTGCTAATGTCTAAGCATCTATAGCCAGCATTCTATAGCAGATCCAGGATTTAATTTTGGAGAAACTTCTGCCTCAGAGCTTATATAATGATAATTATTTCGGTTAAAAAAAAAAAAAGAAAACAACTACCTATATGAAATGATTCTTGTAGCCTTATTAAAAATAAATTACAGGAACAATAATACTTTGATGAATAATTGTTTAATATAATTTTCATGTTTTTATTTAGTAGCTGTGTATGGTTTATACTTTAAAAACTAAAACATATTGTGGTTGTTTCAGAACAAATCTTTTCAATCATGGTAAAAATATCAACCCCTTATGGCTCACTTATAGGGTAACAGATGTAACTGCTGAGTACATCCTTATTGCTTGCACCAACTATGAGGCATGGAGGGCCAAATTTATGAGAGTGACAGGATTCTACATTTTAACAGAAAAATTCCCTCAACGGATGTCTAAATGAAACCCCCCATACTTTAAAAGCTTTGGCTGTGGGTGGAAAGAAACTGTGGGCTCAACCCACTTCTCCTTAGGTAGGAGTGAAGAAACAGTACCTGGAAGGCCACTAAACAGAACAGGAAAAGAAGATAGGGAATAAGAAATTGAAAAATGAATCAAAGCAGGCTGTGTGCACAGAAATTTAATATAATATAAAAAGATAAACTTTCAGCAATTATTTCTTATGCAAGAATGTGTATAAAGTCACTGCTACAAATTTTGGTATTGCCTTAAGGCAGGATGGGTAGGAAAATAAAATAAACTGAAATAATAAAACTGTAGTTATTTCAGAAACTATTATTTTACATTTTTAAAAACTTTCCATTAATTATTTCAGAAATATATAGCTTTATTTCAATGAATGTTTAAATCATCCAAACTTTAAATACATATATACATTATACAGTTTGAGAAATTAAAATTCCCTTTAATTCATTTATTAAATAAATAATGTCAATAGTACCCAGATCACTGGAGCGATAGGAGTCCTAGGAGTTAGAGTAGCGATGAAGCGCTGTGATTTCACAGTGATTGCAGTGACTATCAAAGTTGGAGCGCTGTGAACAGGACTGTGATTATGGAGCGCCTAAATTGACATTCACCGTGATTTCAGTGCATCTGTCACTGCGATCACCAGCTCAGGTCCGGATTGATTGAATAAACAAACCACTGTGGCAGAATCACAGCTCTGCCTATTTCGCCCCATCACTAGTGCCAATAACATAGATATCACCAACACAATCAGACTTGTCATTTTGAAAAAAAAATTAATATCATTATTTTTACTCTTAAGAGTATGGACTATATTAAAATCAAATTATAATAATTTTATTTTATACACTGTATGTGAATAATTGTATTGTTTAGTTTTGTTACAGTTGATTTAATTTGTTTGCAATTCGGAACAAATGAATGCTGGATTGACTGCTGTTACAAAAAAAAAAGTTTAAATGGCATTATTTGTAACCTTACTTCCTAAAGTAAGTTATTTACTTATCTCAGGAATGTGAAGCTAGGAAGGGAGAATTAAGCATTTCTTGGACACAAAAGCTTACTAGCTAAATAATCATAAACTAATTCCCAAGAGTAATATTTCAAATAAAGTATTTTAAAATACACTTTTCGTATTTTGTATTTTAAGAAGTAAGACTATTTTATTTTTAACATACAATAAAAATATTTGTACTTTATTTCCAAGATACTAAAATACAAAAAAAGTATTTTATTTTGTATTTTCAATACACAAAAAATTAGCAAATAGAGTAGGTTTCCTATATTATATTGTGACTGTCCCTCAGAAAGTATTTTGTACTTGAAATAATTTTTCTAAAAGCAATTTAAATACATTATAATTGAAATACACTGTATTTAAAAAAACACAAAATTCGTATTTCAAAATACAATTTGCCCAAATCCGCTAATTACTATCAAGGTTCACTATGCATAATGTTTGATTAAAATTGACTTACTTTTATTAGAAAATTATTGCAATAGGAAGTTAGGTTAAAAAATGAACACTACAATGCTTTGAAAGTCATTTATTGAGGGATCTGCTGCTGCAAAGGTGTTAAATCAACATTTATTATTCATACTCACCCTAAAAGCCTAATCAGGGCATAGAGAACTGTTGACAAAAGCCATAGCATTCATGGTCAGCTATCATGTTTTATCTTCTGGCATTCGTTAGTAAGGAATTTATGTTAACCAGTAATTTTTTTTATTGATCTTTGAGACACAAGAGAATAGTTAAAAAAAAAATTATTTGTATGTCAGATGGTATAGTTACCGTAATAAAATTCATCATTTCATCAAATTAGCCCCTTAGAATGAGTTCCAGGACCTGGGATTATCTTCTTATATCTGTTGAGAATTATTTCAATTCCATAAAGTAATGATTTTACTTTAGGTTACAAAATAAAACACAATTATAAAATTTAGAGAGTAAATCTCTACTAAAGAAGCATAAGCAAGGTTTTACAAATTTATTTTATTAGTTGTATTTTTAAAATGACAACTGACAGAGCAGTGCGACCCCTCTCATAATCCAATGAGTAGCATTTTTTTGAGTTGCCAAAAATATAGCAATGACAAAGTTGGTGGAATGACCTGTAGTAGAAAGAACTCCTCTCCTTTCAGCTGTTTTGTAAAGTGGGCAAATATATCGAGTTCCCATTATTAGATCTGATTTTCTTATAGGTCTAAGCCAGAGCTAAAAAAGAAATATAATTTATTAAACAAAGGGGAATAATTTTAATAAAAATGAAATAACTTCCAATATTATAATAAACGCTTACTATAGGCATTTTATCAAAGAGAACCTTAGGTAGAGATTCATCGAGTTTTTGGATATCCATATTCCATCTGGCACCTTCAATGAACATGCCATCAACATATACACCATCATCGGGTGGTTTATCTAGCTCAGTTTCGACCATTACCTCAAAATAAGGATTAAATATTATTTTGGATGGAACATTATGAAATACTTAACTAAATCTATGAACAGATTTTATTTTCTATCTAGATTTATCAGTAAAAAGATTAGTAGTGCACTTAAACAAGTAAGCCCAACTATATTGACTTGCAGATTACTTTTATAGACCCACTTATCAAATGAGTTAATTGATTATTTGAACTCCTTTCTTTGACAAAACAAGAAATTAATGGTTGCCTTAATTTTATTTAATATATTTTCCATCAACATTTTATAGAATTCTTTTGATAATATTCACTATGATTCTGTTTTTACCAACAGTTAGATCTAATTGAGACTCTTTAAGGCAAAGACTTTATTTTTACAAACTCAGAGTAAAAATTAATTTAACTTTACTGAAAATTACACAAAATCTTAGTAACGACAGTAAGCGCTATGCCAGTAAATTAATTTACTGGTGTTAATAATTGGTTACAGAATTCAAGTTTTCTAAAGTTTTAATTAATTTTCTTTCAAACTAATTTTTTTAACTTTTATTGAAACTCGTAAATATCAGACCTCATTTAATTTGTTTTCGATTAAGTTAAAAGTATGTTGTTATTAATATAACAATAAAAATATTTTCAAATTAAAAAAAAAAGAAAATACGGGTTTTCATTTTGCCTTTAAATATAAAAGCGTTACAGGACTAAGACACTTTAACTTATGAGGTAGTAACTGCAAGTTTGATATTCACACTGCTTTCTTAAGCATAAAAGGCATATCTAATTTTCCTTTTTAAGTTTTTCCTGCTTAGTAATTTTTTTCAACTATCTGAATTTATTCTATGAAATCACATCTTATTTACAAATTAAAGAAAATTAGTAAAGAGAAATAACACACTTTGTAAAACTAATAAAATCTTAAGAAATTGGCAGTATATCAGTTTTCTGTAACTATAAATGTTTTTGAAATGTCTTTTATTTAGGCTTAGAACGGCAGCAAATTTCAAGATCTTCATTCTCATTCTACTAATAGTGATGAAAGGATTGTCTCAATTAGATCTAACTGTTGGTGAAAAACAGAATGATATTGAAGATTGTGAATATTATCAATAGAATTCTATAACATGTTGATAGAAAATATATTAAATAAAAAAATTCTGCCAAGTAAAGTCAGTATAGCTTTCTCACCGTTTTTATTGGCTAAAAAATATCTATGTTACAAAGTCTAAAATTTTTTGTTGAGAATAAAATTTCTGAGAGAAGCCATTTACGGAAATTCAGTAATTCCTCAACATATAAGAGTTTGATATTCACGAGTTTTGTTTATCAGTGAATACTAAAATGCGAAAGAGATACACATTAGCAGATTGTATATTTGATGATTCGTAATTAAAAAAAAGTTCCAGTGCATACTCAACATGCATATCACTACTATTAGAGAAAAACATCATAAAATTATAAAAATTGAATGTTTTACGGGAGAGCATAAAAAATGAATATTTCTTTATGATTTATTAGTATAATTTCATATTTTATTGTCCTCTGCTATTTTCATCGCAAAATACTGTATTATCAGCAGTGGACTACAAAACATCACTTTTAGCATAAATAGAATATAAAAGTTGAAAAATATTACATAAGACCTTTTGCACTAGCAGTAGTGATATATGCTTAAGAGGTATGTTTTAACTCATAAAATGGATAGAACAAAAAAGCTATAGTAAAAATTTGACTTTTTGTTTGTTCGGAGTTAACGAGACCAATACCTTTCTTCAGTCAAAACAAAACTAATTAAGCCGGAACATAAAAATATGTGTGAAGTTCACACAACTTTGATATTTAAGAAGGAAATCGAGACCACAACGAGCTGGTTGAACTTCAATAGAAATAAATATCTTCACAAATAAGATTTTTTTTACAAACTCAGAGTAAAAATTAATTTAACTTTACTGGAAATTACATAAAATCTTAGTAACCACAATAAGTGTCATGCCAATAATGTTTGGAACCGACCAAACAATACAGTATAAATTAACTTTTTGAATAAAACCTAAAATTTTATAACCCCACAAAAATATTGTCTTAACCTAACTCCCACTTGATCACACAGCCATTATATTGTTAACAATTATTTATATTAATTTTAATTATTAAATGGAATTCAATGAAATTAATACTAGGTAATTTCTATACTATTCTCCGAATTTCCTCCAAGTTTGTGCCAAATCGAACTCGCAATTTTTAACTATAGGCATTTCAAATAATCCATTTTCTGATCTGAAAGCGGAAGTATTTTTTTTGGAGTAGTGGATAGAATTTGATAAAATTCATACATACTTAATTATCTGTATACCAATCCATAACTTCCCTCCAACCAAATTTGAGCCAAATTGAATGAGCAGTTTTAGAGATTTAGACGTATAAAAAAATCACGTTTGCGTATATATAAGAGAAAGTAGTGGACAGATTTCAATAAAATTGACACTACATTACTTTTTCACCAATACCTACCTTTATCCAACTTTGAGCCAAATTGAACGAGTCTCTGAAATATTGGCATATCTAAAAAAATACGTTTGCGCGGGCGTAAGAGGAAGTGCTAGGTGGAATTTGATAAAATTGATATGGGACGTTTGATACACTAACCCCCACAATCCATGAAAATTGAATAAACAGTAGTATATGATATGCCCGGTATAGTAGATGACAGACACCAAAAGAGATCGTGATGGCCGAGTGTGTTGCGTTCTTGCCCATTCTAGCATTATCGTGCCTAGCGATGCTGGTTCGAATCCGGCTTAGCAGGGGTTGACTTTTATTTCATGGTAGACCCATGGAATGAAACTCGACCCTCCCACTCTGGCTAGAATAGGTTTGGTTGTAACACTAGAACAAATCACTCCTCCCTATGCCAGAAACGATGGGTAGGGAGTATTCAATAATTCAAACCAAAAAAAAAAAAATACAGACACTGAACCAAATTTGATCCTTGATGTTTGAAACATAAAATTAAGTGGAAATTTTCAATTCTGAACACAAATTTTTTTTAACCTCTCGCAAACAAAATAAAATGCATCCTTATCTTCGGTAGTGAGGAAGCAAAAAAAATTATAGAACTGAGCTTTGAAGAATCCATCCCCTCTTATAAAAATGATTTCCGATGTACAGAGTAAAAATGTAGCAAATTAATTATTTAAAAAACATTATGCATTTTTCAAAGCCAACAGATATATTAATGTTATGTATTAATATTATTGAAAGGAGTGTAACATAATAAAACAAAGCAAAAAAACTTACTTTGAAATCAAAAGCTAACAGATCAATTGGTATTTTGTACTTTCTAGCAAAATTTTGCTGTGCACCAGTTAAAAATGCTTGAGTGAAAAAAAATCCTGAGAGCCAGAAAAGTACAGGGGGTCCATGCTGATACCATTTCTGCAAAATTAAACAAGTCTAAATCTTTTCATATTTAATAGTTTTTGTGAGTAATTATTAATATTTACCATTTAAATAATATAATTATGAAAATTTACTAGATAAATCAAACTAACCTATTTTAGAAAACATTTTTCTTTTAGATGTTTGATAAATTAGATGCAATACTTCTTGTATTTTTTTTATGTGGATAATACGATTAAAATTGATAAAATTAAATTAAAAAAAAAAAAAGTTATATTAATAATAAAATCTCTGAAATATAATGATAATTTCTGTAAGGAGTTAGACCTTAGATTTTAAAGCAAAAAGTGATACAGTTTATACATGTAGAGTTACTCACACATTTTCTCTGCCCTACTGTTTACCTCAATAGTTTTTTTTAGCTTGAAGAAAGTGAGAGGAAATTTAATTCATTTTATCTATCTGATTCTAACTAAAATTAACACAATTTATTTTAAAATATTTTTCAATGATAGAACATTACCTTCCAAATCAGTCACAAGTTTATTATATGACTTCAAGAAGCTTTCAGTGCTTTGAATGCATATTCATCTATTTTAATCTATATGCACTGTGATTTGAAGTGTAATTCTCTATCACTGAAGAATAAATTATTCAGTCTACCTATTATACATTTAAAATATTTTAACAATGCTTCATGATGAGATTCCTTAGTATCAGTGAATATTCAGAATTTAGTATTTTTCTTTATATATTGTAATTTTAATAAAGGAAATTAAAAAAATTGGGTATGAATTTGCTGCATATTAAAATATGTTGAGCGGGAAAGAGGTGGTGGGGATAACCAATGCTTAAGTACTAAGAAGCAGCATAGTACACGGATACCTGCTCACTGGCTGGAGGACATCCAATTTGTGCTACATACCTAAACCAGTGAGGGGGGTGTATGACGATCCTAAATCCTTCAGACATATATGCCTATCAATCTTTGTAATGAAGATTTGAGACAGACATATCAGAGAACAATTATTGGTTACGATCCCTATACATCCTCATCAATTCGCTTAGCTTCCTGATAAATTGTGCGAATCAGCTTTACATAACTTTATCCTTAGGATGGAGAGACTTTTGTTGACATACTTTTGATTGGACTCCATAAAATGTCATTATTGGCACATAAAAGATAAGGAAGGTTGAACCATTGGTGACCAGAGGGATAGCAAACATGCTAGAGACCAGAGTTCTCAAACCTGATACAGAGAGGACATACAGAACTATGGATTAAACCGAGTGAGGGGTGTCCTCAAGATGGTGTGCTTTCTCCATTACTGTGGAGTCTAGTGGCTCAACACATTCAATACTGCAGGATTTTAAGCTCCTTACAGGCAGTAAACATCAAAGTGTTCTCTCTGACTTCATGAAGACAGCTACAGGCACCTTGGAGAACTGATGTAAAGTCAATGGGCTAATAATCAACCACAATAAGTTTATTGTATGCATCTTCACTTCGAAGAAAAATATAATAATAAGATTATACAAAATTAATGGTATCCAGCCTTACTTCTAACAAGGAGGTGAAGCACTTTGAGGCAAGGCTGGACCAGAAACTCAAATGGAACAGTTGTGAGTTAAACACAGCTAACAAAGTCCTCAAATGTCTATGGGCCTATAAAAGTAGTGTGGGGAAAAGTTTGAGACTAAGATCATGGTTGTATATTACAGCTGTCTGACCAATACCTGCGATCTGGAGGCACCAATCTAAAATCAACTGCAACAAGACACCAATAGACAAATTATAAAGATTACCCTGTTTAATGATGTCAATGTTTAATAGGTGCAATGAAAACTACCCCAACAGCTCCTATGGAAGTTATGTTGGACCTTAAAAACAATCTATAGGCTAGTGAACCTAAAATTATGCTCTTTGGTTTTAACTCATGTGGAACACTGGCAGCTATTTCAAAGAGTTGATGACATCTAGTAAAAGAACATTTAGCAATGAACTACAGTGTGAAGATTGAAACTTTGATGCAACACAAACCTAATTAATTGTTACACGGATGGCTCAATTATGACCGGTGGCTCAGGAGACGGATTATGAAGAAAGGACAGACTTAAAGAAGGTATGTCTATTCACTCGGCAAATACGCAACAGTATTCCAATCAGAAATACTGGCGATATTTCATTGCACCTCAAAACTGTTGCTTGACGGATTGGTGAGGCATAGGATTTCTATTTTCACAGACAGGCGGCAATAAGTGCAGTCAGCAATTATACTACTAGATCTTAAATTGTTAAGAACTATTGTTCAGTCCTCAACAATCTTTCTCTACAAAACAAAGTCACTATCGAATGGGTACCTGGTCACCCTGATATTACTGGTAATGGTAAAGCAGATGATTAAGCCAGGATAGGCTCTGAAAACATTCCCATAAAACCCGAACCAGTATGTGGTATAAGCTTCAGCTTTATGGTGAAAAAGCAAGACAATATTGGCATTCTAAGAAACAGATTCACTCTAGACTGTTCTTTGATGGACCCTGTGCAAGGAGAAGCAATATGCTGATTAATTTGAGTAGATTCTCTTAGAAAAAGTACAGTGATTCTATACGAGTCACTGCAAATTGAATTATCATATGTTCAAACTTGGGTTAACAGAGTAACCTCTAAGCAGCTTCTGAAACTGAGATGATGAAAATTTCAACTGTTTGCCAGCAATATTAAAGAATAAGTTTTGAATTATATTTAAGATTCTTTTTTTTTTTTTCTTCGACTTCGACTTTCTTGACTTTCTCCATAAACTTCTAGCAGCTATAGGGTTTTTATAGGCGACAGTTGTAATCGTTTTGTTCTCTTGACGATATCCAGGAAGCACGTGGTTTACAATAACTGTACACATTGACATTCATTCCCTCTCTATCAGACATTTTCCTGAAAGATGGTTGGCAACAATTATTTTGCAGCAATCTATCCTGTTTTTTTTATGACATAGGGGATTATTAGCCCTATTCCCAACCCCCAACATGGAGGACCAGGAGCTATGATGTAAGACACAGGGGTCGCTCACCTCCCTCCGAATCTCTGGGTGGGGACATTACCGTCCCCATGTGGAAATCGAACCTAACGTAGTGGTCTAAGCAATTGAGTTGAGCCTGTACATTAATTTAAGCTTCTAAAAAGAATCTAAATTAAAATGAAACAAAATTGAGTAAAAAGATAAAGAACTTTTTAGGATAAAATAAATTATAGAAGTATGTTGGGGTGTTCAATATGGTACAAACAGAAATGAGGCAGCTTACTACAGAAATAATTAGGTGAAACAGAAACAACACTCAAAATCAATAGCTAATAGTTAAGTTCCTCAATATTTTAATTTGTAAGAAATTTCAACTGAAAACACTAATTACGAATTATAGTTTAATACTACTTATTTTTTTAATTTAATTATAACTGGCATTTCATATTAAAATAATATACCTCTAAAAACTCTAGTCTAGTCAAGAGATCATTAATGTAGCTCCCAAGAGGCTTAAGGGATGGATAAGAAACTTTATTCCACAAAGCAGGTATTTTTCCAATAAGAACACTTTTGTAGACAGCTTCTAATTCAAAAGACATTACTACTTGACCTGCAAAATGAATATAATAAAAATATTTGAACTGATCTAACAAGAAAGAGTTAACTTGTATCATCTTTATAAACAATTTTCTAATCTTGAGCACTGAACATTTAGCAAATAATCTAATACCCACTAAGTGAATTCAAAATCTTAAATTTTTTTAAATACATGAAAATGACTAAATTAATAAACATCCACAACTGAAATAAATACATTAATTGATAGTCAATAATAGCTGAATAAAAAAAAACTTAAAATACAAAACTTTATATCGGTACTGTTAGTGCAAAAGATTGTATGTAAAAATTGAGTTTTTTAGCAGAAGAACATAAAACCGATTATTTCTTTATGATTTATTGGTATAATTTCATATTTTATTTTTTTCGGAAGAAATCCTTAAAAAAAAAAAAAATAAAAAAGAATCAACTGCAGAAAATTCAGTTGAAAGATAATTTCATAGTTATGAATAATTAACATAAAATTCATTACTTGCCTTTAATAGCTTTCTGCAAGTTTCGCAAACTGTTTCGTACAACAGTGATCAGGTTATTAAACCTTCCCATCTCTTGAACTAGAACTGTATTCATTGATTGATTATACAACGTAGGATACTTTTCCAATGCAAGAACCAAGTCAAAATTTGGAGGTAATTTTCCTAATATGTCTTTCGATACATCAAAAACTACTTTGTCCTGTCCTTCTGCACTTGCACCACCTTTGGCAGTTTCCTTGAAATATTTCATGAAATTTCATTTATTTAAGAATAATGAAATATGGAAAAATAAATAAATAAACATGCACATTATGGTTCTAAACATATTTCTATAGTTGATTTCAGGGTTAATAAAAGTTATGGTGGACATCAAGCATTTGAATTGGAACGAATCTCAGCAAAGGTTGTTGCTAAAGTCCTTGTGCAAGAACAAAACTTTTAATTCCAGTTCTCATGATTAATTCTATAAGAATGTTTTTGTTCCTACTGTTTATAGCAATGTTTACTTGGACCTATCCTTTAATTCCTTGTGACTTGGATTCACTTAATGGGGTAATTTACATTTTTAAAACACAGCTGCAACGCCAGAAGAAAAAATTGTGATTTGTGGTCTTATGAGACATTACTGGAAAAAAAGTCTAAGCTTGACCAAGGTAAAATTATTGGAATTGCAAACAGTAAATGTTTTGCCTCATCCTGCGGATAGTCCACGTATTGCACCATCAGATTATGGTCTGCTTAGATCAATGGTTCATTTTTTGAAAGGCCGTATCTTTGATAATTAAGAGGTCACAAAAATTGAATGTGAAGAGTTCTTTGCCTCAAAACCAAAGAAGTGGTACCAGCACCCAATTACTGGCAGAAACTTGGGTGAAAACAGTTGAAAACAATAGACTTTACTTTGAAGAGTAGTATTAAATAATATTAAAAATATGTAATATGAAATAAAGCTATGCTTATGTACAAGGACTTTTTTAACCACCTAGAAGACAAATTAGCAAAGAGTTTTCCAACGGACTAAATATAGGATAAAATGGGTATTAGCAGCTTTGTAACAAAATGCTGAGGAAAAGGGATGCTGGACAAATACATGAAAAGAACTACAGCTGCTGAACTAAAGTACTTCAAGAAGAGTCCAAGCCTAACTTTTGTTTGATCTCTTTAGATCAAGTCAGAATTCAGATGATTTGGGAGAACCTTAGGGAAGCCTACTTGAAGCTGAAAAAAGACAGCTTAAGTGATTCATTCACTGACACTAAATGAATGAAAATGGATGTTTTGAAGCTAGATCCAATAGGTGTCACTATCGAGGAAGGTATTTATCGATAGATACACAGTCTGACCAAAAGTGTTGAAGACCACATCTCCAGGCTTGAAAAAAGAAGAAAAAGAGTTTAAACACCATAAAGGTATTTGATCAGAGATCTTGATGCTTGGTTCGCTTGGACCTAAGTATATCCAGTTATCATTTAAACAAAAGGCTCAGTTATCTTGGTTGCCAAGATATTTACAAAATCTAAGTATCTGGTTCATTTTATTCTGTAGGTACCTTTATAAAAGAAAAAAAATACTTATCTTCCCTGCCTGAAACAGCAAATCCTTGTGAAAAACATTTAGAAAATTATGTAAATTGTGTAGTAAAGAAAAAGTAATATAAATTAATAAGATCTAACTTACTGGTCGAAGTTCCTAAAGGAGCATAAAATGTAAAAATAAAAAATAGTTCAAATTATTAAAAAATAAACCAAATTATCATAGTTTTGATACTTAAAACTATTATACTACAATATTACTTAATATCAAACAGTTTTTATATAACAATTTATAACTGTTATTTCATAGATTCATAGACTTTAGATATACTCCTTAATTAAGTTGGCCTAATATGATATTTAAAGAGAAGGTACTTAAGAGTTAGCTGGTCACCATTACTGTTATCCACCATTGTTTATAACCAGAACACTAATAATTCTAATACTGAGAATACCTACCTTCTTATTTATATTGAAGGAAATTGAAATAGACAAAAATAAATGCAATAATGACAAAACACTTTTATTTATTTTGGGAGATAAAAAAGCTTAATGCTACTAAAAATAGCAAGGAACCCTACAAGAGAACCCCTTCTCTGTGGACCCACCGCCACAAAAATCCACATAAATATTCAATCCAGGTGTTGCCTCACAGTTCCTCGATGTTTTTTATTCCTCCACTCAGCTGAACCCCATAATAGTTCTATGTGTTGAGTATGGAATCCACTTCAAAGGTCGACAAAGTTATACCAGTGATTTACCTGGGAATGGTTTTAGTTTGCTTCATTCAATTGTTAGGTGTTGTATCTTTTTCAACACTAAGAATATATAGTGGTTCTCCCTTCTATATTATTTTAAATACATTCTAATCGAGTTGTTGATTGTCTGTCTTTTATTTTTACAATGAAACACTCATCTGTTTCTCGTCAAACTCGGTCAAATATCCATTGTTCAAGAAGCACTCTCCCTACATGATTTTTTTCTATTATAAAAAATGTTTTCATCTATTTTAACTACTTTTCTAAACCTTCCAATTTTTTTGTTGTTGTTTTATTGCCGAAGTGTTATTATGTCTATTTTAAATAGAAAATAACAAAAAAGACAAAAAAAAACAAAAAAAAAACTGAAAACAATTGAATAACCAGAACGCACAAGTAACTAGCAGAGACGAGTTATAAGAAGAAGTTATACAAGATAAGAACGTAAATTCCGTGGCGACCAGCTAAGTCATAAGTACCAAAGAGAATATTGAAGAGAAGTTGGTTGGGAAGTTCAATCAAACAAATATTAATGTTTAAAGAGAATACATTTTTTATTTACCTGTGTAAGAAGAATACTACTAAATATAAGTTGTGTTTCTTGTTGATCTTTCATTATGTCAGCATTATCATTCATTCCGAACACAGAAGGACTAGTAATTAAAGGAAGAGTTTTCACATATTTCAGATATTCCTCATAAGATGTTGCTTTTGGGCAGTAATACAATCCTGTTGGAAAAGGTTAAAATTTATTAAATCTATTTTGCTATTATAAACTAATAGGTCACTAACATCATCTACTTTATTTTATTATTAGATTACTTCAGTCTATCATGCACATAATAAATTACCCATTCTAAAAATATGAAACCATCATTTGGTTATCTTTAATTTTGACTTGTTTCACTAAAAAAAAAGCCCATTTTTAAATCCTTCCTGTTACACATTTGGTTCTAAAACCATCAGAAATCATGCAAAAGAGTTAAATTTTTTAAAAATATTATTTTTAAAATGAACAATGGTTAACAATTGTTATACTTTAGCTAATTGCTTAAGCCATGGTTTAATAGAAATTTACCCATACAGAACAAGCTAACTTCTAAAGGAATAAGTTATGGTTTTAGGGATTGCCAATTCATAAATTATGAGATAAGTAGAAATCAAGTCTTTTTAAATAAGTTGAGATCAACCAATTAGGTTATTCATTGTCATGAAGATGAATAAGATTTCCTTATGCAGATTAAAACTCAATTTATAATTGAACTATTGGAAGGTTATAACAACTTAAAGTAAGAAGTTGTTCTGATGCAGTATGAGAATTACTCATTTGAGAATTGGTTAAGACTAAATTAGTGTAACTAGTACTATTGCCTTCTTCTAGCAAAAAAGAAAATGATGTTCAAAATACAGATTATCAAATTACTGATATAATTTATCTGAATTAGTCTTAAAATATTTCTCAAAATTCTACCTGAAGGATCAAATTTGTATAATTTTTCAGTATCTAGAATCGGTGGGCAATAAAATTTTCTTAATATAGTATTTAATGTTCTTCTATCCCAATCATCAGTAACTCTACCACCATAGTTACATTCTCCTGTCAAATAACATAGAGCTTCATATTGCACATCCTAAAATAGATTAAAAAATTACAAATATATTAATTACGTTGAAATTATGTTAGATCTTTATCAGAAAAAAATATATATTTTTCGGGAATAGGTTAAGGTGTTAGTAAAACACAAAAATTATATTTGTTTTATTATTTATTTACCTTCAAGTATGATTAGAGTGCTACCATTGGGTAGTTACTCAGCAAGTGTTTTTCATGTCATTATATACATTATGTTCAAAATTACTAGAAGTATTTATTTAATAATGTTGTAAATGTCTTTAAGAAATAAAAAAAAAAAAGTATGATTAAGGCAGAAAGTGCATTTAATGTTATAGCATAGATTGGCTCGGGTTGGAATACCTTTCATGGACAGCAGCCTCTTGACAGTATGATTGAGAGCAAAACCATGCAGTTGATGGTAAAAATCACCTTTCCAATCTGGTTAGGATAGGTTTGCTTGTACCTCTAATACAATCCCCCCTCCCACTCTTGAATGCCAGAAATGGTGAGGTAGGAGTGTCAAGGAAAAACAATGGTTTTCAAAACACTACTTTCTTATCTAATACAGAACTATGACTATATTTGTTGTAGAGGTACAAAGTTGTATAAGAGGTGGCCAAGCGGACCAATCTGCTAGTGCAGCACAGTGTTTCCCCGCAACCCGATGAAAGATAATTTGATAAATAAGTAAGAGTTTGCATCCCGGTGCAGAGGGGACTTTTAACTTTGGCATTACACTCCTGCCTTAAACCCCTAGTGGGAAAACCCTGTATAGCCTAAAAAGGCAAGGCAGAGGAGAACAAAAAAAAAGCTTTTACAAATTATTTATTAAAATAAAAATAAAAATAAGTATAATTTGCATGTTTATTTAAACCTTGACCTATTTCCTGACAGCATTTTTATTTAAACATAATCTTAATTATAGATAATAGAAGGAATAAAAAGGAATATAGGATAATCTATAAAAGGAAAATAAAAAGTTTTATATATATATATAGCCTTGAAGTTAATGCTTTTAAAATTGAAATTCCAGACTTGTTTTTATATGAAAAAACATGAACTTCCATACATATTACAATTATTACGTAAATATGATCAAAATAAATCTTACATCATATTGATTTAGAAACATTTGTAACTGTTGTACACTAATTCTTAGATCTGTTTCATTGAATTCATATGGAATGTTCCAACCAAGAGGTCCAAACTTCCTACGCTCTTGTACTAATGCATGAAAAAAACACAAACCAAACAGTAATCTTTTAAATGGTGCGTTTTGTTTACATCCTTCATAAAACTCAACATCAGCAATAGGATCACTTAATAACGACCTGAAAAAAATTAAGAACCATAAAATGCAAATAAACAATAGTACTAATAAAATATGACTAAAGTTACTAAGAGAGAAGTAAGTTCTTGAGTTGACCTATCAAAAATAACCTTAAACCTATAACCTAAAAAAATAGACTTTACTCTATCTAAAAATCATTCTTCTCCCTCTGTTACACATCAAGCTGGAATTCATAAAGAAGTTTGTTAAAACTATGAACCAAAATGTAGAAGCTGTTAAGTACTTAAGACGGAAATTTACTTCCAGTACTTGATTGGATTACTTAATGCTAGAATTAGGGCGAGGGGAGGAATCTCCAATGGGTCTCAGATTTGCAAAGTTCTTTCACTAGCAGAAAAATAAATTAATGATAGTACTGGCTCAGATATACTACTGCTGGACTGGCACAGATTTCTCTGAGTTGGCTTACAAGAGTAATTAACAGACAGGCAAAATAAGTTATCCTGAAGTCACCACTTGACCTAACAGCAGAAACTATTCATTGAGGAGAACAAATGCATTTACAAAAACAGGCCATATGTATTATGTTTGAATAACTATTAGTAACAAACTAATCAAGAGACAGAACATAAATGTTAGGTTATAATTTGAAAAAATTCTAAACTGTGTGCAGCCTTATGTCTCCAATATTCAGGAAACGAAAACAAACATGTCAACGTTTTGCCAATTCAGACATCATCAGGAGGGAAAATATTAGCTAATCCAACATCAACCCATGACATCCAAAAACATAGTTAATATCAATGCATAGTGTACGAGTAAGGCTGTGTGGTTTGGAATTTTCCCAAATTATAACCTAACGTGTATTATGTATGAGTATTACATATCTCACAAATGGAAGATAAAGGTTGGAAAAGCCATTGAATATTATATTTGGCTGTTGAATTAAGAAAAGAAACAATGATTATATATTTTTTTATAGGCTCATTGGTTACAGAAATTAATGCTAAATAAATAAATATGCAAAGTCAAAAGTGATCCCAGTAAAAATTAAGTTTTAAAGAGGCAAAAATAATTATATAGTATTCTTTACAATAATTACAAGACACCAGGGCCAAAGTTACGAACCTGTAAATGAAAATTATTCTTAAAATCTTCAGGTTGCTTCTATCTCCTGAGCATTGGTCCAAATCTATCAGTGGGTGATAATTATTTATTCTGTCATATCAGCTGTGAATCAAATCAGGAGACCCTTATAGGACACACCCAGCCTTTATAAAGTAGTTAAAGTTAAATGGGAAAAAAAATCTGCCAACTGAGTGTGATCTGGTGAAATCACCTGTTTTTATAACCATTGGCCAAGAAACAGTCCTTGCTTGCTAAGTACTAAACCTAAGGCCCTCCATGGATTATAGTTGTCCATGTTTTTGGTTTCTCTTTAAAACTTCTAAATTTAATCTTAAAGTATAAGAAACAGAATAATATACTTTTCAGATAAAATACTTTAAATGAAAATAACTCAACACTAACATTATTAGTTGAAGAAGTTGGATGGGGTTGCAGTCAAAATACAAAGTAAAAGTTAATGGATATTTTTATTTTTATTCCCTTTGTACCGACATTTTGGCCTAAGTTTCAGGCCTTCATCAGGGCTAAGCACAGACGAGATCACATGTAATATAAATATTAAGAAATGATATGATTTTTTAAAAAAATTTATAGATAAAAATGATAAATAAATTAAAGGAATAAATTTATATAACATTTTTATCTATCAATTTAAAAAAAAAATACTTATATCATTTCTCAATATTTATATTATATGTTATTTTGTCTGTGTTTAGTCTTGATAAAGGCCTGAAATTTAGGGCAAAACGTTGGCACAAAGAGAATAAAAATAAATATATTTATTTATTTTTACTTTGTATTTTAACTGAACACCCCAACCAACTTCTCTTCAATTATTTACTACAGTCAACCATCAATTCACTAACATTATTAGTATTGGTAATTATTGGGCAATATGAACTAGTTTAGTTTGATATGTCTTTCAAATTCCTATCTGCTTTTGAATTTTATTTCCCATTAGTTCTGTTATTAAAAATAACTGAAAATAATTAAAATCATTATTTCTTCTTATCGGATCCTTTTAGAATTTTGATAGCACTCCAGCGCAAAAGAGAAACTTTTTTTTTATTTATTGACCTCATTTATTATCATTGTTATAATAATATTTTATGAGAGAAAGTGAAACAGACTAAGAAGTTACATTTTCAACATTACTAAATTATTTCTCTTATTGTAAATGATTTGTATTAAAGAGAAATTTCAATAATAGTTTGTTATGTGGACAAATAAATAATTTTCTGATTATGATCAAATAAAAATTCAGACCTTGTTATATTGGCTCGTAGACCTTTTGGAGGTTCATTTGTCATTTTCACACCATTTTGAAGAACCAGAACAGGAAAATGATCAGCAGGATAAGAAGTTAGCCAAAGACGAAAATCAGGATGCGTAGAATCTGGAGTAAGTTCTTCACAAATCTAACCATCAGAACAAAAATAAGTTAGTAAAGAAACAGACTTTATCATAATTAGTTATAAAAAGGAAATAGCATTAAAATCACATAGAAAATTGAAAGCTAATATATGACAAGAGGTCCTTTTTGTTTGCTTTTTATTTTGTTGTCACTTTTTGTTGCTGTGGTATCTTTATAGAGCTAAATGATTTTTGTGACACCTCTGTCGGATTAAAATTTGTTTGTACTTTTAATACAACATACCATATATTAAAACTAAAAAATAGTTTCCTCCTCTATAAACAGTTTTTGCTGTGCTGATATTCATAGACATATTTTATTACATTACAAACAAATGGCATGTCCTTGCATTTTTTCATTATTAATTTTTATTGGCTTAACCGAGCCTGTATCTCCTTGGCAACTGAGCCATACTCCTCTGATCTAGTTTATCTAGGGCTACTGCTTTCCAATTGGCTGCATGCAGCTTTATAGCATCTTTGTTGATTCTATCTATCCATCTGGTTAATATACCACGGTAATTTATTAAAGCACTAAGTGATTTGATTTCATGAAATGTAACTTAATAACTTTTAGCAATAAACTGATGATGCATCCATTTTTTATTGCAAGTTACAATTTGTAATGATTATTTATTCAAAACAAACAAAATTAAAGGTATTTGACAGTAAGAAATTCAGAAAATTAGTCCTGTCAGACTATTTCAACGAGGTCAATATCTACCTGATATTAAAGAAAAGAAGACTTTATTTATATGTTTGTGTGTGAGTGAGTGCGTGTTTGTGTGATAGATATAATGTGTGTAATAAATGAGTTTAACTAAAATTGTTAGTAATTTTGAGAAAATAGTAAAAATTTGTAAAATTAATTACATAAAGCACCACTACAGTTAGTGGATTTTGACAAAAAACTTTTTGTAACATCCCAGTTATATACTTATTTCAAATTCAGTTTTTTTTGGGTACTATAGGACTTCAATGGAAGTCTTGGACCAACCACGAAAAAAAACTTCAGTTTAGAATGACTTTTCATTTATATGGACCCACAGAACATTTAGCAAGACTTGGTTAGTACGACCCAATGGACCTCAAATGGTTTATTTCCATCAAAAACGATGATCTGAAATTTTTCATAATTGCAATGCTTTCTCTTTGTATAGAGTAAATAAAAATAATATAAATATGTAAATATTGTTAATTTCATTCATAGAATTAATAAAAATGAGTAAAGGTAAAAATTGTTAAAGATCGATAAAATAATTTATAATAAAAAAAAAGTTGAACTATAGTCAAATAACTGACAACTCAAATGAAAAAATTGCCCTTTTTATAAAAAATGTATTTATGTTATTTAAATTACAAATAAAACTAAAAAAATATACTCAATATAGAAATTGTTAATATATATATATATATATATATATATATATATATATATATATATATATATATATATGTATATATATTCCAGAACTTCTACTGAAAACCCATAAAAATCATGAATAAGGTAACCTTTTCTAAGTTCGGCATCCAGCTCTTTGCTAAATGACAATTCTGTAGAACAACCCAAGTACCAGTTCTTAGGGCATCATTTATAAGTCTCATGGCAATAGGTCCCTGTCCCTGTCCTAAAGACAGAGAATTCAAACGATTTCCACCAAATCCCTAAAAATGGAAAAGATGTGGATATATAATATAATTTGATTGATTCAACAACCAGATATCTACAAACAAATTAGTATGTCAAGAACATAATATAATACAAATTTTAGAAAGATAATCTTTTAATTTAAATATGTCTTTCAATGTAATATTAACTAAGCATAAATCTTTAATCAAGTAAAAATGAAAAGGATAAAATTCATCATTACCATGTCATCAGCAAATTTCAACAATGTTACTGTTGGATCAGCACCTGGTGTCAGAATAAAGATGAGTGGTATACAACTGTGAGAATCAGCAAATGATGACTGGAGATCAAATACGGGGGGTTCAATGAAGGCTTTGCCAATTTCGCCTATAAAAGCAATATTTATTAGTTAACTTGCAAGAATAACACAACTTCATGTAAAATAAAAATGTTGGAATACACCTTGGATTTCTATTACAACTCTGAGAGAATCAATTAGAAAAAGTGGTAAAAATTAATAATTCAAAGCCTAACCACCTACTGGAATCATGAATGGCCAAATAATCTTTTGGGCAACCGATAAACCATTTTTATATGACCAGCAGGTAAGGTGATTATGAATATGTAACCGCTGGAGCCACCTTTTGGTTGAATGAATCTTATCTAAAACTAAGTAACAACATATTTCTATTATTCTTTTCAAAGAAAAGAGTTTCTTATTACTGATTAAAATCAAATCTTATAACTAGAAAATGAAATCAATACATCCATATTCTGAAAAAAAAAAAACGTGTCATTAACATTTCTACAAAAAAAAAAGCCCCATTTTCTGTAAATGGGGAGTGGAGTAGCTCAGTGGATGGATGATGACTAGTAATTTTTCATCAGCCCTGGGTCGACCCTCCTGGGACAAACCCAGCCTCAATAAAGCGGTTTAATTCACTAATTAATTAAGGGGGAAAACCTAGCGGTTGAGCGTGATATTGGCGGCTCACCTCCATGCAGAACCGTCGGCCTTGTAACAGTACTTCCTCACATTTTACTGAACCCATAACCCTTCATGGGTTGTTAGTGGTACAAGATTTATTTTATTTTTTTTGTGTAAATGCTATAGTACCCGAACGAAGCGTTGCGGTGAGTGGTGAAAACAGGTCTGATGAAAGATCTAAAAGATAAGATGTGAGCTGCTACGCTGCGAGATTCTCTCATCCCACTTCAGGCCAGCCACACCGACCAGTTAGTCAGATCGGAGAAGGGTGCCCTTCTACCTTCAAAGACCAAGTAACTCTTATAGGTCAACATAAAAGGGTGAATATTTATTTGCATAATTCATATAACCTACCACTTTCAATCAAAATGTAGTCCACTGCCAAATTAATGTCGAATGTTGTGTAAATAACCTTGTTTGGGAGTGTTGGTTATTTACACTCGTGAATTTTAATTTTTTTACAAAACCTCAGCACTGTATATAGACTTTTTGAGGATGCTTAGTGTTGTTGGGAAATCGGGAACCTAATGCTATTATGACACTGAGTGACAAGAAATAATAAGAATGTACATATATATGAAATTTGGGACTGAGTAAATAAATTTTGAATGATTTGGCTGACCTGGTTTGTTATTCTTCAATTGTGAGGCATATTGGACAACTAAATAAAAGAACTATTCACTCCTGTATAACAAAATAATTTATTTCCACAACTGTAATAAATTGAATCTATTAAAGTCTTATAACTATAGGCTTGATCTTTTTAATCTTCAGTGGAGCGGGCTTGTCTTCTCTGGTGTTACCACTCCTTCCTTCTTCCTGTCCTCGCCTCAAGTGTCTACTTTGTTCTCCCACGTTCTTCTCCAACTGCTGCCACATGCCAGCACTTTTCCAGGCTTCTTCCTTTCTTTGTTCTGTACCTTTTTCCATTGATTTTTTATCAATTTGATACTTTTCAATAAACCACTTGTCCACTGCACCATTGAGTACAATTCATAGTGCAACCTTACATTCCTTCTCATTCCCTCACTCAATGTCACATTAAGGAGTAAATACTAGAGGCCATCTACTACAGTTGCCTAAGTAGAACTCATTAGAGTTATTTGCCTTTTTTAATTAACTTTGAAAAGTTACCAAAACAAGTTCCGACAATTGCAACAAGTCTAATTACTGATTATTTAAATATAGATGATGTAAAAGTCAATTTGAAGAAAAATACAAAATTGGAATTTTTATATTTCACAAATTAATCTATTTTGAATTTTTTATTTTAAAAAAATTATTTAAATTTGTGTGTGTTATACAATTATCATCTTCACAGCAATTTTCAATTTTTTAAAATCGTCATTTTCAAACTCTTGATCGTCTTCAAGATTTTTAAATTGCATAATTAACCTAATATATTTAAATTTCTATTTAATTATTTAATATCATCTAGCTATGATATGATTATCACAAACTTCTTTTCATCCAATAAAATAATAATTTTAGTAAATCAATTTCCCATAAATAATTTATTCTATAGACCTGTTTGGCCAAATAGGAAGGTGTATAAGACACTTTCAAATACTCTTCTTATTTTGCAGATCATTCAATCAAACCCAGTTGCTTAGTGACTGTTTGGTTGTTTACGACCCCATATGGTAGCAATGCAAGGGTTCAATTTCAAGGGTGAAAAAAAAAGAGATTGTTTATGGCTCCAGTGGCGACCAACCAAATACAAGAACAATTTAACTTTATTATGAATATTAATTGATTTGTTTATTGTAGAATCTACACACATATATTCTAGCTATCAAGAAGAATATATCTTTCTCGTATCTACTGTAACTTGGGATTAGCTAGTTATGATTATATGCTTTAATTTTCATAAACTGAAATGTTTCATAAACATAGGTCAAATTAAGAATTATAAAACTTACTAGAAACAAGAATCTGGATTGCCGGGAGCATCTTATCTGATCTAATGCATCTTAAAATCAAAAGTTTTTGAAATTGTGTAAGAGAGGTGTCCCATGGATGAGGATAGTCCACATTTTGAGGTTCTAATGAATCAAACAGTTGCTTCCACTTATCTGTATTTTGTTCAAAATGTTCTCGCAATCCCTATAAATAGTCTCATATTATTTATATTTTACAACTGATTCATACTTTCGTAACATCCAAAGGGTTTGTAAAAACCTTGCGAACAGAGAATTAAACATTTGGATAATTAATGGATTTAAAACAAAACAATCTAATTCGATTTTTATATAATTTTGTTATAACTATTATCTTTTTGACCTTTCAGATGTTTCATTTAATTTTTCATCACCTTTCATTTAATTTAAAACAAATGTTATCATATTTTCTCCATAAAATCTGTTAGATTTATATGTTTGCATCACTTTCCATTTCCTTTCAATTATTTTTTTTTTATCAAATATTTTTTTAAAGGGAAAATATAGTAGAGATTTGGATTTCACACATCTATAAAGCCTCAAATAGGAATTTTCATATAAATCTAAAAAATGTTTTAGGAGTTTTTTTATATTTATTGTTTTTAAACGCGTTAAATCTAAAAGTTATTGATATGGTGTTGAAGAGTAATAACTCAACTTTCCAACGATCATAGATACATTGTATTGGAAAAACTCCTCAAAGGTTTCTGTTTTATATCTCTAGTCCTTTTATATTTACAGGGGTCTGGTTTGAGTCATTTCGTGTAGCTTATGTAGTCCTAACTTAATGTAAATTTTTGTGATGATACGTGGAGTCATTTTTATGTTACCCCACTTTTTGTGATTTTTGAAAGAAGATCAGAGAGAGGAGGAGGCTTGGTTCCAATTTGGAATAAAAAAATTTTTTTTTTTTTATTTCTATGAAAATTCGTATTTGAGGCTTTATAGAGGTGCGAAATACAAATCTCAACTCTGGTTTTCCTTAAAAAAAATATTTGAACCCACTTTCCTCCTTCGGTCAGTACAAATTGTTTCAACGTCGTACTTATACTATAGCTATATGCCAAATGTATACTTAATTTCAAATGAAATGGGCTATGATAGAACTCTCTTAATGAATATTAATCGAAAATAAGAAAAAATAAATAATAAAGTGAAAAAAAATATTGGAAAAATTTCTAATCGATTTCGATGATTTTTTTTTTTTCCTTTTGTAGAGAATTTAGTAATCTTTTATATAATCATGGTCATAACTCAGAAAAAAGGTTTTAATTCTTTAGTTATTCGCAAATAAAGTTTGTTTTCTTTCATAACTTGTTTGTCTGAATTTTTGGGGTGATTGGACTATTTTGCCCGCCTGAAGGAGAAGGAAGCCTTTGAAATTGGTGGCTCAATCTTGAGATTTGATGAAGAATTAATGATGATATGGCTTGCCGATCAAAAACACCATCGATAAATAATATAAACTCCTCCTCTCTCGTTCATAGAGGCCTTAAGTTGATGAAATGAGACATGTATTCAATGACAGTACTTCAATTAACTTGAGGTTGTGTGGATGCGAACCCTATGCCTTGTGTTATCTCGAAAATAGTACGTTTTTGGCCTTTAAAATGGAGGATCCAATGGTTCCGAAGGAGCTATCCGGGTCTTGCTGAACGCATAAAAATCTTCAAGGTCCAATTTCTTCCGTATCAATCTTAAGACGTACCACTGTTCGAGTATTGAAGCCTGGCAAAAGTTTATATCGACTTTATTTATTTTAGAAAGAAAAACAAAAGTGAAGAATACGATTTGCTAACTCCCCGTGAAATTCTGAATCCAACGGTACCCCATTCATGGTATTTGAACATGACAGGAGCTTATACCGATGTCGGGCTTTACTGTAATAATATATGTGGGGATTGTGGGAGAAAATGGATCTTTTAGAATAATTCTGAGCTTTATCGGAAACTAAAAATTTTTTAATAAAATGAGTTAATATTATTGTTTATTGTATATTATTAGGTTTATATAAGTAGATTTTCAGCATGTTGGGTGAAAATATTTTTTGAAAATTATGATTTCAATAAGTTAAATATAACAGTTAAACTAACCAATATTGACAAGGGTTGGGTGCTCTCAGGTGTTCCTGTAGGTTTTAGTTTCCAACCCTTATTTATCTTATTGATGAAAATCAATTTTTTTCATGTATTATATTTAACCATTTTTTATTACTAGTTACAATGTAAAATAGTTTTTAAATAAACAAAATTGAAGATACTTTAGAGATAGAAATTTTGAAAATTCAGCATTCAAGCCCTGGCAGTTTACAATATTTCAAAGAACATAACTCCTGCCTGATATTAAAAACTACTTAATTTGACATTGATATAATGACTTTCATCAAAATTGTTAGTCTTTTTGAAAAAATTGTAAAAATGTGTAAATTCAATGATATAAAGTGGCACTTCCGCTTAGTCGAGTTTTGACTAAAAAGTTGCTGTAACATCCTCTACCTACTTTAAATACATAATTTTAGTTTGAATAACTTTTCATTTCTGAGTTAGGCATGAACATTATAGCACAAAAATGAAAAAACATACCATTTCGGGAAACTTGGTTTTAACACTCAGAAAACCTCGAAAGATTATTGGCATTGAAAACTCAGATTAGAAAATTTTCAGGATTGCATTACTTACCCTCAATAGATACTTCATTTATAAAGTGAAAGTAAAAATCTAAATGAAACTATTGAATACCAAGTAAATAACCATCTAAATGTTTTTACATTATGTAAATGATCAAAAATTTATTCTGTACATATTAAAGATAGAAATATCATTACAACATTTATTTTAATAACAGTTAATTTATGTATTAGAATTAAATATAGCTACTTTAAATGAAGGCAGATCAGAGAGCCGGCATAATTCATCCCAGGAGACTTGAGGAAGCCATGTTGATGGGTTTGGGAATGGATTGTCCAAGCCAACTCCACCAGTGAGCAAGAACATCCAATCGTCTGAAGATACGGCATTTCTTTTAAACATCAAGTTAATAACAAGAATCATAGAAAAGAGCAGTTTATCCTGTAAAATAATGGAACCATTTCAAATAGCATAATGTGCAATATCTGTAAAATATTTCAATCTAGAAGGATATCCAAACAAATAAGATAAATTTAACACATTAGTATCTATAAACAAAAAATTACATGTATAAAAATTTAGTATTATAATGTATAATATGTATTTAATGTAATATGTATAATAATTAATTATAATGGTACACCTGTGCGGTAACTCATTATCAACAAAATATTCATCCTAAATAATTGATGAAGCTATATGCTTTATACTGACTATATTGAAGGATTAATTTATTTAACAAGGAAGGAATTAGCTTACCAAAATAAAAAATATCCTTTAAGCTTAAAAGTTAAGTAATGACATTCAGCTATCTTTAAACTTAAACTAAGTATTGCATTTATTAGGATGGTCCAGAAGAGCGGGATCTCTGGTTTGTAGTCCTCTCTCTTATTAAGAGTGGAGTAAATAAGCTATACTTGATTATGAACATGGTTACCGCTTTGGGAATATTAACAAACATGAAAATTAAGACATATCCACAAAATGAGTTCATTTTTATTAAGAATATCAAAGAATCTCATCAGAGATGCCTATGGTGCCTTGATCTCAGAATAATTCTCCTCTGTTCATTGTTTCTGTAAATTTTTCAGTTTATCATAGACTATGATAAATAGCAATATTTCAACAGTCTGACAATGATAAGTATCCAATGGCCATATATCCATTTTGTTAATTTGAGATTTCAGGACTGAAGACTTTGCATTCACTCATGTTTAAAATACTGTCTTTTTCTACCAACACTAAAAGTCATAAATAATTGTAGTCAAAGCTCTAAAACTACAACTACTGGATATATTGACCCTCACTACTTTTCCAACTGCTTTGCAGTCACTACTTACAGCACAGTTGTAGTTGTGAGCTTTGACTACTTTTATTGTATTTAACAGATAATAGATGTGGTGAGCTAACTACTAACTACAAAGTAGTTATAGGTGCAACAACATCCTAACTATTAAAGAAGTAGTTATATAATAGTTATATCTGTCCAGCTGTTGCACTCTGTAAAACAGCGCGCCCCCTCGCAAGTTAAAATAATTTAAAGTACTGTATGCATAATTTTCTTCAATTTTATTTTATGTTCTCCCAGTCAAAGTAAAATAAAGGATATATCAAATTTATGGCATTAAAATATATCAATGTACTTCTGATATTATAAAGAGACAAAAAAACATTTTCAACAATACCTTTTCAAACAGACTTCTACATATATTTACATAAAGGGAATAAGTAAAATATTTGGATAGTTCTTCTATTCTTTTTGGTACATCATCACATTTTTCAGTGTTATCAATGGCCATTTTAAAGAGATTGACAAACCAAACAAGAGAATACTGGTACATAGGATCTATATTTGCTAAATTAGCTAAAAATAATAAACATAAATGTTAGATATGTTTCATATAAAACTACTTACAATAAAAATATTTTGAAATATAATAAAAAAAAATACACGCGAACAAATAATAGTCAGATCACTTTTTGAAATTAAATGGAATTTCTAAAATAAGAAAAAGAAAAAAAATGTATTCACTCATAAATTTGTGGCAGTCTGACAAAGCATAAAACATATCCACCAACAAGAGCCTAATAGATCAATAACAAAAAATAGAAACTTTAAATAATTATTTCATAAGAAATTACACTTCTGAACACTCAGTTCAATGGCTAACTTAACAGATGTGAGAGCAAATTTTATAGTTTGAGGTATAAAAATATTTAAGATTTGACCACACCTTGTAATACTTTATTTTTTAATTCTCTTTGCTTCCTTTTAAATTGGTTTATTTTTATTTGTATATACATATACAAATGCAATACATATCTATATATCTATACATAGATATAGATATATATGTATATCATATATACATTGGTGCGAAAAAGTCCTCAAACAAACCAAATTTTTATAAAAATGACAAATGTTTCAACTTAAAAGTGTTTTTATCTTCATAATTTTAATCTCATAGATCTGCCTCATTCCAAAATTCCTTCATAGCCCGCTCTGTCAACTTTTGGAATTCCCTCCCGATCAAAATTCGACATGCCCCTTCCCTGTATACATTCAAAAACCTCCTATTCCAATTCCTGTTCCAAAAACAGTCTGATACCAGCTAACTATTGATATTATATATGTATTGTGTAGCAGTCATATAATCATAACACTTGGTAAGAGATAGTACATGCATTTCCTACTATCGACGTAGGAATTTCAATACATACATTTTTTTTTTTTTTTATTCAATTATAAGTAACTGTTTATTTTTATATATATATTCAAGTAAAGTTTTTTTTTTTTTTTTTTTTTTTTTTTTTTTTTTTTTTTTTTTTTTTTTTTTATGAAATGAACTCATTGTATCTCTTTTTCGTTCTTCATTTCTCGAAGTGTATGTTTATGTTGTTCAACCCTTAAATATAATTTTGTTCATAGTTCAAGTGATTCGTTCATAGTTTTAATTGTTTTGTTCATAATTTGAAATGTTCTGTACATAGTTTTATCTGTTTGTATATAGCTTGTGCACCTAAGGTTTTCTTTACTTTTTATTTTATTTTATCAATTTTATTTATTGTTTCCACGTTCAGGCCAGTAATATTCTATTATTTTGTACATTATTGTTATTCTGAAGGGACTTAGTCCCAGAATAAAGTTTTTTTTTTCTATCTATCTATCTAATTGTATACTGATTTAACATATAAAATATTGTAGATGTAAAATATATTTAAATTAGCATTATTTGCAATTAGTAACAAACCAAGGGACAAATTTGTTTTGTTGGCGTTATTTTCAGAGGGTGAATAAAATTACGTTATAGTTTAAATTTTACTGTTATCCAATTCAGTCTTTATTCTTTATTGTTAACATCAAAAATTGTATAAACTCAAGGAAGCTGAGTTTATCTATAAAAATTGTTCCTATATTGGTATTCTCCACTTTTTTTTTCAGAAACTTAATTTATCGTCCATATTTAATCATTTATTTTTATTTTATATTTTAAAAAACAGCAAAATATCCACATTTTTGATCATTATCTTGCTGAAAAATGAAGTCCAATCAGTTTAATCCCAGATGTTATTACATGATGTAAGAATGCTATGGTAATGTTTTGCATCCAGTTTTCCTCCTATTCACAAGAGGTATCCAAGCTAATCTAGTTCTGCTAATGTCAGGGGATGTTTAAATTTGAAAAATAATTCACTAGTTCAGGAAAATGGCTGCTCTGGAGTTTCCCTAGAGAAGAAAAGGAGATGAACAAAGGAGTTTAGTTGTTGTTTGACTGGGTCACTAGTTGTTTGGAATTACAAGAGAGAGGATGTCCCAGGGAGCTCTTGTGTTGAGTAGATGAAGTGTTTTTGGAAGGGGTGTTTGGCAGAACATTGGAAAGTGTTTGAAGACAAATGAATTCAGTGCCACAAACGAAGAAACAGTGTATACAGAAAAAAAAGGTTAGCTTGCCTATTCATCAACAAACAGTGTTAAGTGTAAATAATTTCAATTTGTCTGAGTGTTTTGATCTGATTGTCAGAATGACATTCCTTATATAAAATAATTATAAATTTCAGTTTAATATATCAATATTCTTATAATTTTGTTTTTTATCTAACAACCTCATATTTATTTTGGAAGTATTGCTACAATATGAAGCGATGTTCCAGAAGTTTTATTATTAGTTAAAATAAGGACATATTACAATATAAAACAAACAAAAAACCTGTACCACCACACAGCAACTCATGAAGGGTTCTTGGGTTCAGTACTATGCAAGAAAGTACTGTTTCTTTGTTGACAGTTGGGGAAGGAGGTGATTTGACTGCGATCATGCTCTAACATCTGGCTTTCCCTCTTAATCGATCATTTAATTAAGGATACCCGCTGTATAGAGGCTGGATGTTTCCCAAGAGTGTCTATCCATGACAGATGAAACAGAATAAATAAAATATCTGCCATCAGCTGGACTCGAACCTGAGACCTTGAGCTTGGAAACAGCGCCCTACCACTAAGCTATACCAATCAGGGCTTCTTTAGGGCCAATCCGAGGCAGTGTTGAACTGTGGAATGTATTTTTGCAGCCACTGCTGAGTTGACCTGGCCTTGTGAGTTGCAGCGGAGTCCTGCTGGAAAACCCAATGACTTCCAGCAAACAAAGTATCATTTAGAGGCTTAACAACATGTTCCAAAATATCGTCCTGATAGTTTTTAGCAGCTGTTTTAACTCCTTTTTCACAAAAATGGAGCTTTGTGGTGCCATCAAAGCAAACTACCCACTAAACCATCACTGAAGAAGGGTGATGACCTCTTTCCACTCTTCCAATGACTTCCTGGGCTTCTTTAGAGCTGTGTGCATACACAAGATCATTATGGCGATTAAATTTTTCTTCAAGTGTAAAAATGTTCTCATCGCTAAACAAAATCTTCACAAGACCATTGGTGTAACGGCCAAGGAGCACTTTGCTTCTATTCACTCTAATGTTTTTTAGGGAAGTGATTAGCCTTTGTCCTGTCATTCTTCGAAATTCACCCATCCTAAGGTCACTTTCTATAATGTGAGACATTGATCTGACAGAGATTCCCATTTCCTGAGACATGTTTTGTTTTTTTTAAATGGGACTTCTTCTGAATCTAGCAGCCACTGCTCCCACTGCATTTGCTGTTCTCACAGTGCGGTGACAGCCTGGTCGAGGTCACATACAGATAGAGTCTCATTATATCTATTTATAGTGCGGTACACAAACAAACGGCTGATACCCAAAGGTTTCAAAGTGTTGAAAATCTCTGACCTACATTTTCCAACTTTGTGTAAGGCGATCACAGCTATTCGGTTTTCTTTATCATCCCACTCCATGTTAACTGAGCGAAAGAAAAATAGAAACTAATTGGGATTATTATCCAGACATGTAAAGAAAATAACCTGATAGAGGTAAGGATTATCTAAATAATACTCAAGGATGTACACATAAAAACAAAACATAAGCCGGCACCACTAGAGCCCATGAAGAGTCTTGGGTTCAGTAATATTTAGGGAAAGTACTGTTTCTTAGTCAACGGTTGTGCAAGGAGGTGACTTGACTGAGATCATGCTTAATTGCCAGGTTTTCCCCCTTAATTAATTATTTAATTAAGGGTACCCACTTTATAGAGGCTGGGTGTGCCCCAGGAGGGTCTTCTGATTCCAGGCCCCACAGCTGATGAAACAGAATAAATCATTTTTATGCCATGAGCGGGGATTCGAATCCAGGACCTTGAGCATTGGAAGATCAGTGCACTACCACTGAGCTACCCCATTCCACATATACATATATTTATACAAATATTTATGTATAATACAACACCATGCGATTGGATGCCATGGAATGATGTGGTCTTGGTTTTGTGTTCTTTTCTGTCCTGATGGTGTCTGAATTGTCTTAACATTGACGAGTTATTTTATTCTTTAGCTGCATTTTTGAGACGCATGGCTGTGTGGTTGGAGTTTTCCAATTATCAACTAATATAAATTTTCTGTCTCTTGGCGAGTTTTTACTTGTTGGTTTATAAATTGTTTCTTACAACTATGAAGTTAACCATTGATATGTTCTCAAACCCCTGAGGAAAAATAATGATGAAAAGAACAAAAAAAAAATTAAATGATGAATAATAATAAAACAAATTCTAAAATCTACAGTTCATACTTATACTAAAAAATAGTACTGTTGTGTAAACAGAAATTGGTTCATATTGTTTTCGAGTAGCATCAATTGATTTTTCTGTTACTTCAGCAACAGCTTGCTTCTGAGCTATTTCATTGGCTAATACTTTTGAAGAACTTAACACATTCACTGCATTTTCATCTTCCAAAATATTACCCTCAGATGATGATAAAATTTCAAGGATTTTGTCCTCAATTTCCTTTAGCATTCTGTAAAAATTGCAAGGAATATTTATGTAATGTAATAGGTGTGCAAATAAAAGACTTATACAGATAGAGACAACCGAAAATACAAAATTAATAACAATAAAAAAATATATAAACTGTACAAAATAAAATTGAAAATGATTTGCATATATATATATATATATTATATATATTTTAATATACACCTTAATTGAAAGATGCTAAAAATGATTTAATTATTTAATGTAATAGTTAAAAAGCAAGCTAATCTAGTTCTACTAGTGCATAGAAAAGAAAATGGCTGCTCTGTAGTTTCCCAAGAAGGAAAATCTTAAAGAGGAGAGGGACAAAGGTTTTTGTTTAGGCAAGAAGTTGTTATTTAGCTGCAGTGAAGAGAGGATAGGAGAAGGAATTCTGGCTCCAGTGGGTAACCCAGTAATACTATTACCATCTTGGAAGTTGTTGTTTGGCAGAGGGACTAATTGTTTGGAATTACAAGAGAGAGGATTTCCCAGTGAGCTTGAGTTGATTAGTGGAAAGTATTACCATTTTGGAAGTTGTGCTTTAGCAGAAGATTGGAAATTATTTAAAGACAAAGGAATTTAGTGCAACAAAGGAAGAAATAGTATCTATAGAAAAAAAAAAAGCTTGCCATCATACTTGACTTTATTTTAAAATCAGTGTTTAATTTTAGTATAAATAGTGTAAATAATAATAGTTTGTCTGAGTTGATCTGATTGTCAGTAACCCACACGTGAGATAAATAAATATATTAATTCTCTTATAATTTTGTTTATTATTTAATAACTAATTGTTTATCAATCACATGTTAATATAGAGAATGCAATAGATAATAAAAAAAAAAAAGGTTACAAGAGTGTTGTAATACAGTGTCGAAAACTTACAGGGGGACCTCCACTCTTGTGGTGTTTGGTCATTGACTTCTTGATTGTTAAATTGAATGCGGCGGCGTTTTATTCTCAGGGATACACTGACGATATTGCTATATGAGACTTCTGAAAGAATGGTGCCAGGAAAATGGCCTTGGCATAAACCGGCAGAAGATAAATCTCTGTATCTTCACTAACAGAAGGAACATTAACATTAGGCCACCATCATTAAATGGGTCAACATTAAATATTTATAGTGAAGTAAAACATCTTGGGATTACTTTAGATAGTAAGTAAAGATGGCTAAATCATATTGAAAAGATTTGTGGTAAGGCTATACACTATACAGGCGTATATACAGGCGTGCAGAAGAGTTGTTGGCAAATCGTGGGGGCTGAAACCTAGCATGGCCTTATGGCTATATATACAGAATTGCATTTATTATGCAACTGTAGTGTGGTGGCATAGGGCAGCTGCAAGCAGGCCTAGAATGCTGCTTGGCAAGCTTCAAAGGCTTGCATGCCTTATGATGACAGGAGCTATGAGCACAACTCCCACTAATGCAATGGAGATTCTCTTGAATCTGACACCATTGCATTGAGAGGTGGAAGCATATGCTCTCAGAACTGCTTATAGATTGGGTAAACTGGGAGTGATAATTTGACAAAAATAAATAAAATAAAATGAACTGTGTGATTAATTGGAGTAATTAAAATGCCCTAATGCTTCAATACTTGACAACCCATAATACTAATTAACATTAGTTCTGGATTAATGAAGTTACCAAATAATAAATAAAGTATGTATTAAGGTCAAAATCCTACATCATCAAAGAGGAATATGAGCAATCTGTGTGCCCAGCTCTAAAAGAAATTGGGAACTGCTTTATCTAAAAAAAAAAATTAAAATATCTAGCAATTTCAACTCTTTTACTTGCCTTTTGTTTTCCGCTCCAGAAACAATCAGCTGATTTTTTTCAGACTCTAAATCAGGCCTGTCTTTAGCAACAACAATACCAAGCAACTGATCTTCTAACCCCGTAGGAGTAATCATAAAATTAATAAGAGTAACTTTAACTGCTATTTCAGGTAAATAATGAGGATTACGTAATTTAGTTGTAATGTAAAATCTGAAAAACAAAAATTACCATGAGAATAGTAAAATTTTAAATGAATTTTGCTTAGGTATAATAATTATAAGTAAGATAGGTATAACAAAAGAAAAATAGTGTAATAAATCAATAAAAATCATACAAAATATTTATAGAAAGGAGAATATTTAGATTAGTAGAAGACTTGGGCATAATAGCTGGCAACAATTTTGAAATATTATTAGGAAGAACATTGGATCAAAAGATTTAAAAAAAAAACAAAAGTTATTATGATATAAATAAAATATTTGGACTATAAGCATCATCTGGGCCATTACTGTGTAAAAGTGTCTAGTCTTGGAACAACAAAATAATAGAATTTTAATTTAATAGTACTTAACTATGGTGGAAACTCTTATCAAACTCACTTGTGGCATCTCTTTGGTAATATGCATGCACAGACATAAATATTTTTTAATTAAAAAGATATAAACATTATTACCTAAAATCAGCAGAAAATTCAACAATCGAATCTCCTAATTTAATACACAAAGCTCCTCCAGCTTTAAAAGTTTGCTTCAGTAACAGTGGTTCTAAAAGTGCATCTAGCTCTTCACCAATATTTTCTAAAAGAATCTAAGCAAATTAAAAATACAAGTTATTTTTTACTTAATAAAAAGGTATATTAATAATTCATAATAAAGAAATAGTTAGCTAAAGTAACATACTGGCTGTCCAAATTGAATAGCATTTTCAAGAAGTCTAACATAATCAGTTTGTGATAACCTGATAATACCTAAATTGTTAGACTTTTCCATGTTTTTAACCCATTTATTAGCTTGTCCTTGTGGATCAATCATTAAAGGGAATCTCCTAGCATTTCTGAAATAAATATTTCAATGAAAAAATATTTTAGTTTCATATTTATTTGATAAATTACCAATCCCCGTATATACTATAATATAAATTTTATTCAACTGTTATTTGAAAAAATATCTAGCCATTGTGTAAATACGACTTTTATAATAAACAGCAACTGAGTGTAGTAAATCAAACAAACAATACAATTATTTAGGCATTGCTTTCAGATCATCAGGTCTCTTCAACAATGTTGATGAGGAAAAAAACATATCAAAATTAACAGAATATTGTGTGGAAGACTTTTCTCTCTTGCTAGAGTGCTGGTTAGTACATTACTATATAAGGAAATAATTCCATGTACAGAGTTAGGCAATTCCATCTAAGGTCAATATATTTGTTTTTATTAATTTAAATTGTAATAAAACAATATAAAACTTAAAACCCACCATTATCATTTTATAGTATGAAATCTTTTTAGTAATATATTACTGTTTTAGAGTGTCTGGAGACAAATTTAGAATTTAAAATCTTGTAAATTTAATCTTATTATTTTATATTTAAATTGTTATAAGACTCTTTAAATTCCAATCTTTCCAAGTCTCCAATCTTTTTTTACTCGAGAACACATTTCTATTTTAATAGTCAAGTGGCGGGCACCAATTTTTAGTTTTCCAACAAATTTTATCATTTGATATTGTTAAAAAATTTAACTTTAACATATAAAAAAGTATTGCTTATATTCTTATATAATATAAATAATTATCTAATAATACATTTAAAAAATATATATGAATTTCTTTATAAGAAATATAAATGGTAAAGATAATATAATTGCACAGCATTTCAGTAGTCAGTGCTTCATAATTTTCAGAAAACAATTATAACATGATAATCTGAAATAAGATAAGAAAACGGTAAATGAACGCTTAAATAATGATTAAATACAAAATTATCAACTATGTAATTTTGTTTTCGTTTTCAAAAAAAATAAAAAAATAGAGAAAATAAAGAGGAGCATAAACTAGAAAACATTGTTAAAAAGCTATGATATCGATAATTTTCAAAGATAATTAATTCTTTCTTTCTTTTTTAATCATTTCCTATTCTACTACTGAATGGTGTGAGGAACCACCTTGTAGAGCTGAATCCATGATTTACATTCCTGAGCCAACTGCCGCCTCCTCCTTCAGTCAATAACTGTTCTGTCAAAGGCCTCCTTAACACCGACTTCCCAAGTCTTCCAGGCCTTCCCTAAGTAGGATATGAAGGTTGAATTTAAGATTTCACCCATTGCTTCCGAAAATCCCCAAATTGTCTGCATAAGTGAACAAAGAGAAAAGGACAGGCTGTAAATTTCTGTATCCCATTTGATAGGGTCTCATATTTTGTTTTACTATTTTTATTGCATTGTCTAGCACTAGTATGAATAACAAAGGACTTAGACTACACCCTTGCCTAATAAAATGTTTAGATTTGAATTCTTTTGATAAATTATGGATTGTTCTCACAATATTTCTTTGAGTCTTATAGAGACTTGGAATTACCTAAAGAAGGCTGTTTCAATTCCTTTGTCTTCTAAGGCTTTTGCTATGTCTTGCTTCTTCACTCAGTCAAATAACTTAGTCAGATCCACAAAACAAGCATATATCTCCTTATTCCTTTTGACTAATTTCTCAGAAATATGTCAAAATGCAAATATAAGATCCTGGGTACTTCTGATTGGCCTGAATCCAAACTGTTCAAAGCCTCTCCCTTTGTATATTTACTTAATATATACAAGTTTTCATTAAACTATATGTATGTGAGGTCTAGATATATGACTTGATACAGAATGACCCACATATCCATTAAATTAACTTAAAATTTTACCAGTTGCATGTTAGTATTTTAAAAATTGAATTACTAACTTGACAATAATCCCATTTTCTACTGAATACGCATCACTTGGTAATCCAAATATATTCCAAGCTCTGATTTCAACAGGTTCGCCAAGAGTGTTGGTAACTGAAAAATCATCTGAACAAACAATATTGAAAGATTTAACTTTTTCTACCCAATCGACAATTTGATTAGCCCTAAACTGTGTTGTAAAAGGGCCTAGATATGCCACAACTCCTGAAGCCACTAAAACATCACCTAAAACACAAATAAAAATGTATATATATATTGTTTAAATTAATAATTAAAAATAATGTAAATGACCACAGTAATAGTGATGATATTATTTCTGATGAACAATGAGAATTTCAGGACTATATATATATATATATATATATATATATATATATATATATATATATATATATATATATATATATATATATATATATATATATAAATATATAAAGGAAAAATAATCCATTAGATTAGCATCTATCTGGATGCAGAAGTATATAGTTGGAGTCATTGAGAGAAAAATACTGTATTTTTTAAAATACTTATATAATTACTATATAAAATATAATCATTTAAAAGTAAAAATTGGAGCCTTTGATTACGGATAAAACTGATGTAAATTTGAAATGTATTAAAAAATCTAAAATTCAGGGAATATTCAGAAACATGAGTATATTTGAGGATAAGATTACAGAAGATAAAATACTTGTTATAAAAAGAAATACCAACAATTAGCAACAAAGAAAGACAAAATTACAAAAAATAATACCTTATATAAATAAAGTTTTTATGGAAGTTAGTCTTATCTACCAAAATTCTCTAGAAAACACCACGCTCTTTATTCAGCAAAGTAAATCTAATGTGGACATTTACATGTGGACATATAAGGTAATACAATTTCCAGAAATTCAACAAAGTTTATTTTACTTTAATTTTTTTTTTCTTTGGCCAGTTGGGATTTTTAGAGTATTTCAACTACCAAAGTTCGGTGGTCTACTGATATACTGCACATGTTTCAGACAATTAATTTGAATGAAAATTAATTCCTTCTTCTCAGAATACATTGTATTTACTTATTTTCATATGATATTGTCATTTGTTTATTGACCATTGCTCTATGCAAATTATTTGCATGGGTAAAGAAGTATTAAAATATTTTTGACTACATAGCTGGTTTTTGAAACAATGAAATTTCAGATGATCAGTGGAATACAGCTGTGCTGTGAAGAATAGAATTATCAGTGGTAAAATGATCATAAGAAATATCATCAAATCTGAAATATCCATATCTTTTTTTAAAAATCTAACAAGCTAATTTATTCTTATTATTACTAATACCAAAAAGAAAAAAAGAGCAATGTTATTATTATTATTAAAAATATTTCACCTGTGAGCTTATAATATTTTTTTCCCAATGATTCAGCAGTATGACGCCATCTTGTCTGCTCTCCACCTAAACCTCCCAACAATTCTTGTGCTCTCTGAAGTTTGAGGGTACATAGATCTGTATCTGCCTAAGAAAAATTAATATTTTTTTAACATTAGATACTAAAAAAACAGGATGTGTAAATATATTAAAATTTTCATAAAGAACTGAACAATTGAACATAAAAAAAAAATTGGTCAAAATAATATGATAATTAGAAAGTTGTATTTAATCTAAAAACTAAATAATACTCTCTAAATATAAACATAGAAAAAATATTTTTATTGTAAGTGCAGCCACCTGAAGTGCAGCTAGTTTAGACTTTTGGCTTTCCAGAACAGCTTGAAGTTTGGCAAGTTTTGCTTGAACTTCTCTCAATTGGGCTCGTTTAGCTTCTAAAGCAGTCATAGCAACTTTATATTCCTCTTCTGCTTTAGCTAATGCTATTTTTTTAGGAGCCACAACTTTAGCAACTTTATCATACTTAGAAATTGCAATAACCCATTTACATAACCCTAAAAGAAATAAAATATTAAAATTAAAAGAAGATTTCAAAAATATTTATCCTGTTGATTTTATGGAATCACAAACAGATAATATATGTTTTTCTAAAAGAGAATGAGTATTTTTAGAAGCTTAAATGTATCCAAGAAATAAAAAAAAGTTAAAGCAAGACAGAACATCTCCAAAAGTACTTAAATATAAATAATTTTATCTAAACTTGCTATTGTAAAATTTTAAGCTAAAACTATTGAGATGATTACCATATATTACTTAATAGATAAGAAAAATAGTCTTTAAAAACTACTCTAGTTGATTTAACTAATGCACTCCATGTATTACATGCATAATGACACTAATTAAAGGAAAGATACTTTCAGATTTGAATTAGACTAAAGATGTATTATCAGTTCTGTCAGCTATGAACTTTATTGAGTTGGAAAATCATCATAGAATAATTCCAGCTTCAATAAACCCGATAATTTAATTTGTTATGAGCATCAAGTAATGATCACAAAGTGAAGAAGACAAGATTGGTAAGGCAAACTTTGTTGTGAATATTGAACGCTGTAATAGAAAGAAAGAAAAATATTCTGGGACCAACTAACCTAAGGATTAATAATGTGGTAGGATAAGAATGATTAACTTGGTTTTAAATGATTTTAGACCTTATTACCACATGTATGGTAGTGGAGAAAGTGAAATATCACATTGCTGTTGAAATTCTTCACACAGATTATTTATCTATCCTCACTATTTATCACACTAAGATTGATTATTTATCTGTAGGTACTTTCTTTAGTTGAATGAAAAGATTTGTAAACTAAATTTAAGGAAATAATTAAAATAACAAGGAATTCAAGGTACTAATTATCATTTGAAGCCTTATTAGCAGGATAATGTTTGTACCATTATATTAAAATCATAAACATGGAAAACGATCCATGAGTCTATTTTCAAGAACCATAGTATGAAACCAAAAAATTAATAATGTTGATGACGAGAGAGAAAGTGTGAGGAAGAGGGAGGGAGAAAGAGGGTAAATATAATTTCTAAGGGATAACAATATTTTGTTTCCTTGCTACCAAAGGTAGGGAATCTTTATATTCATGCAGGAATTGGAAAATGTTTTGTCCTTAAATAAAAATTTCCACTTGTTTTTATGTTTTAATCAAAGAATAAATGTGATTCTATGCCTGTCTATAGTCAAATACATGTGGCAGGTAAAACTCATACTATCACTGAACAGACTTTCAAGGATTGTTCGGTTTAGTATCAACCTTAACGATTAACGAAATACAATTCATTTCCTCAACTTCTCATATCCAAAACTATTTGGGATCTTAGTTATTTGATTATTATGCTTCTTCATAATTATGTTAGATTGAATTGATTGATTGGGTTTGAAATGAAATTCTGAGTGTATCATTTTGGTTAGCATTTTATCTTGTTCTCTCAACAAAACATTCCACCTATGCATGAACATCTTGCAGACTGTGTCAGACAGATTTAGATTCTCATCATTATAGTTATGACTGTCTTGTTGCCAAAAAATCTCAGAGGTTAATAAGTGTTAATTGAATTGTGTTTGTTGGTATACTTGAATAAGATAATACTTTCACCTTATGTGTGGACAGCTATAATAGAAGTTCCAAATTATACACAAGGGAATTTTAATTTTTAAATAATGCATTGTATTCTTTAATTTAAAAATCCATAGAATTAATATGGTCATAATAAGAAAATTTCTCTTAACTGAATTTACATAATTTCAACAATATTAATTAAATGCACTGAAATTAAATGCTTCAAACACTCTCAAAATTTTACTTGATTTTAAAAATATTTGCCAAATACCATGAAAGCAATAAAAAGACAGTGTGTAAGCTTGTTTTTGAAAATAAAATATTGCTTACAAAAATGATTAAAAAGTGAAATACATGCAATCAACAAAAACACTTTATTACCATATTCCATAAGAGACGCTGGATTTGAAAAAAAGAAATAAAAATTATTAATTTCAAAATAAATATTGAAAATATCACTATAAATATGAGGAAAATACAAAAATATCAATGAAAATATGAGGAATATACAAAATGATAATGGTGTATCTCAACAAAGATTATGAAATACATTATTTTAACAAAATTTGGGGTGTTTTATAAAAAATGTATACCAATTAGTTTTCAGTAACTACAGTGATCATTATTAATTATTAAAATAAAATTCAGTGATCATAGATTTATAAATAAATATAATCTTTAGTAAAAAAAAATTAAGTTTATCGAGTAACATGAAAAACTGAAGGAAGAAGAAAGAAGTGTCTGATCATCTTTAATATTGAAAGGTTTTTTAAATGAAAAATATATGATGAAATTTTGTAATACAATCAACAAATAGAGGCGTTAAAAAAAAAATTGAACTAACTCGCTGATAATTTCAGAATGAAAAATTTCCATCAGCAGGCATGAATCATAATAATTTTTAGATATAAATTTCATTAGTATGATCAGCCAACTTAACCAAATCTGTGTGGTATCAAATGGCAATTTTCAAATTTTTTGACTTGGCTGTTCCAAAAATTCTAAATTGAACATTCAAATTCCTGATTGCAATTGAAAAACCAAATAAGCCATTTCTCATTTATGGTTTATAGCAACTGATTAGGGAACATTATTTATGGTATAGATAATTTTATACTAATTATAAAAGGTTGTCAAACATAATATTTGACAACAGTTTTTGCAAAGGCAGGCCTGCTTTACATTCAAATGTACATTATTTCTTCTTTCTGTAATTATTGCTCAATAATAAGAAAATCCATCGTGTAAATTAAAAAAAAAAAAGTTTAGCTAATTTATTTATTTTGTGTTCTTCTAGAATATTTAAATTGCATTTCTTTCTCTTTAGGTTGAGCTGATTTAATATTTATATATTAACTAATACAATTATAAATATAGCCATTTAACCATAATAATCAATGGTCATTTACCCTCAGCTGCAGTTGATGCGGTTTTAATCTTATCAGGATCAAATTCAGCATTATGGAGAAACCTATCTGTAATACTCTTCATAATACGTGGAGGAATATTGTCTTTGTCGAAATTAATCAGACCTTCCAAAAATTTCATGTCGCCAAGAACCCTTTTAGAAGGACCCCAATAATCTTCAACCATTTTACCAGAACCGTCTGGATCCGGAATCCTGTCTGGTTTAATATCCTAAAATGATAATTAATAATTGTATAGAAATTTTATACAAGAGTTTAAAGGACTATATTAAAATAGAGAAATCCACCTTCATCACACATATTGCCTCCATCACAAGTTTAACGCCTCGAGGAGGATTTTTCATGCTCTTGACCACTGTAATATCAGCAGGCGTTAGAGTATTCAGTGCAGCCAACGCAGCATCCAATATTGGCATAGCTTCAGCAAGATTTTCGTCACATTCATTTTTTATAGCTTGAGCAGCTTCAGCTTGAGCATTGGCATCTTTTTCATCTCCTTTTACTACTTCTTCAACCTACAAAATGTAAAGGAATCGTACCAATAACAGATTTAATTGAAAATTCCCTTTTCAATTTTTTTTTTTTTTAACAAAATATGAAAATGTTTGAGTCGCAGCCAACATAGACTATTTGTTTTAATTTAATTTTTTTTTCTATATAATTTTATCTCCTGTGGGTTCGAGGATAATATAATAGTCCCATCATGTTTAACCGCTTGTCGTAGAAGGTGACTAAAGGGCCAACTGTCTGTTGACCTTAATACCCATCCTTCCTATCATTGACTGATTACCAATCCTATCCTTCCTCCTTTTCCCATCCATACCTCTCCATCACTGCCTGGTGGGATAGAATGATGTTTAAAGGCTAAGGGAATCAACCTCTATAGAAAGTCCTGCTCCTCCAAGGCTGGGGGTAGTCATAGGGCTAACTACCTTATTTCCGGTTAAAAAAAAAAAAAAATCATTGTTACTAAACAGAAACAAGAAAATAGCCAGATGGATTTGGAAAAGGACTACTAAAACTGGCAACTTGGAATGTAAGAAGTTTGTACCTACCTGGCGCTAGTGAAATACTGGAGAGAAAGCTGTAGAGGTACAAGATGGACATTGTGGCTTCACAGGAAATTAGGTGGAAAGCAAGGGAAATAGTCAACCTGTAGGAATACTCAGTGATTAATAGCCATACCACACAGAGAAATCACTTTTTTGAGATGGTTTTCATAATAAAGAAATCGATTAAGCATACCCTAATGAATTTTAAAAACATAAATGAATAGATATATTTCATTAGGATAAGAGGAAAACTCATCATCGGTGTACTAACAGGCCACTGCAGACTTAAAAGACACTTAAAGATCTGTATAGTAAATAATGAATTCTCCAATCTTTGCAGAAACGCACCAGAAACTGCACTTCATTTCATTACAGAATGTTACCAATATACATCACTCAGATACAGACTTCTGGGCGCAGACAGAATACAAGTATGCAAAGCTACCTCTATAAAATGGCCCAATCTTTTGAACTATATTAGAAGAACAAAAAGGTTTGAGACAGAGTTATTTATTATTTATTTATATATTCCACCCTCCCATACCACTATGGCAATACGGGTGTTTGCAATAGTGTGTTATTAGGCATGAATGCTTAATAACACACTACTACTAGTTAACATGATGTGCATTTCTTCTGTTCTTCTTGTTTCGGCCTAGCTTTCAGAATCTGGAGGTCTTCCTGGTGCTTGTCCTCTTCTTCTGCGGGCACCAATGTGGAAGTGAGCGGGGCCCCACCGCCGTCTTCCATCCATATATGAAATCCTTAAACCGCGGGAAATTTTCCTCGCTGACTAACTGAGGAAATTCATTTTCAGTGAGGACATAGATTCCCACGGCTCTTGTCATAGTCGCTCTTAACGTTTCAAATGCGGTGCAGGTCGTGACCACGTGCTCTACAGTTTCCGGAACACTACAGATTGGGCATAGAGGATCTACATCAATGCCCAGACCGTGAAGTTTAGCTCGAAATCCTCCATGCCCAGTGAGGAACTGGGAAATCCAGTAGTCCGGGAGGACCCACTTTGCCTGAAGCCTCGACTGCACTGTGGGAAGGTACTTCCTCAATGTACTTCCTTTAGGAGTTGCTACCCACCACCGGTTCCATGCTTCAATTGTATCCTCCTGGAGTATCTTCTTCCATCTATTAGGCGCTTCCATAATCTTCATCCGTAGATTGTACGAAAGTACGGTAAAGCCTTCCATCTTAAAGAATATTTTGCCACTTCTTCTAGTAGGAGGAGGTCGAGAGGCACCACTCCCGCTAGGACCTGCACCGCTTCATGCAAAGTTGTCCTGTATGCTCTGGTGACCCAAAGCAGAGCTGTCCTCTGAGTCGAGGCCAGCCTTTTTTTTTGTCGTAGTGTGAGGTTACGGAACCAGAAGGGAGACGCATACCTCAGGATACCCTCCACGACATCTTTATATATCGTGATTGTGGCTGGATACCTAAGGCCCCAGAAAGTGCCTCCCACACGAGTTAGACTGTTCATTGCTAGGGCCACCCTACCTGCCAGATATTGAGATACAGTTTGAGACAATATTGAGATACAGTTTGAGATAGAGTTAGAGATACAATAGACAACCATTGGTAGTATTGTCTTTGGGGATGGCAAAAAAGACCAATAGGCCCACTTGCTGGACTAAATCCCCCTATCAGTACCAGTACCAGTACCAGTATTTTTATGCCCTGGGAAAAATACTAAAATCCAAGGAACCTGGAATGCCAAAGTAATAATTTATAAAACCATTATAAGTCCAGTCTTTATCTACAGGTGTAAAATATGGGTTTTGACACAGAAAAGTGAGAGGTTGCTGACAATTTGGGAGAGAAAAGTCCTAAGGAAAATATACGGTTCGAAGAAAATAAATGACCATTGGCGAACACAGAAAATGACGAGCTCTAAGAGCTGCTGTAGATCAACAAAATAGAAGAAGACCTCAGCTGTATGGGTATAAGAAGATGAAGAAGAATATCTAACGATAGGGAAGCCTGACAGAAGCTTGTTCCTGATGCCAAGGTCGAGGTGAAAGGGAATGTTGAGCAAATCAGTAATAATAATAATAATATAATATTATGGCAAGCCATTTTATTTGTATAAATTAGGCCTATCATTAAATATTAAGAGTATCCCGATACATCCCAGCGATGTTTTCAGCTACTTCCGGCACAGCTCGCCTTTTATCACATATCACATGACATGAACATTAGTATGCCCCTAGATGCATGATGACTGTCATTTGGGACATTATCATTCTCCAAGAGAAAAGTCTATCGATCTGCACAGCTGTGAAGTGAAAGATAATTTGACTGACCGGATACTAGTGGCCAGTTCTTTTAATTTAGGACATTGGGTTAAGTTATTACTTCGTTGTTAACACATTTCTCAACCCTTGGGTCTCACAGTCCTCAAGGTGTCATAAAAATTATATTATACATGTTTATCCTCAGAGATTTATATTATTTTAAATTATTAGCAAAGATAATCGTAAGCTATGGAAAGGTGAGCGGACTTGGTCATTTATTATTAGAACCATTGCCACTGCCACAGTTTGTCCTTAAATTTGATTAAACAACTTGAATAAACATAAAAAAAAAAAAACTAATTTATTTAATAATGTGTCTAGCTATAAATATTAATATGTAAATACAGTCTTAAAATATAAATTTAAGTAAATTATTAGGTAAATAAGGATTCAGAGTAGCCTCTGTAAATGTCCGCCCGTAATGGGTTAATTTTATTATCTCAAATAAATACAATATTCAAATTTAAGGTAATTCAGAAGATCTATGTAAAATGAATTTTTGTTTGAAAAAATATTCAAAAGATAAAAACATAACTGAGAATTTGACCAGATTTTAACTAAAATTTTTAAATTGGTCTTGCAACGCCCCTTCGTTTGACCAGCCCTGCGCCTGAACTTTGGGCTGAAACGTCGTCAAAAATAAATAGAATTATTTATTATTTTTACTATTTTCTTTTTTTACTGATCACCTCAACCATTCTTCTCTTCAATTATTGACTACAGTCAACCATCAATCCACAATTATAAAAATTTTAAAGCTTTCTGAGCGTAAAATTACTATTAATTTTAATTTTTTTTTTCCAATTTTGGGTTTTTTACTATTAAATAAAATTTTAAAAAATAATTATAAGGAAATATCTGGATCAATTTAAGTTATATGACCAAAATAAATAAATATAAACACAAAAATAAAAGTATTGATTAATAATGAACCACAAGCTGTGTTAATAATGAAAACAATATCTCACTTTAGCGACATCTTCTTTCTCTTTATCGACTTTTGTAACAGTCTGTCGAACATCATCAGCTGCTTGCAGAAGAGCTGGTTGTAATTTCTTTAAATTTTCACCCATGATACTAATTTCAGCAGCAGCACTTGCAAGTTTTTCTAAGCCTACTTCATATCTTTTTTTAGCAACCATGACTTCACTGAAAAGTTGATGATAGTATCAATTCAAAATCTAGTTTAATAGGAACTAAATACTAAAAATAAGAGGGAAAAAAATCATACTTTGCTTTATAAGATTCTGTTGTACATTATAGTGTGTTCTATTAATTCACGTTAATGGTATAAGCCTACATGTTCTTTATTAAGATTCTCTTTATTAAGATGATTATTTCTTTGAATTCCAAAGTAAAATAGTCTTTCTAGTTCAGTTAATTGATTATTAATTATATTTTAATAATTGCGATCATATTAATCATAAATAGCATGATCGCAATGAAAAGCCATATCTAACTAAATAATACAAAAAATAAACTCAAAGAAACATTTCACAATGATTCTCAGATCTTATATAACGTTATTTTAACTCTTTGAAAAAACTCAAAAAGTAATTGAAGGATTAAGCGGCCAAAGGTAATAAGTAACATGGGAAAAGTGGTATTGTTGATAAGGATACAGGCATGAAGAACTTACAAAGGCATTTAATTTCAGAACTCACAAAATGTTATTTATCACTCTTATCCATTTGACCTTTTCATTAGGTACTATTTCTTTACTTTCTGTTTTATTTTTGAAGTGAAAACATCTTTAGGCATGCTTAGCACTTTATTATGTGGGTAGTGAATGAGATTAAGCCTTCACGCTCTGCTATGTAACGCTCATTCAAGTAGAGTCAGCTCGAGTCAATTAATTTCTGTATTTGGTTTAAAACATCTCAGAAATTTAAAAATCAGACCTGCATACTGTAAACATGAGAAATGTTCAGCATTTCATCCTTTTTGTATTGAACTTTTATTCAAAATTGTATCTTGAAGTACCGCCGTGTTAGAGAGGCAAAAAGGGAAAAAAAGGTCGTGTCAAAAACCATAATATAACAAGTTTTTTAGAACATTTGGATTAAAATCTCAAAAAATAAAATTTGGACCTGCATACTATAAGTGAGAGTATGCGTTATAATAATCTAGGTATCTAATATCTTACTTTTAGACTAATTATTGGGTGTCTGCAGATGATACCCAATAATTAGTCTAAAAGCAAGATGTTGCTCTAGATGTTATATACCTAGATTATTATAACATGAATTAGAAACTGACGATGGAGCACATTATTATTTTTAAGCATTGTATCCACAAGATCATTGGGATTGTGGTTCTGAAGATGGGAGTAAATATCCCGAAACGTAAACTTGTAAACATGCAATTTTGATAATACAACAAATATATTCAATTGTTGCTAATTGGAAGTAATCATTGCCATATAACTAAGTATATCATACAACTTCCCAGAAAAAAGAAGTAGTTTATAACAATTATAATTGTATATATTGTAAATGTTATAACTTTGTGAATATAGAACAAAAAAATTGTATATTTCATATTATTAATTCTACCTTGTTCATATTTTCACTTCTATCGTGTTGTCTAAAGCACACATCATAGTTATTATTTTTTTTCATCCACATTACATTTATAATGAATAAGTAAATTATTTTTTGTTTTATTCAGATTATTTATGACTTTAAAATGCTTATTAAAACACAATGTGTTTATTATTGAATACAGAAACAAATATATGAGACATGCGTTATCACAAAGGAAGTGCTTAAACATGATAGCTTGCTTTGACAGACACACAATCAGTACAATCACAAGTAATAGCTATTTAATGATTCGAACGCCACTATGCAATCATTTTTTTAGGGTGTTCTCATTCTCTATTGCCTATTGTGTCACGGGGGAAGGAAGGAAGCACCAGAAGAAACGTTATTCCTGCCTAAAGATAGATATCTAACCTTTAAAAAGATTTTCTTTTCCATTAGAAGCCCCATTTTAGAAGCACACATCATAGTTTTTTTTTACTTTTTGCTACGTTAATAAATAATTATAATATAAGTTACTTAGGTAATTGAATTTACTTTCTTTTTTTTCCAATAAGATCTTTGAAAGTATTTATAAGCTCTAAGTAGGAAGTAGGAGTGACATATGTGTGCCTTCCAGTTTGTCCAAGATAAGCTTCAGCGAGTGTTTGAGTAGATATATGAAAATCTTGACACATATCAATACAGGCTTCTCGTTCTTTCGCAGACAAATTGATTTCAGACAGAAATCTTTTAGCTACAGCTAATAAAGCATCTTCAGGCCATGTCTAAAATTTAAAATAAGAAATTAGTAATTATGATAAAAAGTATACATATAAATTTGATCCAAATATATATGAATAATATAGATATAATCCTGTCATTTGTCTTAAATCTTTCTAGCGAGCAGTACCCTGATGAAGGACTGAAACTTAGGCCGAAATGTTGGCACAAATGAAATAAAAATAAATATAATTTATTTATATTTTCATTGACTGAAAATACCAACCAACTTCTCTTCAATATATTAATAATAAAAATATTAGATATTAATAATAGGTCTGTTCCAACTCAAGTATAGACTATCAGCAAACTGTCAGCCAGTGCAGTATGATTTTTCTGTTCCAAGCATATTCAGAGTACAGGTTTTGTTATGAAGAAAATGCAATCCTCATGAGGTGCTGATAGTTTGCAAATAGTAAAAACTCATGTAGGAAGAGACCTATAAGATATTCATAAATATAAGTAATAATACTACCTGAAACCAATCAATAGTGCAGCAGTTCACTAATGCAGGAAACTTTCTTAAACGATTTCTAAATCCATCTCCTATAGGACTGAAGGCAAGAACTATATGTAACTGTTCTCTTACTATTTGTAAAAAGAAGTTGAATAATGCTACTAAACTTCCATCAGTCTGTAAAAAATTTATGATTATTATAGACAAGAAAATCAAATTTAAGCTGACAATATATTGCAATAACAAAATATAAAAGAAAATTGTTTTCACCTGTTGTGACTTTTCTCTTTGTCTGTCAATTTGTCTCATCTTTTCACATATTTCGATTTTCTCATCCATGTTGAAAATATTAGGAACTTCACCAGAATTCAATAAATTATTAAGATCTTCAACAAAAGATTCCTCTTTAATCTGAGAAATCAGAAAAAAATAAATAAAACAGCTATAAAAGTAACAATTAATAATCTATTATTTTCAAAGGTATATATTATTTTCATTAGACCTACATATTGTGGGGGAAATATTGATCATTTCATCCTCTTTGTAATGAGCTATTATTCGAAATTATTTCTAAATCGACACCACATTAGAGAGGCAAAACGGGAAAAATAGTGTTTAAAACCAAATGATAATGAATTCTATTGAAGATATGGATTAAAATATCTCAGAAACTAAAAATCGGACGTGTCTACTATAAGTGAGGAAATTGTTCAGCATTTCATCATCTCTGTAATGAGCTATTATTCAAAATCGTATCTTAACGCAATGCTGAGATGCGAAAAGGAAAAAATATTGTCAAAAATGAAATTATAACAAATTTTATTGAAGATATGGATTAAAATATCTCAGAAACCAATAATCGGAACTGCATACTGAAAGCGAGGATAATGTTCAGCATTTTATCCTCTTTATAATGAGCTATTATTTACAATTTATATTTCATATTATTTATCTCATCTTGTTGACATTTCATTTTTATCACGTGGTCTAAAATACACACCTTAGTTTTTTTTATAATTAAAACAAATCTCTTAAATAAATTATTCTTAATTTTAATTATAAAAATAAGTTATGTACCTCATACCTGTGAGTCAGTGAATAACAACACGACATGCTGGTCGCTTGCACTTCCTTTTCTTAAAATATTTTTAACATCTTCATGCCAATCATTACTAGAATATGCTTTAGAAATTTCCACCTATAAAAACATATTGATATTCAATGTTCTTATTACTGAAAAAATATCAATGTTAATTATAGAAGTTGGATCAGGATGGCAGTCAAAGAAGAAAACACATAGATAAGTGTATCCTTATTTTTAATATGTATTTTATTTTATTTATTTATTTTATTTATGTATTTTATTTTATTTTATTTTATTTTTAATATTTTATTTATTATAACACATAGATAAGTGTATCCTTATTTTTAATATGGGTCATATTTGTTTGGCCTGAGGTGTAGGCTTTCATTAGGGCAACAAGTCTGAAATTCCAGGCCATGTGCACATCTGTAGTCAACGATGCACAATTAATGATAAATTTATTCAAATTTGTATTGTAGAAGATAGTTAAGAACAATAATATGTATATTTTGCTCCCAAAATCTTTTATAGTAAGCAATATTAACATCATAACTAATCAACATGACTCAATCTGGATGATCTTGACAATGCAAACTCCTACATTTAGCTGATGTAACTAATCTTGATTCCATTTCTTTTCTTTGGACTTAGAATCTAAATCAAATTAAGAACAAAATGCTGTTCCCATATTTGGGTCATAACTATGTCAATTCAACACAGAGTTGGAAACTCGTCTCAGATTTTCTTGAATTTCGGTAGTGATTTGGGAGCTCATCCTTCCAATACTACTGGACATCCTTTCTATCTAGACCTCTCCTCATTCGTTGAATCCTCCTTTGAACATGGTCTGTCAAGGCCTTCTGGCATGATCTTTAGCACATCCTTGGAATATATAAAATTACAACATTATTATGAAAACAAAATTAAAGAAACCAATATTTAAAAAATTATAAGTTAATTATAAAATAAGTACATTAATATTAAAAGTTTATTTTAGTACTCAGTGATCAATTCTACTTTTCAAATATCTAGTGGCCTTCCCATGGGGCAGTAGATAATTTTTTTGAGATTGGAAATTATGAGTATTTTTAAACCATGACTTGAATAAAAATGTGAAAGGAAAAGTATTCCATCCTCAAGGTTACTCCATCCTTCCACTCATTGTTGCTGAAAGTTTAAACTTGCCAACCAAAAAAAATTGTAAGGAAAAAAACAGGCATAGTACTTGTTACTGATGCAAATATGAATTTTTATAATTTCATGTACCCATAAAAAAAAAGTAATTTTTGTGACTTCAAGATTTTTCAAGTTAGATAATATACTAGATTAAAGAATACTTTAATGATTGGGGCAAAAAAATTCACTGGAGCAATTGGAATTTAAATAAACTGTGTCAACCTGTACTCAGTTTATGAATTCACTTTGTCTTGGGACAATTAAGACAAGCTTCGAGAATTTTTTTAAGGTATATTCTCAGTAGATAGGATTATTTTTGAACTTGGTTAGTCAAATCCCAAATCTGCTCTTCATCTGGTGGACCATAAGTTAATCACTAAGGATATCTTCATGAGGGCCCCTCCTTAAGTTCATGTGAAAGATTTTTGTTTTCAAAACTGAAAAAAGTGTGTCTTACATTCTTTAAGTACACCCAACATATTTATAAGCAACTTTCAATTCTCTCTCAGGCAGTATATTATGTTTCTAAAGATTATCTGGTACTATATATATGGTGGTTAGTGCATTGAAAAATTCTCTATATCCTTATTTTTACCAAGTAGTTTTGTCGTTAGAAATTCAGTTTTTTTCCACTGCCTTCTCTTTTACTGATGGAGATATTTTTCCATTTTTTCCACTGCTGGTACATTTCAACATTACCATTTATCTCTAAAAAAAATCTTTCCTTGATATTTAATTACTTTAAATGAGAAGAGTTGAAATTAGAACAAATGATAGATGGATTGTAGTGGAGGCAGTAATAATTTTTTATATTTTAATGTTACTATTTTTATTTCACACACACAGAAATCCATATATACATTCAATTTAATTTCTGTGATCTAGATAATTAAATATTAATTAATTCTAGTGCTAGATTAATGGAAATTGGTCAACAACATATGGAAGGCACAACTAGCTCATGGAGGCCACTGGTTGTCATATCATAGACACCTGTGGTCTATACAGGAAATTCAAATTACCTGATAGAGATCGTATTCTGAAATATGAGCAGAAAGCCTTGTTAAGGACTGCCTTCCGGAACCACCAACACCAACCAAAAGTGCATGACCTCTAGGTTGTTTCATTATGCGACAGATCCGAGACAAATGTTCAATAGCAAATCTACAAAAATATCGTAATTATTATTAAATTTCTTATGTATATGGGTCCATTATCAGATGATAAGTCAATCTCAAGAACCAAACTTTGAAAACTTTTAGTTGGTTAAAATTTTTGGAATTTTTAAAAATTTATTTAAGATCATTCAATGATTTGGCGAAATTAAAAACATGTTTCTGCCTAACATTTTTAAATTAATCTTTAAACTATTAAGATTCTCACAATTAATGCAATTAATGTCGACAAATCAATATCATCAACAACAAAATGGTGTCTACCAATTTTGGTAGTTGACATTCCTAAATAATTCTCAACCTTTTGAAGAATTTTTAATTAATAATTAATAAGGTTGAGAACCTTATTTTAACACAGATCACAATCAAGAGTTCCCTATATTGAAGAATGCCACAACTGTATCTTCTTTTCCTCTTTATAGAGGCACTTGTTTATTTCTCTTGTAAATTTTGACAATATACCTATCTAAATTATATTTTATTAATAACTGTTATTAATACAATAAAATGTACACACTGAGATAGTAATTTTATTACCTACAGTGGCCAACAAAAGTTTTCATATACAGACTGACTGAAATAAAAACTTCTATATAAAAAATTCCTTCCAACATAGATATAAAATATAAATGCATAATTAATCTTCAATACTATCCTGAATTTTATATTAGATTGTGTAACATATAAGTATCTAAATATGTTGCAGATGAAAAGAAGAAGTAAATTATAACAAACAAAATAGTTCAAATTATACCTGAACAAAACCAAATTCATAGGTTTTTTACTCATATTATTGTATTCATTCAGGTATCCTTCAACAATTTCTGTAAGAGTTACAAAATCATTTACTTCTATATAATTTCTCTGATCAGCTTTAGGGTTTGCAAAGTCACAATACATAAGTTTTCTAAGGTCAGTTTCAGTAACCTAAGGAATGTATTTTAGAATATTATTGGTCAGTTAAAAAAAAAAAAGAAATGAAAATACATATTAAAAATAAATTTATAATAAACATTAAAAGAGTAGAGATTCAATATACCAAACATACCTCAGTTTCTGGCGGGGTACATAAATGGGCGAGAAGTTCATTCATATCTTCTAACAGATGATTATGACAAACATCATGCAAAGTACTCACAAGCCAGTTTCTATCATGATCATCAACAAGTCTATCACAATATACACGAAGAACTTCATGGACCCACAGTCGTTTCATTGCCTTAAGGTCTTCCATGGCTTCAGGAACTGAGAGTAATACACCCTAAGAAACAAATAAAAATAATATATTGTAATATCCGTCTTTCTATTACTTTCTTTTTGACAGTCTCCCTTTTCCTCTTAAGCTATGTGTGAATGAGATAAGCTTAGATCAGAATAAGTGAACTGACTATGATTAAAGGACCACTTCTTTAACATATTCAACACGTGTAAGAGAGGAGAACTACCCTCAGAAATTACTAAGTATAGGAGACCACATTCACACATTTTCTTGCCAGTCGACCTATACAGTACACCCTTTTCCTTTTCAAGGTTTATGACCGGTAAGAGTTAATTAAACACTTCCTTAAATTACAATAAAAAAAGGGCCTATTAGAATATATTAGAATAAATTAAATAATACATGAACATGTTTTACGTACAAAGTGTAAAATGAGTACGTCATGCATGTTATACGTAAGTATAAATATTGGTTTGTATAAAGAGTTAGACTGAATTGCGTGAAGTGTATCTGGTTAATATAATTGAGGTGATTACATTATTTCGAATAAAATGGGGATATAAAATTGTTGGGATTACTAATGAAAGAACCCTTAAAAGTTTCAAAAGTACATATGGTACGTATGTACGGTACATAAAAATACGGGCCGGGGTAGCCATACAGGTTAAGGCGCTTGTAATAGGTAACCAAAATTAAGCAATGCCGAGCGTGGTCAGTACTTGGATGGGTGACTGCCCCCCACGGAAAGACACGCTGCCCGAGATTCCTCTCCCTCTCCCCTCGGGTATATGAGACAATTTCTACGATCAGTTAGAAAAAGTTGTGGACCAGGCTCCAAAAAATGACATAAAATTAGTCATGGGAGACATCAATGCCAAGTTAGGTCGAGAAACCCAATTTAAGCCCATCATCGGAGGCCAAAGTTTCCACGAAACTAGCAACGATAATGGAGAGAGATGCATTAGTCTGGCAGCAGCTATAGGTCTAGTAGTAAGCAGTACAATGTTTCTGCACAAGGACATACATAAGTATATCTGGGTAAGTCCTAAAGGAGCAAAAAGCCAAATCGACCATAGGCTGATAGACCAAATTGTGCTGATAGATAAGAGGCATCAAAGCTCCATACAAGACATAAGGAGTTATCATGGAGCAGACTGTGATTCGGACCATACTCTGATTAGAATCAAACTCTATCAGAGGCTGAAGCGAATCCACTGAATTGGGAACCAATTAGAAAGAGAGAGGTACGAAGTCCGTAATTTGAAAAACCCTATAGTACAAGCTGAATTTCAAAATGAGCTGAAAAATAAATTCGAACCCTTGAACTTGGAAGGTCTCACGGTGGACCAACACTGGGAGGCACTAGAGTCAGGGCTAAACCAAACAGCTAAGGAAGTAATAGGGATTCAGGAAAAAAGAAAAGCCAAGAAATGGTTCACAGAAGCATGCGAAAAGGCGGTGGAGGAAAGAAGAAAAGTCCTCTGCTTACAAACTGATCAAGCTATGCTGGACAAATACACAGCTGCCAGGAAAAAGACAAACAAAATAATAAGAACATCCAAAAGAGAATTCTTCGCATATATCAAGAAAGAAATGGTAGGATATAAAAACGAGAAATACACAATGCGAGGGAAAGATGGCAAATTTACGGCATCAAAAGAAAAAATCCTAAGCATCTGGAAGGAACACTTTCAGCAGCTGCTAAACCAAGGACACCCCACAAACGAAGATGACATGGACCACACTGAGGACATCGACCCACTTGATCGACAACCTACCATCAGAATTGTTCAAGGATGGGGGAGAAGAACTCAGAGCCAAGCTGTTAGATCTAATCCAGAAGATATGGGAGAAGGAATGGATACCAGAAGCATGAAACACAGGGTTGATCTGTCCTATCCTTAAGAAGGGCCTCCATTTATGAATGTGGCAATTACAGAGGCATAGCACTTCTTCCAGTCGTCTATAAAATAATGACTAATATTCTGTTAAATCGGATATATCCGTATTATGAAAACATAATAGGCGACCATCAAACAGGATTCAGGAGAGGGAGGAATACGCTATATCAGATATTCATCCTGAAACAAGTACTTGAAAAACGATGGAAAGTAGATCAGGACGTACACGCATTATTATTTGTCGACTTCAAATCAGCCTATGACTCTGTTGACAGAAACTGTCTCAGGAAGATCATGATTGAGCTGGGTGTTCCCGGGAAATTAGTGAGGTTGACGAAGGCGTGTACAAATGATCCTAAATGAAGTGTACTAATACAAGGAGAAGTATCTAAAGCCTTTGAAGTCCGAATGGGTTTGAGGCAGGGAGATGGATTCTTGCCGATGCTATTCAACTTAGCACTAGAGAAAGTAATAAGAATAACATCACTCAAAGATGGAGGGATGCACGTTGGAATGAAACATAAATCCTAGCCTATGCCGATGATATAACTGTCCTCGGAAGTAATCAAGAGGATATTGAGAGACTTGCTCGGACACTATTAAAAGAAGTAGAGCAAATCGGACTACAGGTCAATGTAGATAAAACTAAATACATGATAGTTAGCCACAACATCCACCCTAATAATGATCTGTGTGGATTCCGAGTCATTCCTGAAAGTAGACAGATTCAAATACCTCGGCTCCACAATAACCTCAATAAATGATCAACTAACAGAGATAGACCAGCAAATAACAAGTGCGAACAGATCTTTCTTCTCTCTTTCAAAGGTACTGAAGGTACTGAAGGGTGTACAACGCTGTGATTAAGCCAGTTCTGATGTATGGTTGAGAAACCTGGGCTCTAACCGGCAAATTAGAAACCAGAATTGAGAGATTCGAAAGAAAAGTTCTACGTAGGATAACAGGACCTATATGGGACCAGAACCTTGACACATGGAAGAGAAGGAACAAAAAAGAATTGTTGAAAGAAACTGGTCAGTCAATATCTCATGTCATGAAGGCAAGGAGATTAAGATAGGCAGGGCATATAGCTGGTAGTAATCCATCAGGACACCTCTACACGACAATGAATGCCAGAGTAGTAGGCAAGAGAACATGTGGGAGACCAAAAAACCAGATGGATAGATAGGATAAACAAAGATACGGCTAAGCTCCATGCAGCAAACTGGAAAGCAGTAGCCCAAGATAGGCAGAGGTTGAGAAGGCTGGTTCAGACTGCCAAAGATCTACAAGGTCTGTAGAGCCAACCAAAAAAAACAAATATATATAATAAAATTGTATAGGGTTACATTACATCTATAAGTAGCTCAGTTACACACATGGTCAGGTATCTGTCACAAAACAAGTTAGACATTGTTTCAGTCAAGTTGTTTCATCATCTAATAAGTATTTAAGCTCATTTACAAAAAAAAAGAAAAAAAAAAAAGGCAGAGACCTTTTTAAACAAATTTCAATACATGGCTTCTCAACAAATGTTTAGTTTCATACACAGCCAGACTCAATACAGCCAATCACTCCAACGTATTTAATCCAGGTGATCCAGAATAAACACCATAACAACTTTCTGCTATCATTGCGTACTGTTTAATTTGAACTGTTGTGAATAATGAAAGTTTCACTATCAATGATTCTTAACAAGGAGTACTCAGCAGCATTTAAGCAGATATAAAAACAGAAGACGGCATAATTAAGCTCTAAGAATATCATGAATGTTTCACAGCTCATGTATTGTGAAAAACTTGAGACAATTGGGAATAACTATGAATGGAAGCCCAAGACTAACGATTTTTTTAAAGACAGCAAGGATTAATTAAAAAACATCAAGAGTAAAATATCACTAAATTATAAGATTCAATTCGTTTAGAAGTATATTGTGCACTAACATAGTATATAGGTACTGTACACACCTAGCTAAGTTGAGCTATTTGGTTTTAAAATGTTAATTGTCCTAATTTATGAATTGAAAAGGTAGTTTCATTAATTTGAATTAATTTCATTCCAAGTAACTTCAAAAACATAAAATTTTCATAACATACCTGAATAACTCTGGAGAAATCCCTTAAATTAAACAAATAATGAGATTTGGCTGGTGTTGGAAGAAGATTTTGTAAACTTAATTTGTATACAGAAAGGGTAGCTCCAACAATTTGATCAATACAAGGATCAAATTCTTTACTGAAACCCCTGAAACAAACAAAACAAAATAACAATTTCTAATAAACAAAGGCTTGATGGTGAAAACTAAGCACTGAATTTTCAAAATAAAAATTATATTTTCAAAAATGTGTAATATAATCTATAAGATATATCTAAAAAAAAAAATTTCAATGATGAAAATTATTTTTAAAAAACTCATTTCACACATATAAATTTTAAAATTATTACATATTTAAGGTATTGGATTATAATTGAAATAACAGAGTATGTAAATTTGTATATATTTATTTCTAATAAATAAATGTGCAGTTGGGACGAAATTTCCTATCAGTTTCAATAAATGGAACAAAATTTTCCTTTCATTCATACATTCCAGAACAATGATTATAAAATTACCAATTATTTATTTCAAACAAAAATATTTTCATGTTCCCAACCCCTTTAGACATGAATGAACTTTATTCTTATCTGTTGCAATTGTTGACTCTTGGGAACAATATTTTTTTTCTACTCAAACATAATATTTAATCAATAAATTTATAATTCCAAAATCTAGAAGATATTGGCATAGATTTTTTAATTTTAGTAACTCCTTGAGTAAAATTCATTCAGGGACATCACCATAGGAGGTCACATCTCTCTAATAATTTAAAAACTCAAAACTTTGTGAAATTTAAGAACCTACTTGGAATTGAAAATTTTGCTAAATAGTTTATTGATAAATTCCTAATTTTAAAACCTAGACGGTATAGGTATAGATTTTTTAATTCTGGCAAATTTTTCCGTAAATATAATATTTAGCAAAAATTTTCAGTTCGAAGTAGGTTCTTAAATTTCCCAACTTTTTGAGTTTTTAAATTATTAGGGGGAAGAGACAACCTCCTATGGCGACGTTCCTGAATGAATATTTAAGATAAGTTTGCTCAGGCATAAATAATATCAAACTGTGAATTCATAAATAATATATAAAAAAATTTAACAGGATTTGATAAATATTATTAGGACTTACAAGACAAGGAAACTTTACCTGGTATCAAGATGCCATAACATAATTTTACTAAATATCATCACCATTGTTTCATCAGTAAACTCATTCAGAACAGTAATATTAAAATGACGCCAGAATCTTGGTGTTACTGATTTTCCACCACTTGGAGGATCCATGGCTGTCATCAACTATAATTGAAGGGGAAAAAAATTTCAGAAGCAGAAATCATTGTATTTTCTTCAAACACTTATTTGTAAAATAAATATTATAATCTATAACTTTACATTAGCTGAACACAAATGGAATGGATGCATGCTGAATCCTACATAACTACATACAATAGTAAAAGTAGAATCAATGTGTTAATAAAGAATAATTTAAAACCTGTTAGTAATCATTTTAAGGTCTATGTTTCACATTGCATTGCATTCACAGAACTTTATTAGTTTCAGTATGCCAAGAATAAAGTGCAGTAGTCTCATTAATCCAGACCTATATCAGGATTGTTTTTATGCTTAAAGATTGTGCTTGAATTTTCCAGTTAAGCTGGTTGAAAAGTTAAGTGGCCTTAAACCATTTTCAAGTGAGTGATTGTAGAGGCTATGTAAGCCAACCAATCATTCCAGACTGGATTATTTCAAAATCTTACAAGTGAATCTCCTAACACTATTTTAGCATCATAATTAAGGATTATTTGGGTCTTCGTTGATTTATCTTCAGTTGGTACATGAATACTTGTCAGAGAGACAATCAAGAATCTCGCCTTTTCTCAACATCCCAATCCTCTCATTTACCATTTTGCTATCAAGAATAAAATACTTGAGGTTCTTTTTAACCATGAATCATATCCAAACAATATTGGTTTCATGCCCACTATTGAAAAGGATATAATTATTGAGTTCCATTATCGCAGTCTTCTTCTATCTAATCTCCTCCAATGTAAATATATCCATATTCTACTTACTTAGATAATCTACCAGCATCCAACTCTTACCCCCCTACATTAGGCTGTGTTTGTTCCGAGTTCCTATTGCCAAAAAATTTCTAATCTTGCCAAGTTGTTCACCATATGACTGTCCAGTTTCTGAACTGTAGGAGATTTCATAATACAGTTTTAAACAAACTCCTCTTAAACAGAAGAGAGGATTATCGACACATTGCACCCCCTCCCCTCTCCCGCTTACCAAAAAATCTTAGCCAATGGATTAATGTAATACTTTTTAAATAGTTGTTTAAAAAAAAATCTATCATTCAAAAGTTGATTTCCTAAAATCTGTAATTTATACATGTAGCACATAATAACATGTATACAATATATTTTAAACATACATAAATGAACTCAGTGAAAATTCATCTTTCAGCCATATAAAAATAACATTAAAACTAGGTATCACCTGAATATCAACTAGCTTGATGGCAGAAATGTCTTTTCTGTCATACCACATCCAATGATCAAGCCACTGACGCAAGAGTTCAATTGGAGGTTGAGCACCATATTCTTCTTTCATAGGCATATTCACATCATCAACAAAAACAACAGCCTTTTTACCCAAAGGAGGCCCAAAAACACCTACATTAGGATTAACAGAGGTCATAATATTCATAATTTCTATTGAAAAATATTTTTATAATTGTAATAATACCATCAAAACCATGAAAAAAAAAATTGTATATCTACATTGTGCATATACAATCAGTATGTTTTGCAACAACTTTACGAGATAATATGACAATAATACTGTGACCATTCTTTTATATTTCATAGTATACAATATTAGTAGGCTATGCCATTATTTGAGCCAAAATGGTAACTTGGCAAGCATGTTGCCTAAAGAAGGTAAGATTTTCAGAAGTATGGCTACAGAAAAGACAAAGTAAGTATAACATTAACAATTTTTGTTATATTTAATTGTCTTACAAATAATTATATTACTAAATATATCTTCATACCTTTCCTTCGTTTGTCAAGTTTACTCATGATAATATCTTGAGTTTGATTGGCTGTTGTTTGTGCTGAAAAATTAATGAATAATGGCTTGTAAATCTCATTATCAACTTTTTTCAAAAGAAAATTCTGAAACAAAACATAATTATATTAATACATTTCATTAATACAAATTCAAATTCACAATCCTTCAGCTTAATATTACATTTTTAAAAAATGAATAAAGAACAAGAAATTGACTCTAATAATCTCTGACATCATACCTTCAAAATGTATCCTAATAAGGGAATGTGGTGTGGTTATTGAGGTCTAGCTGTAGAATAGATGCATGAATTATTGTCTTGGTGATAGATATATAGTTCCTATATAGTCTATTGATTCAGAAACAGTAGAAATAGGCCTTGAATATTTTATCACTGTCCTTGAGATTGAATGTAGCAGGAAGGATATTATCGATATTCTACGCCTAAAGGTTTCCAGAAAAACTACAGTGTGTGATAAGACCACACAACAGAAGTGAAAACATCAATAAGGCAGGAGATTAGTAATATGAAATATAATTTTTTTTGTTCTATATTCACAAAGTAATAGCATTTACCATATATACAATTATAATTGTGCATAAAATATTTTTTGTTCTATATTCATGTACCATAAACAACTCATGAAGGGTTATGGGTTCATTACAATTTGACGAAGTACTGCTACAAAGCCAACGGCTGTGCAGAGAGGTGATCTGGTAAATTATTCTTTGTACTGAGCTATTATTCCAAATTGTACCTTACTGTGTTATAGAGGCAAAAAAGGAAAAAGATAGTGTCGAAAACAAAATGATAACTAGTTTTTATTTGTTTTTTGACATTATCTTTTTTCCTTTTCCGATCCTCTAACGCGGCATCATGTCAAAATTTAATTTTGAATTATAGCTCATTGCAAAGAGGATGAAATGCTGAACATTCATCTCGCTTACAGTATGCAAGTCCGAATCTTAGATTTTGAGATATTTTAATCCAAATGATCAAAAAAACTCATTATCATTTGATTTTTTACACTATCTTTTACCCTTTTCGCCTATCCAACATGGTGTATCCTTAAGATACAATCTTCAAATAGCTTATTACAAAGAGGATGAAATACTAAACATTTCACTTGCTTACAGCAGGCAGGTCCGATTTTTAGTTTCTGAAGGTGTGGTTAGACATTTCACAAATTATGGGTAAAGCAACATTATTGCTAAACCAAACTATATATTTTATTTCTCTTGATATTGACAGCCAATGGAAACATATTAAAAACAAGAAACATTAGTTTAATAATAATATTTTATCTTTTTTTTTTTCTCGTCTCCTAGAGCACATTGGCAATAACTCTTGGACATGGGTCAATTATTTTTCAAACTAGAATAATCCAAAAATTTTTAATTGAAATCAGTAACCTCCCCTAGTAAATACCTACCAAAACATAACAAACAACCATATTGTTGTCCTCTGAATCTGTGGTGCTGGATTGGGCAACCAAGTGACTTGTAAAATTAATTCTTTAATATGAAACAAGAGAAAGAGAAATCTCATTAGAAAATGCACACCTTTTCTACTGAAGTAGTAACCAGATTTCCTGACCTTCAATTTCAATCAGTGAATCTTCCAATGTCAGGTAAGGTTAATTCTTGGTCCCCCCTCAGAATGAATAACAGAATATCATCTATATTAAAAAACTGGTTCTCTTGATACTCTGACTTGAACTTTTTTAAGGATTAAAAAGACAGCTCATAAATTGGATATTAAGAGAATTAAACATGACCTAATTCTTTGTAATCTATGAAATAAATAGATTTAGTGTTTTTAATTACTTTGTTTTTATTTGTTTATTTTTTTTTAATAGCAAAACCTACAGCAAATATTTTAAAGTAATATGAGACAAACATTTATTTCATTTCTGTAAATAGTTTATTACTTGCTACAAAAAAAAAAAAAAAAAAAATAGAAAATTAGTTAATTCACATCTTACCACTATATAAACTGATTTTCCAGTACCAGTTAAACCAACAAACATAGAATGTTTTTCATGGCAAACCAATAATTGCATTAATGCCATAGATCTTATTGTTTCAACAGTAGTTACAATAATCTGGTTGACTGGTATATCACGTGGTATAGGTGGTGCCAATAATAAATCATCTGCCCATAGTTTCCATTTGCCTTTTCCCTGTAAATAAAGTACAAGCTGAAATATATGATTAAAAAAAATTAGAAAAGCTAAAATTATTAATCTATAGAAAGGAGGCTGCCTAACCAAATTAATGTAATGCCTTCCATTCAATAGATGTGTTGAACTGTGCAACAAGCTGTCATGGAATGAATAGTTCTGGTAAATGTGAATATTCATGCGGCAAAGCAAGATATAAATCAACCTGTTGTAATACATGATCACTATCACATGCTACATGCTTCAAATTGATCCAAGGCTTTGAAGTCTTAAATAAAACAATACAATCATGAGAGGGCAACCTAAATGAAAGATCCAAAATGGAGAAATAAGCAAAAACTAAGTGGTGTGATATGGAAAAATTATCAGACTAACCACTCATTGTTTATAACATTTCTGAGATTTTATTGTTAATGCCCTTCCTTGTTATTATATATTTAGCAATAATTATAATTTAAAAATAAAAAAAAGTATCAGTAATGAAACAACTGATTGTAAAATAAACCACCTAAGAATACTACCATCTTTTCTATTACTGTATAACATATCTAATAGTAAATTTCCATGAACAGATATCCAGTATCTTAAATTTAGGATTGTTAAAGAACCATAGATTTCCTGAGTGGTTTCTCTTATAATTTCATTATGGCAAACTAGTTATTCAATAAAATTGGTATTCTGTAATCAGAACGATATCATCTGTAGAAAGAGCATAAACATGTTTTATCCTTTATCTTTCAGTCTTAAATATTTTTGGGATTTATTATAATTATTATTATTATTATTTTGTACTAAAACCCACCATGGTGACTCTAATGTGAATTATTATGAAATAAAATACTCACCTCTTTTATATACCTATAGTCAAACAAATTTGCATGAGATGGAGGGAGGAAAATATAGTTTTTCTTTGGTTGAGTGACTAGTTCGTTAGGGAGGCCGAAAGTCTTTTGCACTTCAGGAGGAAATTGTTTCTGTAAGAGTCCATTGAATAAAACACAATAAGTTTCTCTAGTTTTCGTATCCAGAGTTCCTCCCAATCCCCATAAACAACAGAAGAAAAAAACACCCTATTAAGAAAACAATAAATAAAAAGTAAATTTAATAAAAAAAGTTAACTTAGGATTAAAATAAAGTCCAATCAAAATAAAATGTTACCATTACATTTAAATATAAACTAAAATACACAAATAACTGTTGGTATAGTAACTATATTTCTACGAACGGATGATTATGTAATAACTGAAACAATACTTTCATAAATTAACTAAAAATGTTTGAATTTAAACTATGACAGTTTTCAATTTTTTAAATTACCATTTTCAAGATCTCGACTTTCTCCAGGGTCTTCAAATCGCTTTATTTACCAGAAATATCTAAACTTCTATAAGTCTTACAAGGTGACTTACCTTTCCAGAGTTCCCACAACCACAAAGTGGTAGGGAAAGGGGTGAGGACTTTTAGTATATTTATTGCATAAGTACCCCAAACAAATTCCAAAGTCATATACTTTTTTTCTTCTCCATATTACTTTTTGTCTTTCATTGATTGGACTATTTATTTATCCACCAATCTGAGCTTTGTATATTTTATAATTGTATGTACCCATTGTACAGGCTACATACATACCTTGGAATTCTTCATTACCATCTTCATCTCTAGCCAGCCATCCCATTGAGAAACAATAGAAACAAAACTTTTTTAGAATGTCTTCTTTCAAATTATTTCAATTTGTAGGCCCTCTGTTTTTTTATGATTCTAACTTCACTGGAGGGGAGAAGCCATTTTTGAAATATAGACTTGTCAAGGAAAACCATGCACTAAAGTGAAAGAAATAGACAAACTTGATAAAATCAATATTGGGCCATCTAGATATCAACCTTCAATCCCTGAAAAATTTTCTTCTTATTTATTTAACCCCTATACCTTACAGTGTTGGTACAGCTTGTTTTTTCTTAGTTTGTTTCTATCCATTTCTTGAACACTTCACTGTCTGTATTCAATCTCTTAATCTTACATTAAGTGAATCAATCCTCTGCTCTTTGCCAAATGTGATAAAGGTTCCCCAACTAATTTAACGGTCGTTCTTGTGGTCGCTTTCCCTATATTTTAGTATACCATACATTCTTTGGTAATCTATAAATCAACATTCTTAATACTTTGACAAACCGCATAATTTATTTTCTGTGGATGTTTTCTGTTAACGGTTGCAGAGCTGTCTCTTCTTCAATCCTTTGATTCCTCATTAAATCAAATCTTGTTGTATCAACACCTTTCCTCTGGAATTTTATCTCTGTGACTTATACATGGCCCTTCAAATTTCTTAATATTAGGCCAAACTTTCAGTTGCAAAGGTCAGCATAGGGATAAAGACTATTTTATATACAGTCTTCTTTGTCTTTATTATTTCTTCCCTTCTCCCAATTATGAAATTTCAATTCTGGAAATACACGTGCATTGGTTTATTTCAGAATACAATCTACTATTGTTACTAATTTTCATTCTTAAATACTTTTACAAGTCAAATTGTTCCAAAAACTTCTATTCACAAATTTCTTCCTAAAAAGTCAGCTCATTCTTTCAAAACTTCAACTTCTTCAGTGATCAGCTATCCATTAATGTCCTTGATACTTCTGACCGATTATCTGTAATCCCCATATAGTCTTTTCACTGTGCTCCTCAACTTTATTTATTCTCATCATAGCTCGTTTGGAGTTATTTGCCAAATTCAGACCAGCTTTTTTCATTACTTAATTTCAATATTCGATTTGCCTATTTTATATTTTCTTGGAAAAGGATCAGGTCATTAAGGTTGTTTAATCTTGTCCTGTACTATTTCTCACCACCATCTTGTTCTTCTGGATGTAGTGCTGATATTTTTATTCTGATAAAAATATAATTAATTTATAATTAAAAAATAATTTTTTTCATACAACCATAGTATATATATCCCTTTCCATATGTTAACTACCTACCACATTTTACAGCTATTATATTCTTAACAATAAAGTACCTTGATTCTAATTGCTAAATGGAATTTCATGAAATTAATACTAGACTTTTTATTTTTTATTTTCCTGTAAACTTGGAAAATTAATGAAAAACACATACAAATAAAATAACCAAGTACAAACCTCCATTTGAGCACGAATATCCAAATCAGAAAGGGATTCCAAGTGTTTCTCATCATAGAAGTCATCCATAAAACAGTCGAAGAGATTCATCACTCCTTTTATTAGATTTGAATCAGATGCAGGAAATATTTCCTTAATAAAAACAATAATATAAACATATTTTACTCACTAAAAAAACTTAATCATCAAGTTGTAAAGACTGATTCCAATACACTACCAATAATTTTTTTAAGAAATTACGGTAGCTCAGTGGGTAAAGCATTAAATTATTATGCTAAAGGTTCTGGCTTCGAATCCGGCTCATGGCAGGTAATTATTTATTCTGTTACATTAGTTGTGGATCGACTCTGAGGTCAGAATGCCCTCCTGGGGACACTCAGCATAGATTAAGTGGGCAATTTTATTTCATTGATTAAGAGGAAAGCCAGACTGTTGAGAGTGATCTCGTCCCAATCACCTCCCAGTACCATTGAGCTTGATAGTACTTAGTATTAATAATAGTACATTTATGAAGTATATAGTAGTACTTAGTCTTTTTAATACTATTGCCATGTCTGGGAGCTGAATAATTTTTGTGAACATTGTTAAAGAGAAAATTGTAACCGATTTTGTTTTTGAAATATTATAAAATAGTAATCTGATAATCAACATTTACAATTTTATTAAATTCAGATTTTACAAGAAAAAAAAATTGACTTTGTTCAAGAATACTATTTGAAACAAAATTATTTTGATATGATATTTTTACAAATAAATTTACTAACATATTTGAGATTTAATAAATTAATCAACGATCAGCACATTTAAAAAATTTAAAAGTATTATAGTATACTGTGAGCTGATATTTTATGCAATATTAGAAAAATAGAGGAAAGTGTAGTGATAAATTTTGATATACCCCAGTTATTTGGATTAATAGACACAAATATGAGGTTTGCTGAAAAAAAGTAGCTCAAAACCTTGTGTTTTTGTAAAAAAAAATATCAAACTTTTTTGTTTTTTCAACTATGTCCGGAAAATACAAAGTGTATAATATCTAACAAGGGGGAGGTAAGAGACATAGGATCATCCATTTCATTGTAACTTTTTTTAATTATAACAAGTCGAACACTTATGAACATAAAAACATATTTAATGGGGAATGGTGTTTTTACTCTTCATTTTGAGAAACCTGATTTAACTAGAATTCAAAATAATATTAATTTGAGACGTGATAAAAAATTATTTGTAAAGTACACGTGTATAATTTTTTTTCTACTTTAAACATATTAAAATTTTTTATTGACATCACGTTATGAATTAATACAATTTTTGAGGTAAATAAAAAATTGAAAAAAGTAGGCAACAAAGCATGATTGGGGATATGTTTTAGTTTATATTTTCTTTTAACAGTTTGGGCCTTCTAGATTGTTATTCTGGTCTGTCAGAATTATTGAATATATGACTTACACTATTCACACTTTAATCCCCTTACTTATTAGAACATACAATTAATTACCTTTGCATTTCCACGTCTTAAATAAAACAACAGTACAGGAATAAATCGCATAAAAAGATCTTTAATAACAGTCTTGACATGGATTTCAAAGCCTGGAGGAAGTTTATTCATCCAAGAAATAACAAGACATTCCCAACCAAGAGCAGTAGGTTCCATGTATATCATGCCACATCTAGATACCTAAAATATATTTTTCTAGACTAGCTAAAGTATAAATTAAATCAATTTCAAATTAAAGAGAAAAAAATATTATATACTAATAAGTCCTTTCTGCTATTATTTTCAAAGAATTGTTAATAACACTCTATCTAGTCATAGAACACAATAACATGTATAGATTGGTTAATGGGCTGATTCAAGAAAGGGAAAATTCTAAATCTATTCATAACCAGTAACTCTTTTTATTTATGTAGTTCTTCTAGCCAGAAATATTTCTTTTGTTCTGTAACCTTTTTTTATTCTCAGGAGACCTCGTCCCAGAATAAAGTTATTTTTCTATTCTATTCTACTCTATAACAAAATAAGAGTTGATCCTAGTTATTTGATCTCCTTACTTATGATTTATTATTATGTTCCTCTGTACAAATTTTCGAAGTTGTTCCTCTCAATTGTACCATCCTCTTCAACAGTTGTTCATAGTTGGTGGCTTAAGGTGAAATAAGAAGAATCATTTCTTCATTCACTGTCCTGATCCTTTTATCATATTCAGCTAATGCTTCATTCTGCCTAAGGCTGTCATTACACTATCCAGGTTTTTCTTTTAATTTAATAATCCATTAAAATTTGCTCTAAGAACTGGTAGAAGAGAATCTAACAAGTTGAATATTTTTTTCTGATGGATTTAGACATCTTAAAATTCTTTGCCCGAAAAACGGGACCTTCAATGTAGAAAGGACATATTTAAGTAACCCAATCAGCAAAGAGGAATGGCTTAAGGTTTCTCTACAATTTTTAGCCACAGCACTCACATCCTCAATTATTCACTTTCAAGCATTATACTGGAAAACTATCGAGCCATTTATGAAGACCTGAAGGAAGTTTTTTTGAAAGTATCTATTAATAAAAATAATGTTTTGATTGTTCATATTTTGCTTTATTCAAATGGCAAATAGATACAGTTTATGGACTAAGTTGAGTATGTTTCAAGTTTATTTGTTTATAGTTGGTCAGTTTCAACTGCTTATTTCTATTTCTTATCTTAGTAATAGTGAGGTGTCTTCCAAACCCGAATAAAACTCATAACTCTTTCAGATTGATATTGATTTGCACAAATAGACATATAATGATTTTGTAGGTCAACAGTACTTGATATATTGAGCTACTTACTATGTTCTTTAACTTATTTAAATTTCAGTTATGATTCTATTTCATATATATTTTTTTTTGCTTCCTCCTTTTTTTCCTCCTTCAGGCTAACATATTTACCTCCAGTCAGCAAATTTATCTTGCCAAAAATTTCTTAAGTATTTGGAGTAGTATTAGGCTGTTCCTATATGGGAGTTTATTGTATAATCGAATCACACCATTTTTTTTTTGTTGCATAATGCACCGCAACCACAAGGGTCCATTGTGCGCCTTGTTCTAAGCCGTTTTATGTTAAAACGTAAGTTCCATCGCTTTTGCATATCTCAATAGGCATACTGGGTCTGCCACTCGGTCCTCCCCAACTAGCTTGAGTCTAAGCTTAGCAAACCTATCACTCTGACAGACAATGTGAGAGGCTGTTTCGGTCTCAATGAAAAAATTTCCATAATAGATTTCTAGTCAGTCTAAGATTGTGCATTTTCAATGATTCAATCATAGCATATTCAATTATCATTATTAGTCTGCACAGTATTAGCCAAATTCATAAAAATACCAAACTGGTTAAGCATCTAATTTACCAGGATTATGATTAATATATATTTACAAAAATATAAACTTTTTCAAACAATTACAGTAGCTGGAGAAGCGACATCAAGATCCATTGGCTCAAAGATGAGATTTGTAGTTGGAGCTAAATCTATGATCTGACCAGACATAAGGCATAGCTTTTTGTTGTCATCAAGCACTGTATTCATATTTTCAATCCAAACTGCATCAACAGGGCCATCAAATACTAACCACTTCCTGAAAAACAGTTTAGCAATTGATTATATATAATTTTCCACCAATACAGTATTTATTCTGATTAAAACAAAAATTGAAATTTGTACGAAACTGAAATTATGTATTCGAAGTAGATTTATGGCTCAGATGTTATAGCTATATAATAATATACAGATTATTATGGATGTTATTGCTATGTTAAAGCAACTTTTTCTCTAAAATCGACCAACTTGAAGTGACACTTTATTCTTAGATTTTACAATATTCTCAAAAACTACTCCAACGATTTTGATGAAATTTCTTTTACCAACATAAAAACAAGTAATCTTTAATATCAGGTAGGTATTATCGCCATTGAAATATTCTAACAGATCTTAAATATCAAATTTTAATAATTTCTTGCTTTGAAGTACCTCAGACTTTATTAATTGGAAATAATCAACCATTTCATATTATAACCAGTAATAGGAAATAGTAAAATATAAATTGAAGAGAATTTAGTTTTGGTATGCAAACAAAGAAAGAACAGAAAGTAAAAAAAAATCAATTGTTTACTTTGTTCTTTCTTTGACTAACTACCTCAACCAACTTCTCTTCATTATATCTATTACAGTCAACTATGAATCCAATATCTTGATAAAATACTAACTGTGAAACAATTTTACAGTCTAATAAAGAACAAATAAGGGCTAGGGAGATAGCTTAGAATGTCCTCCAAATGATCTTAACTGTCCCCACCGTTCCTCTTTCTGTTCCTTTGATGGAACAGTACCTCGGTTTTTCAAGGAATGTACATTGCACATAAATGAACATGAAACAGGGAAAATTACTTATAATTTAAAACTTGTAAAACATAATTTGAGGTTAAAACAAGTTTCCAAATTTAGAATAATATTTCAGTTATAATAGAGATCTCCAAACTACAGCCCTCAAGCATGAGCCTTTGTTTATTTGAATTGCAATGGAAATATTCAATGTAAGTAAATCACACAAAATAATAAATACATGTTTATTTTTATTGACCAATTAAGTTACACAATAATAAATATGAATATGTTGGCATGATGATCTTGATTTTGGTTCTTGTGACTTAGTGGGAGGGTCAGTTTACTGCTTAGAAGTAATTGAAGAAAGTCAGTTTGGCTATTTGACTAAAAGTTTAGAGATCCCTGAATTATGATAATTTCTCTATCTATGAAAATATTTTATAGTAAATATTTCCAAACCTATTAAGATTTGTAGAAGTAGCAAAATTTCTGTAGCTGACAGCTAAAACTCCATCAGACCATTCATGAGAAACAAGATCAAACTGACCATATAATTGACCCATAGTTATAGATTTGGGATTGATAACAGTAATTTCAACCCTATGCTCATCCATTTCACCCTGTGTAAAAAAAAAAGTGAGTATTCTTTTTATAAATTTTAATAATAACAGTATATACGGTATGAATGCAATCTCTGAACTCTATTATAAGTGTCCTTAACTGTGACAAATTGTAATATTTCTGAATAAAGTGTTTTTTTAATAATAATAACTAAAAACAATTACCTAAAATTATTTTAGGAAAACTAGAGAGACTAGGTTTTCCTAATTCATTAATTAAGAAATGAAAAATATTGAGTTCAAATTTACAACTAGAATACAAAATAATTAATTTCTGGAGTAATTGAATAACCGGTAAAAATATTTGAACTGCATTTGATGATGGTATCATTGAAAACCAATATTAAAATATCCCTATTTTACATGAAATTCCCTTTCTATTGATACCCCATTCATCGAAATTCATTTCTGAGTCAGAAACGTGTTCTATTTCAGAAATCTTAGATAGTAAATTTAAAAAGGATGTAAATAACCTACTGAAAGTTTAAATGTAAATGATTTGTTTTTGGCGGGAATAGGCGAATAGCCTTCCGTTTATATATCGGAGAACTTAGGTTATTTACACTCCTGAATATTAAAAGAAATCCCCGGCACTGGATATAGACTTTTTTGAGGATGTTTAACTGTCGTTGGGAATTCGGGAATCTAATACCTTTTGTGACACTTAGTGAGAAGAAACAATAAGAATACATATATGAAATGTGGGACTTAGTAAATACACTTTGAATGAATTGACTCACCTGGTTTGTTATTCTTCAATCGTGAGGCATATAGGACAACTAAATAAAATTACTTCCACTCCTGTATAATAAAACAATTTATTTTATAACTGTAATAAATGAATGTATAAAAGTCTTATAACTGTAGCCTTGATATTCTTGGTCTTCAATGTAGTAGGCCTCTCTTCCCAGATGACTTCCTCTCGCTTCCGTCCTTTTGCCTCAAGTCCCTGGTGTCCCCTTCCAGCTGCTGCTACCTGATCGGACCTTTTTCCTTCTTTTCGGTTGTTTATCGATATGAGATTTTCCTATGAGCAATTTGTCCACTGCACCATTGAGTACAATTCACAGTGCAACCTCACATTCCAATATATTATATATTCCTTCTCATTCCCTCACACAATGTCATATAAAGGAGTAAATACAGGGGGATGTCTACTATAAGGGTAATGAAAATCAATGAATATTATAAAATAACTATATCTTAATTAAAGTTAATACATGCCCATTCTTCGATCAATTCAAGAGCATCGGCAAGCATCCTGTAAGCAGTGGTTTTGCCACTAAAGGGCAAACCAACAATCATGAAGCCATGGCGTACAATCATCATCTCAAATATTTGTTGAATTTTTTCAAGAAAGAAAGGAGTACACTGTACATTTGCTTTGGCACAGGCTTGATAGGAAGCTTTGTTCAAAATAGTGTAATCAGGAGGTGGTAAGGTGATACCGGGAAACAAATCTGAAGTAATACCCTAAAATAAAACAATTTGATTCATATATAAAATCTTACTAATAAGTTAATATAAATAAGATAAAAAATTAAAAAGAACATGAATTAAAAAATTTTCTCCATGATAGACAGCAAGAAGTCAGAGAGGCTTATATACTGTTAAATAGTTAAACAGAAAATCTTTAGCTTAGTTCCCTTCTATTTTTCAAAAGCTTTTGATTCAGAAAATCATAAGATTCTCCGTTCCAAACTCCAAAACCTCTCCATATGAGATAGTATTTTTAATTTGTTATTCTTTCTTGTTTTTTCATTCCTGATAATAAATATCCTTCTTATCCCCATATTCTAACATGTGTTTGTTATGGGCTAATTTCATCTGTTATATAAATGATATTCCTAATTCCATTCGACACACTATATATTATACACCACCAATATATGTTTGATGTGATCTAAAATTTGTAGAATAAAATTAATAGTAATAACTAGGGTAGTAATAACTGGATTTTAAGGATTTTTTTTTCTGTCGAGGAAAAATTGAGATCTCAAAAGATATATGCCGATCTTGAGCAGTAGATTTTAAATACTCAAACCCTAACAGATTTTTTATTCGTCTATTTTTCACTAAAATGGATCTTTTTTGCAATTTTCCACCTAAAAAATTTTGTTTCTTCTTTCCTGGGGTCTTCATTGAGAGTTTTATTAACTTGAATATGTTATCAAATTATTATGTATGCTTTCACATTTAAGTAAAGTTAGTTATATCAATTTAATAAGGAAAAAACAGTAAAAATCTCATAATACTAGGATATTAGTCTAGGAAGCATTGTTAAATAATATTCAAGAAAACGGAACACCTGTGTGTTTTGAGTCTGAGGAAATTATCAATCTCCTACTTCGATTCACAGAAAAATTGGCCATTATACAAGGCATTCATTTGATTTGATTACCTAAGAAGTTAATGCAGTACAGTCTACAAGAATACATGATATGGGAAATTCTCTTTGTTGAAATTCTCAATTAAATGAAAAAGCCTCCTCCCCATTATTGAATCTCCGACAGCATAGTATGAGATTTTTTTCTGTTCTATACATTTTAACAATAAAAAAGTTAATTATTTGATAGCAATTCTATGTAAAATGAAAAATCTGATATTTTTCTTTTATTTAATGAAAGGTACATTAACAATCTTACAATGGACTTTAAAAATAATTTTCGCTAAGATTTGAGATAATACATTATTTTCAGGAAATTTAAAAAATATTAATTTCCCATAAACATGTAAGTATTAAGGACAGATCTGAAATAAATTAATAACATTCAGTGCATTAATTTATTCATCGATTGAATCACCGTTACTATATCTCAACTTACTTCACAAATTTATATTCAGTTTACTTTCTGAATATAGGGCAAGTTTTAAAGTTCATCGATGGAAATCATCAATGGAATTCAGCACTATCAGTCATGATCGCTCAGTAGTTCCATTCACTGTTGGAGTCAATAGATCCGTCAATAGATTTAATTGATGGGATCTATTGATAGAATTAGTGATGAATTTAGGAAATTGTCTTTTTGTTATTAAGAATTGTTAGTTCTTAAAAATGAATTTTAATAAACATTATGGTTTAATGTTGCTAATCTATTTTGCCATGTCCATTTATGTTTTTCATGTTAAACAATGTTTAAGGTTTACAAATACTTTTGTATTTTTCTACTATATACTATTGTTAATAAATAGTTTAAGATTTTTCTTAGATCTAAAAATTGATTTTTACAATCTATTTCATGGTGAATTCAGATCCAGGCCATAGTAATAATGCAGGAGTATTTTATTTTTTTATATTTATTGTATCTCTCTTCCTTTCGTTTCAGCAACATATGTTTATAGGTTTACATATGGTTAGTATGTAGATTAAATGAGGGTAAATGTAGAGGAAACTAAAACCATCCTCATCAGTTCTAAGGACCTTCATTTCTTTTTATCTACCTCAATAGCATACCAATACAATTCCATACTCCTATTAAAAACATCAATCATTTTTTATCAACATCTGTCTTGGAATAACCATAGTTGCTCCTTCTCATGAAATCCATTACTATCTCCATTAACAATTTCTAAGATTCCACGTTTCTCCAAAAAAACCATCATCATCATATCTCATCCTTTATTTTCTTCCACTTCAATTATATCTGCTTTTGGATTATGGTAGTCAATCTGGTTAAGCTTATGTTAAATTGAAGATACTATTAAATGTTTTATTAGATTCATATTTGGTCTTCTCAATCATATCCATGTCTCCAGTTGGTATACTAAGCTGAAGAGGGCTCAATATGTTTATTATGGAAACAGTTTGGTGTTATGGAAAAAAATGTTTGTCTTTCTTTCCCAACCATTTAGAACCAAAAACTGTTCCTATATTCTTAATTTGCTCATACTGCATTCCTCTGTTCACTCTTGAAACACTAGATCCCAGCCTAAACAGTTAAACACTACCTCCCATAAAACTTAATTTAGCAAATTGTTTTATTGTTACTTCAACTTATACAAATATTTTCCTATTTCTATCCATAATAGCTCTTCAATAATACTGATATACACTACTTGCTTCTTCACTTACTTCATCTTCAATTTGCCGGATTGGTGTAAACAATATCTATTTAAAGGAAGGAGATGGTCCGGTGTTGTGGTCATAAATACGCTAAATAGTGGTAAAACTATTTTATTGAAAGCCTAAAATAGTTTTACCACTATTTAGCCTATTTATGACCGCAACCCCAGACTATCTCCTTCCTTTATAATGCAATGGTCAACTATTATATATTCAATATCTATTTAAATTAAACAAATATCTAAATATTGTTTGCATCAATTACTTGTAAATAATTAAATGAGTATTATCAATTGAATATATATTTGAACAAAGCTAGACAATATACAACTGATTATTTATTGTAATATATGAAAATAGATATGTACCTTAGAATAAAAAGAAAATTTCCAAAACTTTCAAATTTGAATGATCATGCAGAAAATAAAATCAGGTTAGGAGGGTACATTAATTGTTAGAAGGGTCAATATTTTTCAATTAATAGCTATTTTGACCAACTAATAAGAGAACATCAGCCCTTTGAACAACTGATTTAAATCCTTAAGATTTTTTTTTTTTTTTGCAGTTCTTTCAAATTTCAAAATTCTTTACTTGGCCTTTTTGTTCCAACTTACAGATAGTATTCTAAGGGTGCAACATGACCCATGATAAAATATATTTTTACGTATTCATAAGATAATAAATAATTCACCAACCGCAAATAAAGGCAAATCATGAGATAGGAATTTCGGAATATTGACATCCTTTATAGACCGCAGCAATATTATATCTTCCACTTCTGTAGGATATTTCAGTTTTAAATTTCCAGCAGCTATTAATACTGACTTCACAGCCCTCATACCTTTAAAATGTTATTAAATAAAAATATAGTATAAATATGAATATTAATAGGGATATAATAAACAGTTGATTAAATCTAGATGCTGAATGTTATAATTGTTTAAACTAAACCCCAAAATCCAAAGTGAGAGGCCCTTCAGAAAAACAGCATACAACACAGTTTTTAACCAACTTTTTAATTTAAGAGAACTAAAACTAAAACACTGTGTGTTTTTTAAAATAACAAGACTTCAGTTAAAAATTAATTTTAATTTCAAAGTTTGTGAGATTTTTTTTCTTCTTCATACAAATAATTTGCAGAACATGTATATGTAATGCAAGAAAACCTCTTACCATAATCGTAATGATGCTGTGATGAAAGTTGTTCTGAACATAATTTGTAGGTAGCAACTATTTTCACAGCTAATGGTCTTGCATTTACAAATCCGAAAGAGTACAAATATATTTCAGAAATCATAGCATAATCTGGAACCATCATTGCTACAGAACGAAACAGAGCCTGAAGTGTCAAAAACATAAATCAATAAAATAATGTTAGTTTTTAAACATCATGTAAAGGAAATATAAAATCGTAAATTACCTTTAAATTGTCAGGCAATTCTGAACGTCCTGCATAGCCAGGGTTCATGGTAATAAACACAGCACAAGTTGGATCCAGAGTAAGTTCTGTACCTTCAAACAACAGCTTTGGGTTACCAGACATAATTCCCCTTTGTATAGTCAAAATCTGTTGAGCTACTACAGATAACACCTCAAGATCAATACGGTTAAACTCATCAAAGCAAGACCATGCTCCCGAAGCTGCTAATCCCTATATAAAATAAAGAAATATGATACAGCGATATCATTATAATTTGGATAGACTGTTGGCCATTACAGTACAGTTCTCAATAAATAATTGTACTTTCCAAAAACATAGGTTACAAAAAAAAAGTCATAATTAACTGATAAGCAGTTGTCTAACACTGATTAAGCAGTGAGAACACTGTTTTATAAGAATCATTCAATAATTTTTCTTTAGCTTTCACTAATTTTCCTAGTGACATACAATTTTATTTTACAATATTTAAAACAACCATTAATCAAATACAATAAATCAGTCTATCAAATGCAAAAAGAATTTTAAAAATCAGACAAAAATTAACTCTTTCAAACAAACAAACTCTTTGGTTTCACACATTTGTACAGATTTGATTTGGCGCAAACCAAAGAAAAATGTTTTAAATAGAACAATCATGATTAATTAATAGTAAAATATTGTTATTGTACAATATATTTTTATTTTAGTCTATTAACCAATTTATGAATTTTATGTTGAAAAGTACAACAAGAAAGTTAAAGAAGAAGAATACATGTAAATAAAAAATATGCTACCTTAAAAAATTTTCCTAGAGCTATATAATCCAAGCCATCAGAACAATTAAATACAACACACTGCTTGGCAACTGCTTTAGCTAAATCTTTTGTTGTTTCTGTCTTTCCTGTCCCAGCTGGGCCTTCAGGGGCACCCCCTAATTAACAGAAATAGAACTTAAATGGAAAAAAAAATTAATTGCCAGTTTACTAGGAAACATATTTTGATAAAAATTAACATATTTCACCGACTAAAAATTATACTTTGACTTATAGTAGAAAACAGACAAATATCACTCATTTTTTGATAACTTTAAAATAATTGAATAATTTCATTAAAATAATTTATGGGTATAGAATTTACCATAATGAATTTAACCATCTGGAAGCAGAGTTGAGCAGAATTAGAACATTTTTCAGGCGAATAGGATACAACTTGTATTCTGTGCTCATGAATACAACAATGATTACATACAAAACAATCATCTATTCCGAAACAGTTTTGATAAAAACTTTTCTATAACTATTTTTCATATATGAGAAGGAGTTAGTTGAGGGTGCGGTCAAATAAATAAAAAAAAAATTAAAATATATAAATAATTTTAATTTTTGCCGACGTTTCGACCCACTTTGCAGGTCGTCTTCAGGGCGTTGGATGTGGCACTGCGGGAGGCAGTTGTTATACTGCAGTTGTTGAACTGCCTCCCGCAGTGCCACATCCAACGCCCTGAAGACGACCTGCAAAGTGGGTCGAAACGTCGGCAAAAATTTAAATTATTTATATATTTTAATTTTTTTTTATTTATTTGACCGCACCCTCAACTAACTCCTTCTCATATCATATCAACGGTCAACCATCTCTACATCATTATTTTTCATATAATTTATACTTTTTTTATTTTAATAAGTTCATTTCTGTATCTTATTATAATAAGGTTGTTATTTGGTCTTTGATGAAGGCCTGAAACTTGGGCCAAAAAAATAAATATTTTTTATGTACTTCCAATGACTCAGATCCCTAACCAACTTTTCTTACTATAAGAATTTACAGTCATCATTTAAAATAACTACAAACAATAAAATAAAATAACATACCTAAATGCAAATGAAGAGCACCAAACAATGTTCTGTAGCACCTATCAGTCAATGGTGTAATAACAAGACGTGGGGAATTCCCTAAATATTCGTAGCCATACCTCAAAGAAGAATTGATCATTGAGGCTGTAAGATTATTTTCCTATAAATAAAATCTTCTCAAAATTATTGACCAACTAAGTAATATAATAGGTAATGTAATATGTATATTCAGTAATTAAAAGGAATATTTTAGTATATATAAAAATATAACTTGATATAAATAATAAAGTAAATGTATTTTTATAAATTGAGCTACATAGGAAAATACAGGTGTTTAGCCTTCTTTAAAATCACACTGAATATACCACTAAATAAAAAATTAAAGTACTTACAGTCCAGTAATAACGAAGTTGACAAAGCCATTGAAAATCATCATCTTTTGCAATTTTTCCAGCTTCCAGCAGCCCAACAACATCACGAGCATGGACATCAATTACTACCAGAGCACCTGGTGGTAAATAAATAATTATTATAATAGGCTTAGTTAGACTTATGATTTTTTAATAATCAAGCTATTTGTGAGAGAGATTAATTTACTCATTCACTGTCATGAGCAAGAATACTATTATCATTAAAACCACTACTATGCTTTAATGTGTCTAATTATGGTATGAACTAGAATGTATGATAATGATTTCAACTACTATCAGAGTATACCTAAAGTAGTTCTATTCTGAGTAGAAAGTTTTCCTCGAACTAGTTCAACAATTTTATCTATTTGGGTATTACACTGATTTTTGTATCTAGTGATTGCTTTTTTTCGGATTGCAGTATGTACCTCTGTAGTCCAATAAGTACTGGTAACTGCTAAAACTGCTTGCCCGGGCCAATCCATTACCCATAAATGGCGAGCTTTTTTAGGATAGGCTAAAAGGGAATCTGCTAGAACCTAAAATAATATAATTAATTAATTCACACTATATAAGTTCTTTACACTAAAATAAAGAAAGAGCTATACTCTGTTTTGGGAGTAGAGAAAAATGGTGAGAACCAAAATAGATGTTAAAAAGGTATCCTCATATAAACCTTCTGTCAGGAGTTACATACTCTGATGGACCTTTATGGCTGCTAGAAGTTCCTACAATCTAAATATACTTTAATACCATAAAATTACATTTTCACATTTTACTCTCTAAATACACTTTAAAGCAATAGAATTACATGTTTACATTTTACTCTACCATTTAAAAATAAATTGATATTCTATTCAAGATGTATAGAACACTATTGGACTCACTTCAAACAAGATAATGATGGCTTAAAATTTGAACACCATAACTCAGTTCCGAAAATGGCTTGTTCAATTAGACCCTAAATAGGAGGAAATAGGGGCAATAATGTATAAGTAACAATTTTATCAAATTCCATTTTACAATTAAAATTAACTGTATAATTAAATTAATTGCGAGAAGTAGAATATTGGTGCTTCTGACTCTCATTTAAGATTGAATGTACGTTATTATTTTAAAATACATGCCATTAGAGAGGTGTTACATACCAAAAAAGGTTTGAATCTGGGTGAAATAATATCAGCGCTTTGGTATGCTGATGATTTGGTATTGTTTAGCAAAGAAACGGAAACAATAAAACAACATTGATGAAAGCAGGTAAAGAACTGGGACTCAAAATCAGTATAGATAAGAAAAATAATTTATGGTTGGTAGTGAAAACGAAAACAATTTCAGGTTTTAGATATTGAATTAAATACATTTCAACATGTAGAGAAGTTTAAGCATTAAGGGTCTATGATAACAAGAAAAAACAAAATTGAAGAGGAAGTTAAGGCTAGGTTAAAGGCGGGAAATTTTTGCTATTTTTCATTTGCGAAAACACTTAGCTTGCAGCTGCTGTCCCAAAACTTAAAATCAAAATTTACAAAACTATTATCTTTCCTATGGTTCTTTATGGATGCAAAACGTGACCGCTTAAATTGAGAGATGAGCAACTTCTTGGGTTTTGTATTAAAATAAAGTATTGTGCAGAATATTTGGACCGGAGAAGGATGAGTCAATCAGAGAATTACATAATGCTGAATTGTGGGAACTGCACCTCATTAATATAATTGAGATGATTAAGTTGAAACAAATAAAATGGGAGAAGATTCCGTTAAGTCTGATCTGGCGGGGTTGGGTTTAGACAACTCCTGGTGGATGGAAGAATGTAGACAATGTTGATTGGTGGTATCGGCATTGAACTTTCAGGTTCCCTAAGACTTATTATTATTATATAATTATAAATATCTTCATAAGTTAAATTACTTGTGTCTAATAGAAATGGTGAGGAAGCTATATTAACCCTTTTTAACAGACATTTTTTGTTTATAAAAGAGAAAAAATACATACAAGAAACATATTGATTCCAATATTTTCTTTATTAATTATGAGTGGATTGTAAATTAATAATCCATTAATAAGAACATTTTAATTTATTTAATGCACTGTCTTACCTGATGAACACTTTTTTTCATGTCTCCTTCCAATGCTAATAACCATTTCTCAACTTGCCCTCGTGCTTGTACAGTACTAATTATATCAACAAGATGAACAACTTCATTTTCAGAAGATATCATGTGTGTTATTTCTAATTCATCAGTAAAAGTTAATTTAGCGATTCCTTCAAAACATTTTTTCAGGTATTGTTGTACTCTGAGATAAATACGGACAAAAATAAACAAATATAAATTTACAACTGCTACAGTTACAACTGTATACAAATAAAACCAGTAAATATGCACACATTAGAAATAATGACTTGAAGAGGTAGCACTTCCTATAATAATATTAAAATAAAAATATTGCGACTAATAGTTAATAACAACCTTGTTGGATCCTTTGTTTCTGATAAAATTTCAAGAAGTTCATCATTTGACAAAAAGAAAAATCTCGGGAAGTACAATCTCTTTTTTTCTAAATATTCATTCAATCCTCTCTGAATCACTTCTAGCAATAAATTACATTTTTTTAATCTATCTAACATCTTGTCTATATCAACCACAACCATTACATGAGAGTCTCCACTAACAGTTTTCATGATATCCCTCCATATCTAAAAAACAAAAAATGAAAATTTTGATGAAACATCAAATATAATTTTATAATTGTGGGTTTATGGTTGACTGTAGTAAATAATTGAAGAGAAGGATGGCTGGAGTGATCAGTTAAATTAAAATGACAAAAATAAATAATTTGATTTATTTTTACTTTTTAGTTTATTTTTTTTTACTTTTACTTTTTGTAAAAATAAATAAAATTATTTATTTTTGCCATTTTAATTTGACTGATCACCCCAACCATCCTTCTATTCAAATATAATTTTAATTAATTCAAAAACTGATGCAATTAACTAATTTCCAATGAGTAAAAAAATTAAGTAAAGTAATCTATGGATTTACTTTGGTATGAAAACAATCAATGGAACCAAGAGCAATGTTCATCACCACTCTGTATCACATATGTGGATCTAAGATAATTAATAACATAATTAATAATAACATAATTCACACACACTATTTCCTCAAACCTCAAAATTTCAATTATCTAAACTCTACCATTATTTTTTATTATTCAAAACCCTTGAGAACATAAACATGTGGTTGTAAAGTATACCGTTCATTTTTTATTAGAAATGTATTTCCATCAATTCATTCATATTTTTCTGCTTTTAACTATTAAAGAAATAGTTATTATTTCTTAAATTAATTAAACAAATTGCTGCATTTTCATAACTTGATAACATTTATTTTATTTTATTTATTACTTATTTAAGTGCAAACAATTTTGCAACCCTAACAGCTTACGCTCCTATACACCAGAGAGCGATCGGTAGAAAAGAAAAGAAAGAAAACAATCAGTAAGCATTAGATAGAAAAGAAAACAACTGGTAGTTCTGTATTGATTTTTAGAAAATGAAAGTATTTGTGTAATACTAACAAATTTTCTAGAGTAATTTAAAGATACTGATGAGTGAGAGAGAAACTGAGCCTAAGTCCTTAAAAACTTTAATTGTGTAAAATAGAAATATCACAGGAGGTGCCATTAAGGAATGGAATGGATGGTGAGTGACTGCTCCAAAAAAGACTGAGCCACTATTCTAAGTAAGAACCAAACAATTATAATGCTGCAATAGAATTTAAACTATTGCATCTGTATAGTTTTAAACAACAAAGATATTGATTCTTTATGTTCCAAGTAAGGCATTTACAAGACTGGCAACCCTATAATCATGGTTATACATATCCAGGTGCACAGAAGGTTTAGTTGATGAAGTATTCAAGTCTCTATATTTTGTTTGAAGATGACTTCCTTTCTTGATGAATAAAGAATTTCGACTATGAAGCTTTTGTACAGCCCACCATAACCAGAGAAAATGCCAAGAATTTGTCACAGATATACATAAAGTATGATAAATATAAGAAAAGATCTGTCATCAGACAGTGAAAATTGAAATAAACATCTACCATAAGTTTTAAAAAATAAATAAATTTAGTTAAGATAGACCTTGTCAACAGCACTAAATTTTCTTCCTTCTTCAGGCATTTGTTGTTGAATATCAGGAGAAGAAAATATAGGTTCCAAATACAACCAAGTTGACTGTACTTTAAGCCATTCATCCATAATTTCTTGTAATAGTATTAATTTTGCTTCCCATGCACTAAAAAAGTTTTAAATGTGATTTAGTTATTGCGAACCTGATTATAAATGCTAATTTTATTTCAGACAAATTTTTATTGGAAGAATAATAATACAATCTGCCACAATCAAGGGCATTAGATACTACAGCTCTATCTGTATATTCATACTATTTATATACAAGATAAAATACAAATTGAAAAAATTGATTAATTAAATAAAAAATTTTTTAAATAAAATAAATAAATAATGATATTAAAAAGACAATATAAATTAAAAGAATAATAAAAAGAAAAAATACTTGTCACACATTCATACTTATATAAATGCAAATAGAAAATGTATTTAAGGAGTCTGTACACTTTTCTATTCGATAAATACAATGAAATTGACTTAGAAAATATTTGATATGTTTAGATCATGAAAATAAAACTAAAGTGTGAATATCCGTGAATATGTAAGGCTGATTTTAAATTATTTTTTAAACATCCTCTCAGATAATCTTTTTATAGATTACACTTTTCAAATTAAATTCGCATTCCTTCCAGAGTGGACAGTTATGGGTTTTCAATTTGGTACATATGGACAATAAGGTCTTCAGGTAAAGAAAAAAGATTAGTCTGTATAAAGTACCTACACATGTTATATACTGTCTCCTGAAAATATTGGTACACAGAATGGTATATTAGTTGGATTGCATTAATTGCTGATTAAAACTACCAGTATGATGCCTCATCTACTTCTTAACTCAAAGAATGGATGAATCATTGTAATATGATTGATTTTTTTACTTTTTAATATTTAAGAATTGTTAAGCTGTTATGCAGAAGATTGTAATACTGTAAAATGACTATAAATTGATGGGCATTATAAATTTGTTTGCTATAGGGAAAAATCCATGTAAGATTAACTTCAGTATATGTAAATTTTCAAAAACCAATGAATTCAACTGAAAATTTATCAGAACCATTCCAAAATGATTAAGCCAAATGAAATATTTTTTTAACTGAAGGAGGGAAAACAATAAAAAGTCAGCCAAGTAAGGAAAGTATAGCTTCCTTATCATTTATGATGAAAAATTATGTATCTACATATATTTTAATTTGAGAATTAAACATTTAAGAGGAGTATTTTCAGAAGAAGATAATCAGGGGGTGCAGTCAATATATAAAATACAATATTTATTATAGTATATATATTATTATACTATTATATAATATAATGTTTTATATATTGACTGCCCCCCCAATTCTAACTTCTTCTAACATTAGCACTTCTTCTGAAATTAGAATCTATGGTCAACCATCTCTATATCATTATAAGAGGAGTAGTTTTAGAAGAACAGTGACGTCAAAGAAAACACACGCTTAAGAGAAAGAAGTGAATCAAATTTGATAAAATTAATAAATGATGTTGGAGCATCTGGATATCATCCCTTACAATCGCTGAAAATTTCATCAAATTAAATCAACTGTTGTGATACCTGCTATTTTCAATCGACTACAGAAATATATACAATTTAAAAATTATATAATCTCCCATTACTCCATTTTTACTGCATACCACATTTAAAGGGCCATTATACTCTCGATAATACCATTAATTTAAATTATTAAATGGAATTTGATGACACTGATACTTTACCATATTTACATTGCTCCCCAAATTTTCTCATGGAAAATGGTTTTGTTCATTTGCAAGCGAAAGTAGAGGATTGAATTTGATAATATTAATACTAGATCAATTCTTCAATAATCAATAACTTTCTTCCAACTTGGAGCCAAATCAAACGATCAAGTAGTTTTTGAAATGGTTGAATAAAAATAAGTTTTTTGCATCCATAAACGAAAGTAGTGGATAAAAAACTATTCAGGAGATAAAAGGAGAAAAGAGAATGAAAATCCAGAAAATGATCACACTACTTTTATTTTTAGCCAACCTCAAAAAAGTTGGAAAATTGTTTGAACAGGGAAAAACCGATCACCCATTCATGGGATGAAAAAGGAAAAGTGGCACTATTTTTTTTTTTTTTCGCTATTCAACAATTTGAAAGAAAATTTATTTAAACCATGACAAATTAAACATCTTTTTACAAGATAAAAGGGGAAAAGTGAATGAAAATTTTCACACCTGTATTCCATTTAGTCCTTTTGGTAATAATAATATATATATTTTTTATTTATTCATGATATTTACAACTGTATTAATAAATAAAATACATATAGTAAATTTGATAACAGAAAAATTTGAAATAGTCCAGGTAATTATTGTTTTACGGTCCACTTTTTTATAGATTTTTAATTTTCAATAGTAATATTAGTTAAACTTCATTAATCATGTTTTTAAAATCATGACAATTGTCTTTCGATAAATAAAATTGACTAAACAAAGAATATTGTTATATCCATTTTTAAAAATATGGATTCAGTTTAAATAAGCAGAAGTGCTGATGATGGCATAATCCTAATTTTTTTTATTATATAAGAATTAAAATAAATTAAACAGAATTATGGACGGAGGATTTCGTCTATTATTGGTGAATTATATCCTGTATTTCTGCATGAATGCAAAGCTTTCCTACGTTCAGTAATAAAGAAGCAAAACACTTTCTTGTTATAATATAAAGTCAAAGTTAATACTTACAATATCTGTTGCTCAAATGGTTTGATGTAGGGTGAATTCTTCATTGTCTGAGTCTTCACAATATGATCGTCAAGTAATAACTGAATTTCATCAACACTACTAATAATAAATGTTCCAGTGTCCCTGAAATAATAAAATATATTAATTAATTTACATTAAAATGTGAATATAATGTTATAATACTCATTCACAAGAAAGGGTCTCTGGCCGAATTCTCCTACTATCCCCCTATATGCCTCTCATCAGTAATATACAAACTATATAAAACTGTTCTGGAAGGGAGATCAAGGCCCCTAGTTAACACCTTGGTGGAGAAGAGCAAGTCAGGTTTAAACTAGGCGACAAACATAGTACCAAATACTCTTCCTAAGAAATCTTCTCCCAAAATCTTGCATCTCACATTCATTGATCATAAAGCAACATTTGACATGGTTTCCAGACATGAAATATGGGCGGCTATTAGAACTAAGAATTTCCAAAGGAACTTAGTGGAGGCAGTTAAGTCCACTTACCAGCACCCAAAGAGTTTGGAGGTTGGAGTCCAGTCACTTTCACACAGCAAGGGGGAGTGGGTCAAGCAGGGATATAATTTAAGACCTATTTCTAATTTATATAGATGAAGAGGCGGCCATTTGTAAAAGAAGAACAGAGAGGACATTTCTGGGGAGAAGAAACCTTCGTCTGGTGGTTCTTGTCACTTATTCAGTTGAAAAGTTACAGCAGGCAGTGACTGAATTGTATGAGGAACTTTGCCAAAAAGGAATGGAAATCAATACCAGCAAAAGCAAGGTATTGCAGGTAGAAAGAAAGATTGAAGATGTACATGAACACAGCAAAGGAGAAGAATTGGTAGTGGTCAAATACTTTACTTTACCTACTTAGGAACAGTCATAGACGGATCTGAGAAAGCGGGATCAGAAATATCTAGCCCAATAAGCAAGACAAATGCAGTCTACTACCAGATTTGCAACATTTTAGTAGGAAAGTGAGAGGTAACTAAGGATGTCAAGCTCCTTGTATTCAAATCTGTATACCTGCCAATACTTTTGTACTGGACTGAAAGATCAATATTGACAGACTGGCACGAGACCAGAGTCACAGCTGTTGAAATGAAATTTCTGCAAAGAACAGCCGGAAAGACTGTGACGCAAAAGAGGATACGACAGGAACTTGAGATAAAACCATTGAAGGAGGTTTTGCAAACCTACCAATTGAAATGGTTCGGCAATCTCATTAGGATGGAGAAACATAAAGACCCATTGAAGACGATAGACTATATTCCAGATGGCAGAAGACCTCGAGGAAGCCCGATAATGTCATATTTGGAATATATAGACTTTACAGAGGAAAAGGCAAAGATCACCAACAGGCTAGGAATCTAGCAAGGAACAGAGAGGAATGGAATTTGTGGCTGTGCACTCCCCTATGGTGAGAGGCACAAAAGGAAGAAGAAGAATTTACAGTAACAAAGTCATATTTATATAAAACAAACAAGTGTGTGTGCATGGGTAATTATTTAAATATAAAATCCTTTATGAGGGTGATAAATAATTAGGATTTGCAGTCTAAATTTGTTTTATTCAGCGTGCTTAAATTTCAACCCAAGCATGTTAGTCATCAGGGAAATGTTTATTTTCCAGTATAGCATCAAGAACTGAACTTGGGAATAATAGTTACCAACAAAAGCATGCATAACTTTCATCTAAATAAACCTAAAGATAACTGATATTAAAGTTCGAAATGAAAAAAAGACATAACAATGAGAATTTTTAAACACAATCGTAAAATCTTCTTATTTTAACTATGACGACAGAAAATACTTTCTATCCATGATTAATTAAATAATATAAAGACTATTTTCTATTTATAACTGAATAAATGGTCTGCTAAGAAATTATTGTAACTCAGTGACCATATGATATGAGCCTTTCAATTGACAAAATGACTAACTCCAATTTTAATATTTTTGAGTAAAGTCATGTTAGTGATATTGCTAGTAGGAAAATTTATAGTATCTGTAGAGATAGTGAGTAAGTTGATACCAGAGTAAGTGATTGCAGTGTTGAAATATAGAACTGTGAATAAAGGTATACATTTTCCCACTAGAAACATCACTAAAATTAATTATCAAAATGTAGAAATTGGAGTTAGCCATTATGTCAACTAAAAGGCTTATATATATGAGACTTTATTCTTTTTATAAATATTCATCAACAAAAGAATCAATATGAACTAAATTTACCTATATTCCAGAACAGAAAATTGCATATCCATCCATTCATTAACCATCTTCGCTAGTGCCTTTTCCAGATTATTTTCTTTTGTAGCTGCATCACTAATTGTTTCAAATTTACTAACATATTCTTCAATACCAAATTCAAAAATTTTTGCAAGTGTTAGGTCATCGTCTGGAACCATTGGGAAACCGACAATTTCTGAAATCATTTCCCAATGCCTTTCCTTTAAGCCAGGGTTTCCTAAAGTCATTACTAAAGGCATATGTTCACGAAACTCTTCTATTCTTTCTCGAACCTATAACAAGGATTAGTTAGTTTACTAATTCATTAATCTATCTATAACAATACTTTATTCAATTTTCATTAATAATTTTCTAATATAAATGAATTTTATTATTCATCCCCTAATTAAGCCATGGCTGGCTGAATCAAGATCTGTCCGTAAACTGGTAATCATGAGGTTTCACCAGGACATCATACATCACAGAGAAGAGAAGAGAAAAACAGGTTGTATCATTGTGTTGAATATAAAAGTGATGTGGGTATATAAACGCTATATATTACAAATACATTCAAGTATTATAATAAAAATTAGTGTTATCACAAAATATTACTCACAGCTTGAGCAAGCCTTTTAGGCTCTGGTAAATCACTAAAAAACTTTTCCAGCTTATAAATATTCCTGAAATATGTTCCAGTATCCTGATCAATTTCATCAGGATCATGTGATCCAACTCGTGAAGTGGTCCAAGCTTGATGCTTAAGAGTGAATTCCAAAGCATTGTCAAAAAGTTTCTTGAAAGGAGCAAGTTTGTCGGCAATCTATAACGAACCAATATAAAAAAAAAAAATCTTAAGTTATTTAATCAGCTAAATAATACAAATAAAATAAATAACCTAACTACTGGTTCATAAATGTAGGAACAACTATTAGATCAACTTTTATTCAAGTAGAAGTTCTAGTTCAGATCGCTTGGAAACAATAAAACTTTTATCATATCATATTGGTGTCAGGTCAAAAAGGTTTGGTCCTTCATTTTTATGGAGAAAAAGCAAAAACAAAAAACCATACATTGAAAAATAATGTAAAAAAAAGTAGCGGATGGATTTTAATAAAATTAACACAGCATCAATTTTTTTTTAATACTCGACTTTCTTCCAACTTTGAGCAAAAATGAGACGTTCCCCAAATATAGACATGGCTAAGAAAATACATTTACATGTACATAAGCGAAAATATTGTATGAAATTTGATGAAATTAGTGTGGTTATCTAAGTAACAACCCACACAATCTGAAAATTTCATGAAAATCTGATAAGTAGTTTATATGCCTGTCACATGGATTTGACAACAGACAGACACAGAAGGAAATTGGTTATTGATGTCTAAAACATATAACATGAGAAGAAATTTTTGATTCGAAACACAATTTTTTTTAAAACTCCTGCATGAATACAAAGCTTCCTTACCTTTTGTAATGAGGAAGCAAAAGAAATCTTATAGACCAAAAAAAGACAGATTTTTAAGTCAAGAAGAAATTAAAATTTTTATTTAATAAACAATTATAACTTAAATCTTTTTACTATGCACCAGTTTTACTACATGGTAACATAACTTTGCGAATGTAAATATAAATATAAATACCGAAATAGGAAGAAGAATTGACTCGCAAGACACTTGTGTAAACTATATTTTTATTATATTTCCAATAATGCTTTTTCCATACCTTTAAAAGTATTGTTTACAATTAACATATGAGATTAAGTTTCTAATTATCTATGCTGCAAACCTAACTGGTATACAGATAGGTAGTTATAACAATATTTCATACTCATAATCAATTATAAATTGAGCCAATATACCTGTTTACGTTTTGGGTAAAATGATTCTTCCCAATTAAAAGATTTTTCTTCTTCATTAAATTTATCGATAGTTGTTATTGCTCCAAGTACTTTAGCTTCAAGATTTGCAGCTTTAGCTTGGTATGTTGCCAACTCTTCAATGTTCCCATAAGTTTCCAATAAATCCACATCTTTCATCCATGCATCTAAGTCATCAACAAATTCCTTGATACGATCCTGAAAGAAAATGTAATAAATGTACAATAAAAATTATAATTAAATACATATTTATCACTTTCGGTGCAGGCTTAATTTATGAAAATACCTAATATACGGATGCATGTTTTTAAAAATAATTTTAGTAATTTGGTATTTTTTTTTTTAACCATCTTTAACAATTTTGTAAGTTATTAGAGCTATAAGCTAAAATAATTAGCCTAAAATGAATTTCCAGAAATGACCAAAGGACAACTTGTACGTGAAGAATTCTAAATACCTTGTGGGAGAGTCCACTAGCACGCCCAACAGTCCGTTTATTCTAAATCCACTTAAAGTAATTTTCTATTTACTTTCAAACAAATAATATAAATTGATTAGAATAGCGAATAACAATGACTAATGATATATAATTATTGATTTAAATTAATATTTCTAATTAACATTGGCATATTACCACATAATTAAATAATAATAATCGGAAATGATATATTTCTCTTGTATCTTTTTCAGTTGCTCACTTATATCTGAGATATAAAAAAAAAAATTACTAAAATGAAAAAAATATATAAAAATTTATTTTTAGATCAATTAAATGAAAATGTACCGAGTTTTCCTCATGCTTCCACCAGCAAAGGTTGACAGAACTGATGATGCTATTTTTTCACAAAATTATCGAGAATTTTGACACATAGTATATAAAATTAATTAAATTATCAATAAATAAAAAATTGTATCATTAGTTTTGTAAATTATTTTTAATAATTTAATATAATAAATGTGATAAATAAAAATTTACTGCACAAAAAACATTGATTACAATTTAATTTTACATTGATTCTTTCTTCAGAAGGACCATCCATAATGAGTGTTAAGTCTAAAAAATATTACTGATTCACTACTAAGAGATATCTAATAATAAGAAACATAATTGCTTCTAAGCTTCCGTTAAAATCCTTGAAGTAGTTTTTTTATCAACACCTATCCTTGAATGTCTGTTTTCCAAATTACCCGAATATCCATTGCTTTCCTTAAACAGATTCTAAGATTTTATGACCCTATGTTAGTGGTTCATGGGCATTATTCAAATACATTTTTATTTAAATAATGAATAAAATTCATTTGTTATTTATTGGCTCTTTATAATTCATTAATTACTTACAAAATAATCTATTTTCTATTATTTATTGTTTATGATAATTAACTAATTCAAATAAAACAACTGCCAAGTAAAATCAGTATAGTTTCATTACGTATCGTAACTACCTTTCTAATCACATATTATAGGGCTAAAACATTAGCGAAAGATAATGGTATTTTTTTAAACCTCAAAAAATCACAAACTTTTCTGAATAATATTTACTGATGATTTTTATTAAATATATTCATGTATATATTTATTTGATTAATTAACTTCACTAGAAATTCCTGCTCACAAAAAAAAAAAAAAAATGTGCAGTTTTGAAATACATATGAATCTCATGAAATTCACCTTAAAAAGACAAAATAACACTGTTTACAAAAGAAAAATAAACATACCTTAAGATAGGTTTGAAATTCAATCTTCTTCTTCTCAACACGACTCTTATTCATTTCTAACACTTCAGCCATCTTTAAGTACAGTAAAAATGTAACAGAATTCTGTTTGATTTCCATTGGGTTTAAAGGGATATGGTCTGAAAGAAAAATAATATAGGCCATGATGTTTTTAAGTTTTTCTTCCAATTCTAGTAAGGTTTTGTTCTTAACTTCGTCGGCATAAGCTATTAATTTCATTAATTCGGCAGTATTAGCAGGTGTTGCCAGAAGTTTTTCAATTATAGCCTGATAAGTATCTCCTAAACTAGAACAAACAATGAAATAAATCAATTTCTAAACAAAATTATGGACATCAATGTAATTATTATGATAAACAACTGTAATATGACTTAGTTTTTAGTAGGATTTTTATTTAGTTTTTAATACTAATCAAATTCAGGTTTTAAACAGACCACAATATACCAAAAACATATTTTATTAGTAAAAAATCTCTTTAACAAATGAGAAGTTATTTAAACAAATTATTTTATTTTGTAACATTTGCCCTATTTGCAATTTCCAAACATCAATTTTAGACTGATAGATAATGGAATAGATCATCTGACACAAATTATCTAAATAAACCAAGTTTGAATAATCTAATTAAAAATAACCGATATAATGTAAAAAATGTATTAAAAGTGAAAAACAAAATCTGGTGAGCTAAAATTATTATTAGTTGGCTTAAAGCACCGGGACCCTTGAAGGATCTATTGTGCGCCATATATGCTGTTCGTTATATTCTTAAAACAAAATTTAGTCGCTTCCGCGTATCTTAATAGGCTTGTTGGATTGACTGTCTCATAGCTACTGGGGCAATCAATTTGTTCTTCCCCAAAAGTGCCAGTCTAAGCCTTGCAAATCTATCACATCAACAGACGATGTGAGAGGTTATTTCATATTCCTCTAGACAGAATCTGCATAGCGGGTTCGTCATGACTCGGAGATTGAATATGTGATACTTTAACTAACAGTGGTCTGTGTAGATTGCTGTAAGCTTTTTAAGAGCTGTTCTCCCCATACTTAGCAACAGTTTACTTCTTTTATTAAATGGACCTTTAAGGAATAGCTTCGAATGTGGTTGTTCTCAGAAAAAAACAGAAAAATTTCAATGACTCTTTTATTAAGATTTGCTTTAGAATCATAATACAGATTTGAAGCATACTGCAATCATTTGAATTATCAATTATAAATGAATAATCTGTGATATGGCTGATAATTTAAAAATTGAATAGATTACAAAATTAACTTACTTTTTGCAAAGGACTTGGTAATCAGAAATAAGTTTTGTAATTAGCTTCTCTTTTAGTTTTGCTGCTGAATGCATGACTGATTGGATCAGTTCTTCTCTTTGCACTTTATACATTCCCATTTCTATTTGCATTTCTATTTTACAGGGAATTTCCAAATAGAGATTACTAAGTTTCAAAACAAAACTTTTATATTCTTCAAAAGTATGGCTATCCTCAATGAATTTATTTACAGCTATTTCAGCCTACAGTAAGAATAAAAAAAAAATTCAAATACAATATTGATCAAATAACACTTAAAAATACAATAAAATTACATTTTATCCAAAATAATTGTAAAAGATAAACCAAGAAAAATTAATGCCAAATCATAATTTTACTGAATTACCATTGATGTGCTTCTCTGGTGATGCTTGAGAAGCATTGAAAACAGAGAAGTTATCCACAGAATTGGGAAAATACTCTTATAATAGAAATCTTTGTCCTACGGTCTAATCTTTACATTATTTTTTTTAAATAGGTACTACCCATCATAGAAGTTGTGTAGGCAGGGAACATTGAAGGTTGAAAACTACCTCACCCAGGTTGTAGTAGACACCCCCCCTGTATTTACTCCTTTATGTGACATTGTGTGAGGGAATGAGAAGGAATATATAATATGTGAGGTTGCATGATGAATTATACTCAATTGTGCATTGGACAAATTATTCATTGAAAAGTCACATATCGATAAACAATCAATGAAGAAGGACTCTGGAAAAAGGACGGAGCAGGTAGCAACAGCTGGAGGACGCTAGGGAGAAGAGAAGGCATTCCAGGCCGGGACAGATAGAAAGGAGGTTGTCAGAAGAGAGGAGAACTTACTTGAGGATGAGACATGGAGGCGAGATGACGTTACCTGAGATGAGAGAGGCAGGACAGTGAAGACCAAGAAAATATCAAGCCTACAGTTATAAGACTTTAATAGATTCAGTTATTACAGTTGTAAAATAAATTGTTTTGTTAGACAGGAGTGAAAAGTCATTTATTTATTTAGTTGTCTCATAGGCCTCACAATTGAAGAATAATAAACCAGGTGAGTCAATTCATTCAAAGTGTATTTACTAAGTCCCACATTTCAAATATATATTCTTATTGTTTCTTCTCACTCAATGTCACAAAAGGTATTAGATTCCCGTATTCCTTCAAAAAACATCCTCAAAAAAGTCTATATCCAGTGCCGTGGTTTTGTTTTGATAATCACGAGTGTAAATAACCTAGTCCTCCGATATAAAGCGGAAGGATATTTACAATTCCCGCCAAAAACAAATTATTAACTATTAAATTTTAACAGGTTATTTACAATAAATAACCTATTAAAAGTTTAATTTTATTAATTTAATTTTATTCAGTTAGTACAATTCATCGTGCAACCTCACATTCCTATATATTCCTTCTCATTCCCTCATACAATGTCACATAAAGGAGTAAATACATGGGAGGTGTCTACTACAAGGTGCTTAATGAACATGACTGCTTTTAAACCTACAGTTTTAGATTTAAGATACAGTACTGGATGGCAGGTCATCAGACTGAGGAGTGAGAAAAAGAAAAGGCGAACCAGGAATTTGCTTATAATAAAGAGGCAGCATTAAGCCATTCTTCTTCCATGAAATAATGAATAATGGCTGTTTCGAGGAGAGTGGGAAACAGGTGTAGGGAAGTGATTTTAGTGGATACAAATTTTACATGCACCTGGGCCTGTTCCCTTCTTTACAAAGTTTTTCACTAAGTCTCATAAAAACCACATACTCGCATACGTTATTCTGCTGACCAAAAAAATGTTTTAAAATTTTTAAGAAATATTGTTTTAAAAACTATAATTAATAATATACCAGTATATAATAATATACTCTAATAAAAATATACCAGTCTATAATACGCAGCAAAATAGACTATGGAGCGCAGATATATAGTACAACCAACAAAACAATATTGAGGATGTTAGATTCTATACACAATTCAGCCCTTAGAATATGCACTGGAGCGTTTTGAACTTCTCCAATCGACAGCATCTACGTTGAATCTGGAGAAACATCCTTGAACTTGAGACGAGAATACCTATCTCTGAAATACATTGGCAAATTGAAAGCATCTTCCCACCACCCATTAACTCCATATTTATTTTCAGAAGAATCAGAAAGGAACGGACTTAGAAATATAGAAAATAACATTTTTAAACAAGCAATTTACAATGCAACAACTAAAATAAACATGGATACGACCATTATAAGACCCATCCCAGAATTAAAAATGCCGCGTTGGAAAAAAGATAGACCATTTATTAATAAATCTATGACTAAAATTGCAAAGGCATATCCGCTTGAAATACAAAAATCTTTTTTAAAGCTAACGGAACAATATAAAAATTTCGATTTTATATATACGGATGCATCCAAAAAAGGAGGTAGCGTAGGATGTGCTTTAGTGAGTAAAGAGAAACAATTACTGTTTAAATTACCTGGAGAATGTTCAGTATTCACAGGAGAGGCCACTGCCATCATGAATGCTTTATATCTTATAAGCGAAACTGGAAAGAACTACTGGGTAATTGTAACGGACTCATACAGTGTTTTAACTGCCATTGACAATCCATATCCTAAAAACTCCATAATTAGGGAAATACTCAATATCTGGTGGGATCTAAAAAATAAAGGAATAACAGTTGTATTGGTATGGGTACCAGCTCATTGCGGAATTTTAGGAAATGAAAATGCTGACAATGCAGCCCATTTAGCAAGAAGTGGAGGAGAAGAAGAGGAAGTGACTAGAGTGAAATATATCACTTTAGAAGACTGGGTACACGAAATAAAGAAAAATCAACTGGCAGAGTGGGAAAAAGAGTGGAGGATCAAAGAGTGTAAGCTGAAAGAAGTGAAACCCAATTGCGATAAATGGCTCACTAGCAACAGAAAGTCTAGGCGTGAAGAAATTATACTGTGCCGCCTAAGGATTGGGCACTGCCAGTTCACTCATAGTTATCTTTTAAGAGGCCTAGAAGCTCCTACTTGCGAGAAATGTAACAATACACCGCAAAATGTGAAACACCTTCTAGTAGAATGTTCCCAATTCGAAAGGCTCAGAGAAAAAATAGAACTAGGAAAAACACTAAACGAAATACTAAAAGACAATGAAGAAAGAGTCTCGATCGTGTTAAATTTTTTAAAAATTGTAAACTACTATAACAGAGTATAAATCATAGAAAACGCCAATGACCCTTTAGGGTAGAGGCGAGAAAAAGGAAAAAAATTAATAATAAAAACTTTGATTGGTAAAATAATCTTACATCGCCATTGATCAAGTCAATATAGTTGTCAAAATCATGGACCCTTAATTCTGGCCCGATTCTCTGATCTTCTAATAAAGTTAGTACAGTTTCTTTCTTTTCATTAATAATATCACTAGGTATTTCAGGCTAAAACATAAGTAATGAAGAGATTTTTAAAAAAAGAATAATCTTTATGTCAAAGTTTATACATACAATATTAAAATGCTATATGAATCTGTAAAAACTATAAATCAAGGGTGTCCAACCTTGATATAGCTATTTATATTGATATACAGTCATATAGATATAGCAAAATTTGCAAATAGCCAGCCAATGAATTATTTAATTTTTAATTTTGTCATTTAAAAATAATTTTTCTTTCTGGGATGAAAGAGTAATTTAGTATATAAGTAATAAAATTACTTACTGCAGTACATTTTTTTTTTTAATGTAAATAATAGTGATGAAAACATTTACGTTATCTCGTTAAATTTAAAAAATTACAAAAATGAAACAAAAAAAATTAAAAACCAAGTGCCTATATAATATAGAAATAATTATTGTTTGAAGGTTACAAGATATAGAAGAAGAAATTATATAGCATGCCTAAATATGCCATTGGTTGTGGAATTATAAAAGTAATGTTATTAAAAGATTGAGGCGATCTGAAAGTTATAATGTATAGATAATAACAACACATGGGTAGTAAACAATTGTTTGAGACTGGATGTAGTGAGTCTATTTACTAGGATGCTCCGCACTTATAAGAGCCAAATAGCCACCTATTCAGTCATAATTAAATTATTAAGTTGGGTCAAGGCGAGCCGGAGGTAACAAGTGTGCTTTATTCTATCTCAATCTCCTAACTCCTCACTTCCATACCTTAGTAAGAAACCTTGGTTTAATTTTTGATCAAAACTTATTCTTGAATTATCTTATCTCCCAAAAATAGCTATCCTTAAACAGTACCTAAGATTTCATGATTATATGTCTTTTGAAACCATCCAGAGCTCTATTCCAGAGGTATCAATTCATTTTTTCCCCACTAATGAATTGTTTCATTAGATTCATCATCAGGGTCCTCCAGCACTCCTACATTTCTAGTTGTACACCCAATTAAAGCGGCTCTATCCTGTTTTCCGACGTCAATACTCCCTAAGTGTCTTTCTTTTCCAATCAATTAGAGCCAAAAAGCCTCCCTAAATTCTCAATCTGTTCACCCCATGTTCCTATGTACATCTTTTAAAGATAAGATCCCAACTCATGAACTTGTAAATTTCTTCTCGTAGAACTACTTCCTTAAAAAAGTCTCAATTTTTCAGAACTATCTCGTTTTGGAATTTTTATCCGTCTCCTTAACTATCAATCTTTAATCTTTCCATGTACATATTTCAAAGACAAGATACCAACTCATGAACTTGTAAATTCCTTCTCATAGAACTACATCCTCAAAAGGACCATGGAGGACCAAGGATGGTCCAGGGTGGCGGTCATAAAAAGACTAAAGTAATCAAAAAAATATTTTATTTCATGCCAACGTTTCGACCCGACTTTGCAGATCTTCTTCAGAGAGGTGTATGCTGTATGGAGTTTCGGTTAAACACAGGTTCAACCATTTAATTAATTTCAACCGAAACCCCATGTTGCATACACCCCTGAAGAAGAAGACCTGCAAAATCGAGTAGAAAAGTTGGCTTGAAATAAAATATTTTTTTCACTATCTTGGTCTTTTTATGACCGCCAATCTGGACCATCTCCTTCCTCTAAAATATACAACAGTCAATTATCAAGTGTTCAATTTAAAAATCTCAATTTTTCAGGACTATCTCGTGTTGGAATTTTTATCCCTCTCATTAACTATCAATCTTCCATTTATGTAATCATTTTTAATTCTTTTTTTTTTTCATATTGCTTATTTCATTTATTATCTTATATTAGATTTATATTAATCTATGAATATGTGTACCATATGGATGTGAGAATATGTCTGATACTATAACTTTAATTTATTTTCTTATGGTTTATCTTTATTTTATTATTAGTTTTTATTATTAATCATTCTATATTATTCTTTATTATTAACTATTCTATATAATGTATAACTCAGAAGCTTGAAGATTTTTTCTAAAATTGAATATCTACATTATTCTAGGAGACTACATGTCTCAGAATAAAATTTACTTTCATTCATTCATATTTTATTCATCAAAGACTATTTTCAGAGTGCCAAACAGATCTATGGTTTTATTGTGATTACTTTAATATACATGTAAGATAGCTCTACAATAATAATAACAATAACCATAATAAATAAGCGGAGTGTATGTCAATTATGATATCAACAAATGGTCTGATTCAAAAGGCTTGGAGTTGCCTCTTGGTGTGCTAAGAGAGGTTCAGCAAGCGTTCCTCCTTGGACATAGCCAGAATAGACAGAAAATGTTTAAATATTTTAAGAAAAAAAAGTGTATCTGTAGGTGGTTGGACTTGTTCCCCACCTTTAGCTTCGAATCCGCAAATGTGAGAAAAATAAAGATAATAATAATAATAATAGTAAAAACATTATTAAAAAAATACCATTAAATATGTAGGGGGTAGAGTCATGTCCATATAAAGAATGTATTCAAGACGAGGAACACTTTTTATAGCCAATACCAACAAATCATACACATCTAATATAGCCCTATTAAATTTATCAAAGTTTGGTTCAAATTGTATCCTCTTGTTTTTAAGATTTAGAGCCACTAAGAATCCAGGATTTTTACCCTAAAACAGACATATATCACCTAAAATTAAGAAAGTAATTTGACATTTTAAAAATACATACTGCTTCAATTAAAGATATAAAATTAGTAGCTTGTGTATTACACAACTTTGACTTACCTTACAACTTAGCATATTGGAGCTAGGATACCAGAAATGTTTTAAATCATTAAAACAAAGAGACTTATGATGATACTTAATTTGTTTTTTAAATGATAAAAAATTTTAAACAAACAAATTCAACCTTAAACTGATATATGAGAAGGAGTTAGTTGGGGGTGCGGTCAAATAAATACTAAATTAAAATATAGTAATTATTTTTATTTTTTGCCGACGTTTTGACCCACTTTGCAGGTCGTCTTCAGGGCTACAAAAGATACAAAACATGTTGAAAACAAAAAATAAATATAAGTAGATATAAAATAAGAAGAAGTTGTCAGATACAGAAATAAAAGATGATATCAGAGATATAGTGGGTGACAATGTAGTTAAATATTAAGTATTATATATGTAGAAGATACAAATAAATGGAAAATAAGTATGAATAAAAATAAAAATAAAGGAGAATATACCATGTAAGTTAAAAGTAAACAGATTGCGATAAAAGATAAGGAATAAGAGTATAACAAACTGTTGGGTTAACAGATAAAGAAAATTATTGAATTTTCTTTATCTGTTAACTCATAGGTATCTAATATAATCTCTATTAGTTTGTTATACACTTATTCCTTTTCTTTTATAGCAATCTGTTTACTTTTAACTTACATGGTATATTCTCCTTTATTTTTATTTTTATTCATTTTTTATTCATACTTATTTTCCATTTATTTGTATCTTCTACATATATAATACTTAATATTTAACTACATTGTCACCCACTATGTCTCTGATATCATCTTTTATTTCTGTATCTGACAACTTCTTCTTATTTTATATCTATTTATTTTTTGTTTTCAACATGTTTTGCATCATTTGTAGCCCTGAAGACGACCTGCAAAAGTGGGTCAAAATGTCAGCAAAAAATAAAAATAATTACTATATTTTAATTTAGTATTTATTTGACCGCACCTCCGACTAACTCCTTCTTATATTATATCAACGGTCAACCATCTCTACATCATTAAACTGATATACCTCAAAGATTAAACCACTTGTTGATCAAGAGTTAGAAGCAATTTCTATTGGAAGTGGAAATTCCATGAATTTTATCCCTTCAATATCTCTCTAATTATCAATTTTATCAAGAAAATGTAAAGAATCATTTTTATAATACTTTAATTTTGTATAAGATAACAATTGGGACAAAACCTTAACAGTTGTTGAAATAATCATTATGAAAATGAAACTAAAAATCAATTTTTTGTCTTTCTCGTTTCATCATAAATACCTGATGCTAATAACTTCATCACTTTTCACCAGTTATTGCAGAAAGGGTAATGAACACTGGTGTAGTTGCCAAATATAACTTGTTTATGATTACAGTTTTTTTTTTATTTACTGCACTTTTTTTAATGTTCAGGGAAATATTTTTTTCCATCCAGAAACATATGTTTCTATCTAAACAAAATAATATTATTTCCAGTTGCCAGTCCATCTCTACACTTCAAGTACTAAATTATGTATCCTTTTTTTTTCTATTAAGTAAAAATATGTAAAAAAAAAATCAATAATTAGTATCTGAATTGTAGAAATGGACCAGCACCTGAAAATAATATATTACATTGATAAATATTTGTTGGCAATGCTTGTAGGAGATGGGAGGTTACTCAGGCTTTCCTTTCTAAATGCTCCATCTCCCCTCCTCACCCTAGCGATCTCATACTGGAAATACGTTTTTGGATGCTCAATTTTCCTCTAAATTTTAATTTTGTAAGAAAAAATGGTGAAAGGAATTTCAATTTCAACTTGTAAAAAGAAGTATTTACAAATGAGTGAAGAGAGGGGATCAGGGAGAAAATGTTTTGCCACTGTGCACCCTCTCTCCTTCTCTATCCTCAGACAAACTTATCTTAGATGGACTCTACCAAGAATGAAATGAGGAACTTGTGGAGATAACTAGAAATAAATACACTGATAGAGCCTTGATCCTTTGAGGGTGAACGGAGTCTCTGGGCCTCTAAAATCAGTAGCAATATTAAATTAATCATAGCTTCAGGAAATCTTCTAAAGGCAAAAAAAAAAAGATTATTCAACCCTGAAGCTTTAATTCTCAATAACTCTGGTATTAACGAAGCTGGTATTAATACTAAATTAAACCCTATTTATCTTCTTTTTTTCATTTGTCCACCCAAGACTTCCATTGAAGTCATATACTTCTATCTATTTATCTTTAAAATGTCTCCATTAATGCAGACGAATATTGTACATTGAGAGTTAAAAACTCAAATCTAAATTTTATGGTATACCAACAAGTTTTTTTATCCACTAGAACAAATGTATTCAGTTAATGATCTTATCTGAACAGTGAAATGTGTTCTTTCATTTTTGCAAAATGAATACATCAACATTAGAAAAATCTTTCTTGGTAACAGGTTAGTAGTAAATAATCACCACCCTCAATTCCTGCTGCATTTCTTGAATAAAATATTATTTTTATTTTATAAAGTACATACTTTTTTGTTTTGAAAGATTGATGTGTAAAAAAGAAATAAGTTTTATCTTTTATCGTCACCATACTATCAACATTATCATTATAATATTTTTTGTTTACACTTTACACTGTAATTGGGATAAATTCCATTTACAAAACCTTTAGCATTTTCTCGAATCACATTTCATTAAAATCTAGTAGATACTATGGTTACACACAATCTCAAAATCAATATGAACCAGGACTTTTTTAGGATTTAAAAGATATTTACTAACTCCTTTGATAGTTTTAACACATTTTGGCTAAGTACGGACATTGTTTGACAGCTACAATTAATCTAACAAATACAAGGCTCATAAAAATTAAGAAAAATCATTATAATCATAAAAAGAAAATATACAGCCATGAATGAACTATTAGTAAATGAAGTTACATATTATTATAGAAGAATCCCCATAAACTGATATTTCTTTAAACAAAATGAAAACTAAACAAAAGTCTTTAAAATATGGACGCAATCAAATTCCAACTAACCAAAAACTATATTTTAAGAATAATAATCAAAATTAGATACAACACACTAGTTAAAAATAAATTTATATTTACAATAACTTACTCCAATGTCACATATGAAATTTGTATAATCCTCAACTGAATTGAGACACAACATTTGTAACTGGTACGACATTAAAGTAGAAATGCACTCATAAAAATGGTGCATTGTTTTTTTATGGCTTGATGATGGTATATTACCACTTCCATATTCCTAGAACAGAAGATATAGCACCCATTAAATATATTTTTGTTTGTTGTTTTTTAAATAAAGTAATGAGCCTTAAAGATACAAACATTACAGCAATTATTAGCAGCATTAGAATATCTAGATCTATCATATCATATCAATTATAAATACCTTATTTATATCATTCATCATTATCATATCATAGATATCATTCTAAATATAAATACTTTTTGAATATATTAAAAAACTACTAATTGTAAAATTTAATCAAATGCTAATGCACATTTGTTCTCATAGATAAATAGATAAAAAAAGAAAAAAAAAGTTGCAACTATATACAGAATTAGAATCTATATCTTACTTTTAAAAATAGTTCCTGAAGTTTTGGGAGCCAATGGTTCTCCAGAAGATTCTTTATATTCGCAACGTGTTCTCCAACACTAAACATAAACTCCTCAAAAGAGAATGAATTTTTCTGTTTTTTAAATTGTTCCACATTGACTAACCTGAGATTGCTATGAACAAATATTATTTTTAAGTTTAGTACCATTTTTTTTAATAATAGGACTTTATAATAATTACTATCTTAATGGAAGTCCTCTTTATAATCAACACTAAGAAACAAATAAATATTAAGGACATATTTAAATTTTTTTCAGAAATCCAATAACATACAGAAATAAAATTTTTACATTAAACATCATTACTGACAATGACCAATGAATAACTCTTGGAGTAATTGTAACCATTATACAGTTTAAAAACATCTTTTTTATTTTTGTAGCAAACAAAAATGTAAGAAATATGGTGCATGTCGAGAAAAAGTTTTTGAAATTTAATTTGACTTCAATTTACATGTTTAACGATCCCCTAATTAAAAAAAAAGTGATTTAAAAACAATATTGATCAGCTTTGTTGTCTCTATTTCGAAGGACCTCTCTTCCTCCTAGAATGATGAATTTTTTTTATGAAAATATAGTGGTATGTAGCAACTTGTTTAAAGTTGTAAAAAAAAATAAGAATTTCAAGACAATCCATCTTCTATGGAGATGTTATTGGTAATTATCAGATGGAGAACAATCAGATGTTTCACCGCAACCAGCTGTTGAATGAGATAAAAAAACCATAAATTTCATGAAATCAGTTAATTCTACTTTGAAAAACCAAATTAATGTGGTCTAAGGAAGCTTGAAAAATCGTTTCAATAACTACCGTAGCCTGTCTTTCAGTTAGCTTTTTGAATGGAACCTACCTACCTTAACAGTTTTGGAACAAAAAAAACACTTAATAATCTAAAAATGAGATTTTGAATAGGTGAATTTGTTTTGATTTTTTTTATTCTTTGACTTGATCGTCTTGAGCTCTTTCGGCCATATGAGGTCTAGCAGACCAGTAAACTTCAACTACAGTCCTGGCTTTTGTTCTAATTGTTCAAAGCTGTCATAGATCCTTGTTGGTAAAGTGGGATTGTTGCTGATTCGACAACTCCAATAAGGTGTAGATGGCTTTGGAGATAATCAAGTCGCCATTTTTTATTTTGCTTTGATAAGAAAGAATATTTTACTCGTTAAACAGCAAGAGCAGCAATTCTTAGAACTTCGCCCCTCCAGATAATGTTAAATTTATTATTCTATTTATCAAAAAATACCTGAAAAGTGAGATTTGGCGACTGGAACAGGTGATAAATGAAAAATATGAAAATACACAAGTCTTTTTATAAATAAATGAGTTGCATAATTCTACAACAAACTTATGTTCATAGTACAATGTCCTTACTTATGAACCAATTCCCTTAATGACCTGGTCGTTGGAGCAGAACTTGGTTGTAAAGGGATCTGTAGTAGTATTACGTATCTCAATATAAGTTTCAATAAAAAAGATAGGATACTATCATAAGTTAATTCCTGGCTGCAAGATGGAAAATTACTTGTGAGTTAAGACTGCATAATCATACTACTTGGCAGATCTTTCATGTTACCCACATCATTTCCATGTAATTTTTCTCCTTTCTCAATAAAGTTCATGGATTCCTCAATAATGATTATAATTGTATCCTCCTCTTGATTTAAATCCATCTTAGGACATCCTAATCGTAGCCTGAACAACAACCCTATCCCATCCCATACTTCAATCAAAAATCTTGGAATCACTGTTGACCAAACCTTTTCCTGGAAACTGTACATCTAAATTTCCTGTTGAGCCATATCGACCGTAAAACAAAACAATCGTCATCGTTATCTCCTTTCACATAAAACTCATCAACTCTTACACTCCTTGCTTGCTTTCTCCCATTTGACGATGGCTATCTGGCGACGCACTTCTTGGTGAAATTGCAGCAAGACGTATATTTGCTTATGAACTGCTTACAAAGACCTCTTTTCGGACTAGTCAGGAAAGCGCATATAACCAAATATTACATCGAGCCAAAGTGGCTCTACCCGTCCTTTTGGTTGCCTCGTTGATATATCAGGTTTTCAGAACTCAGCATCTCTTCTACTTATTAAAGATCTTATAATTAAAATCTGCCACTCAACCCTATCCTTCTGAACGACTTCCCTACCAAACTGCTGTAATTGACAAATCTTTCCTAACCAAAGATGTCTCCATCCCGCTCAGTATGTCGTGCATCAACTGTTTTCTAGTTCAAATAACAACTCCTTTTTCAACCACCTTTACCTTGCCTAGTCAGATTAATATTATTATGTTTTAAATTATATATAACTTCATTGCAAATGCTACTAAAAAATTCCTTTTATTGTTTTTGTTACTTTTCAGATTTATATTTTTCCTTTAATTGTTTTAGCTGTATTTTCTTCTTTATATTTTTATATAAAAAATTATATTTTTATTAGATATAATAATTAATTAAAAAATTATAATAATTCTTTATTCAATGATTGTATTATTGATTATATTTACATTGAGTACAAAAATGGTAGGGTCACACTTTTTTTTTAATATTCTTATAATTTATTTAGAATAATAAAACAATACAGACAAATGTTTTCAAAGATCGAGAGGTTGAAAAAATATTCTATCCATATATATTAATTATATTGTTAAAATATGATATCAGATATGATGTATTAAATAACAATAATTTGTTTTTAAGAAAATTTTGCTTGTAAATGATTTATAAATTATACCTATATTCATGATTCCAAAGGTCAAGTACTTTTGCCAGAAAGGGGTTTATAACATGAAGACGAGTTTGAATTTTCCTTGAACCATACTGAAAACCTTTTTTCATAGCTGCATCGCCTACATCTCCCAAAACCTGTTTAGTATGTTTAGTCTTTGACTCAAAAAATAAGACATCTGAAGGATCTCTGAGCACAAAATCAATTACAGATTTTTTTACAGTATAATCATAGAGTTCCTAAAAATTAAATATCAATATTACTTGGAAATGCTGTTTAATAATGTGTTATAAAACAAAAAGTCAATCAGGAATATAAATTTCAAACATACATTAAGTGATTTTTAAGTTTGATAATATATTACTATATTATGAGCATTTTCAGCTACTTAAATTAGTGCTTTTTAATAATTAAATATTAAATATCATTGTATGAGGTATCTAGATAAAAATTATAAATAGCTGAGTAAGTAGTCTGTGTATCAAAGACTATAACACTATTTAAAATCAGTTTTTTTTTTTTTTCTGTTGGCATTACAGACCATGTAGATCTTTTGTTGCCCTAACAAGCCTGCTCCATCTCTGCCTGTCTTGGGCTATTTTTTTCGATTTATCTGCTTGCAGTTCTATTGCATCTTTGTTGATTCTATCTATCTATCTGCTTTTTGGCCTTCCACTTAGTCTTTTGCCTTCTATTGAGACATTCATTGTTACGTAGAGGCTTCCAGATGGATTGCTTGGAAGCTTGGAAGAAAGCTCAGTTTGTGCTAGTTATACATACATAGATGGCGCTACATCCCGCCACCAAGACTGGGCGTCCTCCAAAAGCTTTCACCACTCAATACGATCAGCTGCAGCATCTCTCCAGTTTTGGACTCCCAGTAGAGCCCATGCGTCCGATGTCACTGAGTCCTCTCATCTTACATTTGGCCTTCCAATCTTTCTTTGTCCATGCATCTTTCCGGACAGCATCCTCCTGGGTATCGCCGAACCATTCATATGTGCGACATGCCCTGCCCATCAAAGTCATCCTATCTTAATAAACATGATCAAATCTATGTCCTTATAAAGGCCAGCAAGTTCGGCATTTCTCCTTCTTCTCTAAATTCCACTATCTCTAACAGGAACAAAAATCCTTCTTAAGATTGATCTCTCAAAGATCAAAGTCTATTTTCATATTGCTTCTTAAATGTCCATGCTTCTGATCCATAAGCTAAAACAGGGAGGACCAAAGTTTTGTAGAGTGTGATCTTGATCCTCTTAAAGAGGAACCTTCTTCTAAAATGCTTTGCAAGGCCAAAGTAGCACTGTTGCTATCCGCCTGTTGACTTCAAGAGAGATATCGTTTTCAGAGTTGATCTCAGACCCGAGGTAGACAAAGCTGCTTGCTTTTTCGAAATTATATGGTCCAGCCACAAAAGAAGCTGTCCCTAGCCTATATATACTTGTTCTTATCTTCATTAATGTGTAGCCCAAGCTTCTTTGTTGCGTCTTCTATGGCCAAGAATGCACGTTCCAATCTGGCATCAATATCAAAGTCATCACCATACCCAAGGATCTGTTACGGTACTGTTAAGAAGGGTTGCGTGGAGTTGGATTCCGGATATACGCACTGCTTTCTCTGTAGCGAAGTTAAAAAGAAGACAGGCTAGAGCATCCTCCTGTCTTACACTGCAGCTAGAATGAAAATCTTCCGAGAAGTCACTTTCTCCTCCTACTGCACACTTCGTGCCTGACATTGTCATTTTCACGAGACGTATCAGCGCTAGTTATAGCGCTATTCTATTTCTGGCCGTTGATCATTCATTGAGGTTATTGAGGAGCCGAGGTATTTGAATTTTTATACTCTCGGGAGTGACTTTCCTGCTACGCAGATCCTGTAATAACAGGACCCACCTAGTTATTAGTTAGTAAATTAAATCCCCAATAGGGATGGAATTTTCGGCTTATTGTCATATATTTTATTTTGTCTTCATTTACTTGTAGGGCGATCTGCTCTGCCTCTCTTATCAGTGGATATATAAAATCACTTATATCTATTATAAATAAAAATTATATTATATATTAGAATTAATGACAGTCTAAAGTGTAAAACCATACATTTATATCATCTGTCCTTCAAAAAAAAAGAAGGAAATTGAGGGCTGATTAAAATTGGACTTTTAAAACCGAACATAGCTTGTCTAAGTTATTTCTGCAAAAGACAATCAGAGCAGCACCAATACTATGAATTTAATTAAATAATTGTTTATATCCAGAGAATAATGTATATCACAGAAAAATTAGATTGATATGTTGGCTCAAACAGTTTGGCCATAATTGTTTAACATCACCTATTACTCTATAGCTACAATTACTTATTACCCATTCAATACCACAAACAAGCAGCTTCCAGACAGAAGTATCCTCTGATTTATACCTTCTGCCTTTGTGAATGTGATGTATAAGAGTTATTAGCAAATAAGATGTTGAAAGGTTATAACAATTGTATCTCATCCACTGATATTCAATAGTTCTAAAATCTATTATCATATATGAATATTGATGTTGCCAAAAGATATAAAGGAATATCACAAAAAGATGATGTTGAGAGGTGAGAAATGATTATCATTTTTTGTCTCAGAAATATAAAACTAATGATACTGATGTACTTCTTGAGCATTAATTTAAAAGTGACAGGTTGGTCAAGATTGCATCGATCACACTATACATGGAATTCCAAGAATGGCCAATTACTGACAATGTGTTCACATATACCTCTGAACACATTGTCAACAATTTGCTTTTTAATTAAATTTGAATACCTTAAATTACATCACTACTTACGACTTTTGCTCACTCAAAAGAGATTAAAAAAAAACCCAATGGGTTTTGTTGAGCTCACGCCCAACTCAGTTGAGGCATAAATAGACAATTTGGTCACATCCATCTATTTACAGAATTCCTTTTACAGAGTGATCATGTACATTTATAGTGCAGATCTTGTGCCTAAAAATTGAATTGAAGAAATAATCTGAAAGTATTTTCTTTTTTTATTTCATTCATTTTATTCATTATCTGTTGGCTTTATAGACCACATAGATCCTTGGCTGTCTAAACTAGCCTTCTTCACCTTGGCTATCTTGGGTTATTGTATTCCAGTTTTCTTCATGTAGCTCTAAAGAATCTCAACTGATTCTATTTATAAATCAGGTTTTTGGCCTTCCACATGGGCTTTTAACAGCTATCGAGGTATTGTTGTGTGAAGGTTTCCAGATGAATCACTTTGAGTTATATGGGCGGGAGCCCATCATAACCTCATTTCATTTATATCATGATATATTGAAATTATCCATTGTTCCCACCACCTTTATGCCGACGATTCTCAAATCTATATTTGATACATCCTTTTCTCCCGCTGAGTTATTGGTGGCATTTGCCAAAATTCAAGAAGATTTAGATCGAATTAGTGCCTGGGCCAACTTAAATGGATCAAGGCTAAATGCTGCCAAAACGCAGGCCATTCTCATTGGTTCCAAGCCCCTTCTTAGATCCCACACCAACTTTCCCTCACTCTATCTAAACAACCACCCCATCACCTTCTATCCCTTTGTTAAAAATGTAGGCTTTCTCATAGATCAAACCCTTTCCTGGAATCACCATATCTCTCATATATCCCACTCGTGCAATTTCTACCCTCAAATTATTCCATCACTTCCGCCACCTTCTACCCCAAAATACCCGTAGACTCCTAGTTTCCTCTCTCATCTTTCCCCACTTTGACTACAGCTGTGTGGTGTACGATGGCCTCTCGGTGGAACTCCGTGATAGACTCAAAAGACTTATGAATAGCTTCGTAAGATTTGTAATTGGGACCCCGAGACGCTCCCGTGTCTCCCACCACTACACTGAGTTAGGGTGGCTCTTCCCCTCCTTAAGAAGACAATATTTCCTAGGCACTTTCCTTTATCAAATCATTACCGATCATCGTCCTTCTTATGCCTACAACCTTCTCCAATTTAAGTCCTCAATCCATTCCCTCACTACAAGATCCCGACCCTCTGACCTATACATCCCTTCTCATAGATCTGCCTCATTCCAAAATTCCTTTATAGCCCGCTCTGTCAACTTTTGGAATTCCCTCCCGATCAAAATTCGGCATGCACCCTCCCTATACACATTCAAAAACCTCCTATTCCAATTCCTGTTCCAAAAACAGTCAGATACCAGCTAACTATTAATATTATATATGTATTGAGTAGCAATCATATAATCATAATACCTGATACTAGAGATAGTACATGCGTTTCCTACTATCGACGTAGGAATTTCAATACATACATTTTTTTTTTTTTCATTCAATTATAATTAACTGTTTATTTTTATATATATATTCAAGTAAAGTATTTTTAATTTATTTTATGAAATGAACTCACTGTATCTCTTTTTCGTTCTTCATTTCTCAAAGTGTATGTTTATGTTGTTCAACCCTTATATATAATTTTGTTCATAGTTCAAGTGATTCGTTCATAGTTTTAATTGTTTTGTTCATAATTTTAAATGCTCTGTACATAGTTTTATCTGTATTGTATATAGCTTGTGCACCTAAGGTTTTCTTTACTTTTTATTTTATTTTATCAATTTTATTTATTGTTTCAAACGTACAGGCCAGTAATATTCTTGAATGAGCAGTTTCTAAAATAACTTCTTTATTGCTCCTTATACTTCATGTATTAGTACTCTGATCCCAGATCACACCAATTAACAACTGGAAGTATTCCTCTCATATTTTTCAACATTTCATTCTAGGATGCTGGTAAGTGTCCAGGTCCCACACCTGTTTATCAGAACTGACTTTATCATAACATTTTACACCCTTGGTTTGGGATTTCAAGGTTTTTCAATATCTTTGACAGAAGAAAGTTGTTTGCCTTTAAACAGTATGCTGGTCTATTTTGGACCATTTCTTATTCGATTCTAAAAGTAACAGTGTTAAAAATAAATTAACAGATGGGCTTGCTATGCTCTTTCAAGAGATACCAAATCCTCAACAAGTCATTATCTGTTAAGGTCGGGGCTTACTAGAGATCAGTCACTTCCATATATATTGACACACTTAGCAACATATACTGTGTGATTGATTCCACCTTATTACCACCTTGATGGCTGTTGAGTATCAAGCATCAACCGGAAGAGATATTTTGAAATTAGTATCACTTCTTGAAATGGATTGCTAACCCAATAATGAAAGCAGTCAGAAGAGACCAAGCCACACTTCAGGATTTAAGAATTGAAAATTAAGAAGTCATGGGTGGCCAGACATATTGAGACACAACTGTTATGAATTAATCAACTGTCAAAATGTATTGAATTAGTTTTGAGCAATTTTTTAGAAACATAGTTTATTTGAAATAAGTAGGAAAAATACTATTTGGAAGCCCAATAAATCTAAATAATGATTCAATTTCGGGGAATCAACAGTATATATTAAAAAGCAGTTATGAGTATTATATACTTTTTTAGATGTTCATATCATATATATGACCATAGTATGTTTACCAATTTTGATCAGGGTCATTTTTTTTTAACAAACTGAATTGAGATTTTTTTAATAAAAATAATTTCAATTAAAATTACTAACCATATCACTAGAATAGAGAATTTTGGATAACAGTAGGGTGGAACATTTGATTACTGATTATACTAGAAATTGAACCAAAAGATATCAATTTGAAAATAATTTAAATCACCTGTATTTCCTTAAAAAGTATGTTCAATTTTTCTTCATTATTTCTTATTTTTTTAGGAACTAATTTTAGTATGTTTTTAATCCACTTCTTAGACATGGGTGAAACATTCATCGTATCAGAACCATATTTAATATAATAATGATAACGAAGAAATTGTTTTTCATATTTAGAAGGGAATTCTGTAGCAGTTGAGTTTTGTTCATCTTCTGTTATCAGAATTAATTCTGCCAGTTTTCGTCGAAATTCTTCCCTTTCTTTCCTTAATTGTGTATATGATTTTTTCAAAGTCTGCAAATAGGTAGGTAAATAATATATGAAGAAAACAAAAGAATTTGAAAAATTGCTAGTTTTCAAATTAAAGAAGATAAATAAATTAATCGGGAAGTTTTTTTAATGAATTTATGTATGATATTATAAGTATAATATGAAGAGAAGTTGGTTGGGGTGTTCAGTCAAAATACAAAGTAAAAATAAATAAATTATATTTATTTTTATTTGTGCTGACGTTTAGGCCTTCATCAGGGCTGATCTCAGGAAAGGTTCCTATAAGATCATATGTATGATATGAATGTATGTATAAGCCAATTTTCAATTTTCTGATGTAATTTTTCAATTATTAGCCCTGATGATGACCCAGGTGCTTAGATCAAAATCTAAGCAAGCCAAATAAATCCTGTAAAAAAACGTCCTGATTATTTACTATCCTCATGATTTTAAGTCAATTATCCATCTCTAAATTATTTTAAATTAATATATCGACACCTTACTTTAAACCTGTGGAAAACCAGAAACTCTTAAAACCAATAGCAATTAATTCTGAGCACTTATTCAACAATTACAAGGTGATATGATAAAAACTACTATAATGTGGATAAATTTAATTTAAGGTAGTGCAGAAATAACTAGGAAAAGTAAAAAATCGTTCATAAAAGATTTCATAAAAACTGAATAGGTAAAACAAATTCACTAACTAGTATTAGCATGTTTTGATCATGGTCTATAAGATTGCCTTTCCTTTATTGGAACATCCTTCACGAAAATAATTGAAAAAAGGAGTTTATATGAATTAGTATTGGTAGACTCAACTGAGTTAGTGTTGGTAGACGCTGAACATATCACGTTAAAACCTTTTTTTTTTTAAATTATGGATAAGTGAAATATAACAGTTTAACTAAATATATTAAAGCCCAGCCCATAGGAATATTGGGTATTTGAGAGTAGGTTGGATAGGTTTGGTCGTCTTAGACTGTTTCCGTAGGTTTTAGTTCTAAACCTTTATTTCTCTTATAGTTAAAAATCAAAATTTTTCTTGTTTATATTTAACCACTTTCATTAATAGTTAGAATGTAATATGTTTAATATTTTTAAATAAACGAATCAAAGGGACTTTGAACGAAATAAATTTGAAAATTCGGCATTTAAGCCTTGTTGAACTCTTTCAATGGAAATAATACCTGCCTTATATTAAACAACATTTGATGTTACATTGATATAACGAATTTAATCAAAATTGTTTAACCCGTTTTCGAGAACATTTTGAAAATATGTAAATTCGATTATATAAACTTCCACTTCTGGTCACAGGCGGATCTACGGGGGGAGGGGAAAGAGGGCTTTCGGGCTGAAGCCCCCTCCCCCCAAATGGTTAAATATAACCATGTTTTATGAAAAAAAATTATCTCTAAAAGTATTATTGTTCTTCTAATAACATTTAATAGGACTTAAAGAATCACTTAAATACCATTTGATATAGGTAGTTAGTTTCTTTCTTTCTTCCGAAGTAATTATCCTAATAAATACATTTAAAAAAAAATCATTCAGGCTGAAGCCCCTCTAAAAATTAAATCCTGGATCCGTTAGTGCTTTTGGTAAGTCATCTTTTATAAAACAGTTGCTGTAACATCCCAACTTTATACCCTCCTTAAATACGTAATTTCAGTTAGGTATGACCAGGAGTGCCTACAAGGGGGTTTCATGGCGCAAGTTGCGCCATCAAAAATTTTGAGGGGCATATTTTGTCGGGGTTTTGAATTTTTGAGGGGGGCAAATTTCGATGTTGTTATGAATTTTCGTTTTGAAAAGTTTCAAACCAGAGGACTAGGGAAAAGCATAGTTCAGACCACTGAAAGTGTAATTGTTTATGAAATATGATTTTTAAAATTTTACTTTAACTTGCACTGTTTTCAAGAAGAGAAGAAAAATAAAATATCTTAGGAGGAAGGAGGGAGATCGTGCGCCATCGACCTTGGGTGAATGGGTACTCCTTGGTATGACTTTTCACTGTTCACAGCTCCACACACATTTCACGAAACGTGTTTTTTTTACTCTAAGGAATCTTAAAACATGCATTGAAAGCTCCAATTCGAAAATTTTCAAGATCGCAATACTTTCCCTAACTATAAATTTCATATTTAGTTAAGCGAAAGTAAAAATAAAATGTTGAATGAGAGAAGGTTCCTAGGTTGTTCCGCACTTGGGATTACGGCAGGTTCAATACCTATTTACATATGGATGAGCTTCAAAGGCAGATCTATGGGGGGAGGGGAGGTTTTTCAGGCTGAAGCTCCGCAGTTCGAATCTTGGTGTTGCTTTTAACTTTGGCATAAATCCCCCGCCCTTTTCTCTGGCCCGGGGAAATAACCCACATAGCCGAAAGGGGAAGTAAAATAAAAATCCCACTTGTACTAGTTTTTCGAAATAACGATAGTTACATTCTTAGTCGCTGAAACTATATTTTATAGAATATAAAATATAATGAACATGAACTGAACTACAGTAAAAATCAAAAATCGATTTTGTATGGAATAAAGTAAGGATAATAAAAGGAATAGATTCTCCCTATAGATACATATTACTATCTTAAAGTAAACTGTGGCATGGCCATCCAGTAGGAGGAGGGGATAGTTTCTCTAACTATTTTTCAGAAACATATAATGAACGCTCAGCCAACGGATATACAGAGATTCTGGACTTCTCAAATGCCAACATGTATGTTTTATAACGTTCATTGTGTTGAAACTACATCCGGTTTTAAGGAATTTCAAGTGGTCTTTACCAGAGCCTGATAATATCTATAATTATCATACCTGGCTCCTGAATTAGTACAACAACATATAAGAGTGTGGTGGTTTTCCAAGCACTTGTCTCCAACGTGGATGATTAAAATTAGACAAATGGTCGAGGCAAAAGATGTCTATTAAGACCGATTTTTCTAACGAGCAGCGAATGAAGCAAACTTTAAAAAACTTATTTAATAAAAAAGCCAACAAAAAAAAAAAACATCCTTAAATTCCAGTGTGGTTTCCAAAAAAGTAGTTCAACTACTTATTATTAGGCATTCATAACTAAATTTTTTTTTTATTAAGATGTAGTTGCAAAAAGATATTTAAAATGAAAAAATATTTAAAAACTCATAATTAATTATAATCAAACACCACTTACTTACTTCCTCTTTTGCGCTCTTTTTACGTTTAGTTCCTTGCGAAACCCCAGATGTCGAAGGATAGGGTTTATTCTGGTAATATAATTCAGGTCTTTCAATTTGTTTTCTGGGCAAAACAAATAGATTTAAATCAATATCTAACTTTCTTTCTTTTAAACCTGTTTTTGAAATTGGAGGATCATATATTCGCTTAGGTTTTTTACATGTCGCATGGTACTGACTCATGATAGTTAATTGGCCGCTGAAAAAGACAAGGGAACTCGTAAATGAATTATTCATAATGTAGAGTTTTAATAGTTAAAAATGAAATACTTACCAATGAAACTGGCAAGCTTTATGAAATTAGTATGTTCATACAGCTTAGTATCAAACGAAATACTTATAAGTGTTAGGGGTTGCTTAGATACCGTAATCAATAACCATCTGGATAAATTAATCTAATATTATCATGACATAACTTATGTCACATAAGTGATATTTTCATTAACAAGAATTTATTAATCTATCTTTTTATATAATACGACAGTTTTTCGCCGTAACGATCGCTTTTCCGGCTCTCAGGAGCGATAGATTTTTATGAATGAGGTCAAACGAAAGGGTATTAAATGGAGCAGTGACGAATCATAGTGACATCCACCCGAAATTTCAGAGAATAAAGTTATGAATAAAAAGAAACTTTATTTGCGAATTACTTAAAAAGTATGCATTTTTTTTTCTTGATTAGACCCGTTATTATTTGAAAATTTACTAAATTCTCTACAAAATGAAGAAAAGAAATCATGAAAATAGATTAGACATTCGTAAATCAGAAACAATTTATATATAGATAAATAGGACAACAGTTTAACCGACTCTAGGAGCAAAGTGTGTATAAATATTTTTATAAGGAGAAACAGAGTTGGGGTTTGAATTTCGCAGGTCAAAAGACCCTAGATTACGAATTTTCATTGAGATTGAAATTTTTTTTTTTTAATCTTATTTATTGAAAAATATTACAATCTGTCCCAAGGACATTTATAATAGTGTTCACAGATCACATTCACACTCTGTACAGCACGGGCGGATCTACGGGGGGGGGGGGGCTTTCGGGCTGAAGCCCCCCCAAAATGGAAAAATATAACCATGTTTTATGGGAAATTTTTTTTTAAAAATACCACTTAAAGTATTATTGTTCGTGTAATTACATTTAAAATCACTTAAGGAATCACCTCAACACCATTTCATATAGGTAGTTAGTTTCTCTCTGTTTTTCCAAAGTAATTATCGTTATTTTCATGAAAAAAAAAAAGATTTCGGGCTGAAGCTCCCCCCCCCAAAATTAAATTCTGGATCCGCTAGTGATGTACAGTAAATACAATAAATTATACAGAAAAATTATATATATATACAATAAATAAGAATAAAATAACCTAAAAATAAATGAATAAAAAGAACACATACATACCTATATACGTGATTGAAAAATAAAAATTTTTTTTCTACAAATTTGACCTAAGGCACTCCCTTTTAAATTGTACTTCCACTTTAAAGATATTGCATTTACTGTTCTACTACACTTTTTTCCTGGCTGATATATTAACTTTATTATTTCTCAAAGTCCTTTGTTTGTTCTTACATTTTGTTTCTTTAATAATTTAGAAAATTCTATGATCAAGAGTTTATTTTGTCTTTATTATTTTTCCAGTAAGCGTTTAAAAATAGGTCCTAACAAAGCAATTTGTACAAATGTTTTGGTATTTTACGTTAAATAGAATATTGTAATCAACCCAGGAAAAAATATAAATTCCATAATAAACAGGTTCTACTTATTTCCATATTGTTTTGCTATTTCTTCACTGAACATAATTTTCTGCGAATTATTCGCACGGGTCATCTAGTTTATCTATAATGTAATAACGCAATAATTATAAATATATATGTAAAAAATATAACAGCACACAAAATAACAATAAACGGAAAATACAAAATATTAAATCAATGAATGCTATTTATACTTTCATCATTATTATATAATCTATATAATTACACCTTTTCATATAATTGTTGCAACATTTATCTCCTCAAATTCTTCAAAACATGAAATTCATAAATTATTTATGAAAAGTCAATGCTAAAACCACTGAAAAGAAACATACCAAACATAAAAAATATCACAAATAAGAAGAGTAAGTAGAAATATCATTCATTGATTTAATATTTTGGAATTTTCATTTATTGTTATTTTATGTGCTGTTATATTTTTTACATATATATTTATAATTATTGTGTTATTACATTATAGATAAATATTCGACTAGAAAATGGAAAAAATTGCCCGAAACGTCGTCGGAAAATTTAATTAAATTAAAGCATGGAATAAATATATGTGGATGAAATCAAACTTTTTCCTCGTATTATAAATTTTAGAAATATTCTTTTTATATACCAATTCATTTCGTATCCGACTATATTGATATTTTGTTTGGTAAAATTGCATTCACATGCAAATCTAATGCTTTTTCATTTGACCAAACTTGTCTGAAAGATAAACTTCCTTTGATAATTCATGGGAAACTAGTGATAATAGTTCCTTGATTCGATCTGATGTATGCTTATAACCAGGAACTTTTAAGTGAAATTGTAAATCATTCTAAAAATCATATTATTATAAAAACCATTATTATAATTATAATATGATATTATAATTATAAAACGAAAGAGAGCATATTAAAACAAGGCACAATTATTTAATGAAAACTTTGGCTTCCTGAGAGCCAATCCAAGGCAGAGATGAACTCTGAAATGTTCTTTTGCAGCCACTGCTAATAATTTAGTCTGTGGGCCAGACCCCCTTACCGTGCACCCCTCCCCCTCCCCCCCATATCCCTATAAATTGCATATCGTTGTGTTCCTTGTGACAATTTATTAAAAAAAAACAATGTTCCCACAAAAAAAAGTGAACGAACTGCTCCAAAATGGCGTCCAAACATGGCGGATTGACGACTTTGACTTTAGTTAGTTTTTTTGTTACTGAGAATCAGCATTTGGCTTAATTTCATCATAGTTGGTCTTTTATTAAAGCTAGATAGTCAGAAAATAATAAAACATGAGAAAAATATTAAAAACTAATTGGCTTAGGCATTAAAAAAAAATCGGTAAAGTCAATTTAAAAAAAAAAAAAATTTCAAGTTGAAAATCAGGCGTCGTTTGTAATTAAACGGTCAACAATAATGCAAAACGTGCTGAAATAAAACATCTAGAGAATACATTTCTCTTTCTAAAACACTGATTACTTTTTAAAATATTTGAAGTAGTTCCGTAGAAAATGTACTTAAGCGGCAGAAAAGCGCTACTGGCGTAGGTGCCTTCAGGCCTCTACCACACCACTCACTACACTAGTACTAGTACTCACTAACTAGTTACTAGTTATAGTGCTATAATAACGTTTTTGTTATATTAACGAATAAATATTAATATAATAATTTAATTGTCAAAAAAAAATATGCCATTTTGGGGCAGTTCGTTCACTTTTTTTTGTGGGAACATTGGCTTTTTTTTTAATAAATTGTCACAAGGAACACAACGGTATGCAATTTATAGGGATGTGGGGGGGTGCACGGTAAGGGGGTCTGGCCCACCGTGTATAAGTTGACCAGGCTTTGTGAGCTGGAGCGAAATCCTGCTGGAAAATCCAATGACTTCCATCAAATAGAGTATCATTTAGAGGCTTGACAACAGTCTAAAATATCCAAAATATCGCCCTGATAATTTTTAGCTGTTTTAACTCCTTTTTCATAGAAATGTAGCCTTGTTGTGCCATCAAAGCAAACTTCCCACCAAACCATCACTGAGGAAGGGTGATGACTTCTTTCCGCTCTTGCAATGACTTCCTGAGCTTCATTTTTTCTTCAATTGTAAAAATTTTCTCATCGCTAAACAAAATCTTTCGATGAAGACCATTGGTGTAACGCCCAAGGAGCACTTTGCATCTATCCACCCTAATGTTTTTTAGGGAAGTGGTTAGCCTTTGTCCTGTCATTCTTCGAAATTCACCTATCCTAATGTCACTTTTAACTATGCGAGACATTGATCTGACAGAGATTCCCATTTCCCAAGACATAATTTGTTGTTTTCGAATGGGATTTCTTCTGATTCGAGCATCCACTGCTCTCACTGCATTTGCCGTTCTCATTGTGCGGAGACGGCCTGGTCCAGGTTTGTCACATACAGATAGGGTCTCATTATATCTATTTATAGTGCGGTACACGGACATACGGACATACGATTTATCATTAGAACATGTGTTTAATTATTAGATATTCGTAGTTTTGTTGAACTAAAATCGTATTTTATTCTCCTACGATTCATCATTCATCACACACACACAAACACTATCTTCGTTTCGTGTTATATTACTGGAGATGTGATTTCTGTTTCATTAATTTATATTCTTTTTTTTAAACTTAAAGTTCAATCAAAAATAACAAAATCTGACTTAAACCGATTTTCACAAAAATAATGGCTTGTATCCCTTTACCCAAACACTGCAGACTTATCTAGCATATGATTGCTGAATAAATACATAAATGAAAGAAGTAAATATTTTTTAATGAAATGTATTCTGCATAGTTTACCATCTTATTTCTCTTTGGAAAAAATGCAAAACGGTCTATATTCTTTGGAATTTCTCAAAGAACCTCTGTCGTAGATTATGGGTGTAAACATTGTTCAGGTTATCAGTGTAGAAATTTGTTGATCTTCGTTCTTAGTTTCATTCACTTTAAAAATAATCAAAACTCTGGTTACTGTTTAGAAATATATGTATGTTATATATTTTGATCTTTATTCATTGAAAACTAATTTCTAAGATTGGGAATCTTTTTGTTTTAACGATTTGAAATTTATGAATAATTTCTAAAAATAATTTGTAAATTTCTATATTATTCATAAATTAAAATTTCTTAATTATTTTCAATAAATTGGTTTAAGGATTACCATGACTCCACCTCCGCAGTCTCCAGAAAGGCAAGAAAAATTACTAGCTGATGCCCTAGCAATTGTTAAAGAACAAGCATTTGAAATGAAGTTAAATTTAGATAAAGGCAAATTGATGGATGCCTTAAAGCAAGCTTCAATTATGCTTTCTGAGTTGAGGACGTCTCTTCTTTCCCCTAAAAGTTACTATGAACTGTGTATCCTTTTTATATTGAAGTTTGATTTTTTTTTTTCATCAGCATACTAACAGTACTATGTGCATTAGTTTTTATATGTTCAATTAATTTTCTATTTTATTCATTTTTGAAACTAATTGTATCATTCTACAGCGGTTTTTTTTTTTTAACTTTCTTGTTAAGTTATTTGGAATAAGTTGAAACAGGAGGAAATAGTCTAACAGGTGCAGGTCATTTATCATGTTTTTTTTATTTCTTGCATAGGCATTAAAGTTATTTATCTATATTTTTTAAACACCACTACATTTCTTTCTTAAGGCTTTTAATCATATTTGTGAAAGTAACCATTTGATCGCTTTCAGAGGAATGAATAAATTATTAAGTGATTGACTGAGTCATTTTGATATATTTTCTTTTTTCTCCTTGTATGTAGTTAAAAGTAATGTAAGGAGCCCAAATCTGAACTAAAAACTAATGTATAAAAAATGTTTTGCTCCTTTGCACAGTATAAATCATCTGAGTTTAATTGAAGCGTTCATATAATAATTAATAGAATTGGTCTGTAAAAGTTACTACATCTTGTCTGCACAATGATCCTTGGAATGTTGGATGTATTTTTATGTTTATTGTATTCTTTGTCCTTAATTTGGTATCTATTCACATATTTTTAAGAGCGACAGATATGATTATTTTTTAATTTGATTACTTTAGTTAGTTTGTCCACATCTATGTTTTCCTTATAATATATTAAGATATGGCAATTTCGGATCAGCTTCGACACTTAGAACTGTATTTATTAGACGAATTCCAAAAAGGTCGTAAAGTACCTGATCTTTATGAAATTGTTCAATATTTTGGCAATATTGTACCTCGACTGTAAGCTGTTATTGGTTATGTATAAATATACGTAATATTTTTTTTTATATTGATATATTTAATGTATAATATACGTTTTGGAATTTTCAGTTATCTACTCATTACTGTTGGTTTAATCTATATGAAAACTAATAAATCTTTGAGACAGTCATTAATGAGAGATTTGGTTGAAATGTGTAGAGGTGTCCAACACCCGTTAAGGGGTCTCTTTCTAAGGAATTATTTATTACAGTGTGTAAGAAACATTTTACCTGACAATGTAGAAGGAGGAGATGGTGAAGGAACGGTATGAATTCAGTTTTTATTTTGATTTATATATTTATTTGTTTTTACCCATTTCACACACATGCCCATGTATATCATATAATCTTTTTTGAGTCAGTGCAAAAATTCTCAAATATACGTCTGGCGCAGCTTAACATTTACATATATGTTTGTGAATTTCTATTATAGTTCTCAATAAAAAGCTCATTAAATGATTTTTGAAAGTGAAAAACTCATGAAGTAATTAACTAATATAACAGAAATCCATTACCTCTATAACCTATATTAATGGCACTATTTCCTGATTTCACAGAGGATTTAATTTTCTAAAATTTTATTTAATGACTTTTCACAATAAATCGATGATGTGTAAATTTGTTTTTTAGGTCAAAGATTCTATAGACTTTGTTTTAATGAATTTTGCTGAAATGAATAAATTATGGGTTCGAATGCAACATCAAGGTCATAGTCGTGAAAGAGAAAGAAGAGAAAGAGAAAGAGAAGAATTGAGACTTCTTGTTGGTACTAATTTAGTGAGGCTCTCTCAGTTAGAAAGTATTACATTAGAAAAATATTGCAAGGTTATTATCATATTAAATATTATGTTAATGTTAATTCAGTTTAAGTCCCATTACTTAAAAATAAAAACTAACTGTGGGTATAACTCTGACCATTCTAAGGGATGGAATATACTTGTATATCTACTTGGTGGTTGAATGCAGTAACATATTATAAATTTATAAAGTTGCTGAGTATTGAAAATTGGTGTAGTAGTTGGGTGCCTTCCCTTTTTATGGCAGAGCGAAAAAGATACGAAAAGGATTTCAACCGCGGATATCCTTTTGTAAAGACGGAAGATCTACCCTTGGGTGACAAGAATGAAGTGATCAACAGGTGGAGAGACTATTTCAAAGAGGTGCTTAACCCAGAGGAAAACTTGGAAGAGACAATATATGAACTCAGAACAGCAGAAGATGTAGAGCTGGAACCACCTGATCCTGAGGAAGTAGAAGAAGTCATTATGTCCTTAAAAAATAATAGCGCGCCTGGAAATGATGGGATCCCAGCCGAATCAATCAAATCTGGAGGTGAGGCACTCAATAGAGAAATATATGAATTGGTACTACTGATATGGACGAAAAAGGAAATGCCTAGTAAATGGAAAATGGCTGTTATGTTACCGATCCATAAAAAGGAAGACAAATTGGATTGTAGGAATTATAGAGAAATGAACTGCTGTCAAATTTGCTAATGAAACGAGTTGTCAAGAGAGCAGAAGAGGTGTTGGGCAATTACCACTGTGGATTCCACCATGGAAGATCTACAATGGACCACATTTTTTGCATGAGGCTGATGCTAGAAAAATGCTGGGAATGGAATCTTGAACAGCACCTTTTGTTTAAAGATTACAAGCAAGCATATGACAGCATAAACAGAAGTGGAATGTATGAAAAGTTAAAATATCTGGGATGTCCTTTGAAGCTTATCAGACTTATCAAGATGATTCTGCAGGACAGCAAAGGAGTTTTCAAAATTCAAGTAGAATTGTCAAATAAATTTGATATCCATAAAGGTGTTAAACAGGGAGATCCTCTCTCCCAGTTTTATTTAATATGATATTGGAAATGGTCATGATGTCAATCCTGACAAGACCTGGAGGATGTATCTACCATAGACTGACATAATATCTTGCATTTCCAGATGATATTGTGATGAGTTCGTGGAGGCTGAGTGTGTTGGAACGTTGCCCGGTCTAGCATCCTCATGCCTAGTGATACTGGTTTGAATCCAGCCTGGGAGTGGTTGACTTTTATTTCATGGCAGACACAAGGAATGAAACTCGACCCTCTCACTCTGGTCAGAATAGGTTTGGTTGTACCTCTAGACAACCCCCTCCCCGAATGCCAGAAATGGTGGGTAGTGGGTTATCCAATAAAAAAAATAAAAAAGATGATATTGTGATTACCGGAAGAACAGTCAGTGCATTACTTAAAGAATTTGAGGAGTGCTAAGTAGCCGCTAGTAGAACAAGACTGGCAATTAATATGGAAAAAAATGAATATATGAGGACCAGCAAGGAAGAAGAAATATCGAGGGGGCTGGATATCGTTTCGAGAGAATACCGCTGTTTAAGTATTTGGACACTCTTATCACTGAGGATAATAAGATTAAAGAAGAAATTATGGCAAGGATAGCAGCTGGCAATCGATGCTACTGGTCTCTAATGAAAATATTTCGAAACAGCGATATATCCAGAGCTCTCAAAATAAGAGTGTATCGTATGGTCCTTGAGCCTGTGTGTGTGATTTGACTGATATGGTTTTCCTCCTTGATCAATTAATTAAATAGTGTGTGTACCCACTTTTTAGAGGCTGGGTGTGCCCTAGGATGGTCGTCTGACCCCAGGATTGATCCATTGCCAATGAAACAGAATAAATAATTTATCTGGAATCTATGACCTGGAAGTCAGAGCCTTTTTGAGGTTGTGATGGCCAAGAGTGTTGTTGTGTTGGCGTTTGTGGCATTCTTGTGCCTAGTGATGCCAGTTTAAATCTGGCCTGGGACGAGTTGTCTTTTTTTTTTTTTTTCTCCTTCCCTTCCTCGCCGTTAAGGCTATACGGGATTTTCCCAGGCCAGGGGGTGTGGGCGGGGATTTAAAAGACTCCCCCGGCACCGGGACGCGAACTTGTGACTATTTTTATATCTTTAATTCATATGTCAGGTTGCCAGGCAACGGCGGTGCAGTGCACACGCTTTAACCCATTCGGCTACCCCGCCCACAGGGACGAGTTGTCTGTATGTCAAGGCAGACCTACGGAATGAAACTTGACTTTCCCACTCTGGTTAGAATAGGTTTGGTTGTACCTATAGAACAATCCCCCATATGCCAGAAATGGTGGGTAGGAGGTAATCCAATGAAAATGTGTCAACTCACTGAGCTATCTCACTCCCTAAGAATCTTCTGCCTATACATTAACTTACTTCCAGTCAGTTTACACGCAATGATGCTAATAGCTTTAAATAAGCTGACATTTACAGATGAATGAAACGAAAATCTCAAGCTGTAACTTGTAATGGAAAGCACCCGATTACTACTCTAATTTTTAAAGTCCATAGTCCAGTTTCATGCATATTCCATCAATGTGTTTTAGTTAATATGCAATTACATTCTATCTCTTAGAAAGAATAGTAATTTCTTAAAGTAAGTTATATTTTTATTTTAAAGATATTAGTATTTAAAATATTGGCAATTTATAATCAACATATATCTTGAACTTTTGCATAGTATAAAAAATCAAGAATATTAAAAATATAATGAAGTATTTTGAGTTCTAATTGTTTCAAAACACTCACGGGATCTCACTGGATAATTTCAACCATCAACCTTGAATATTGGTTGTACTGTTCGCCCAAATACTTGTTCCATACCTTCAATTGAATAATGTTAACTCGATTAACATATTAAATTATAAGTATTTTGTTCTGAAGTTGTTTGAAAACTGTCTAAGAATTTCACTGAATAATTTGGGTCCTCAAACTAGAAAATTAATGAGCTGTTTGCTTAAAATCGTTATGTATCAACAAACAGTTAACTGAACATATCATTCTCCTTATAGCTTGGATGTGGTTGTACCCAACCACATCCAAGCTACATTTATTATCATAAATGTGTATAGTTTTTATCTCACAATTTATTATGCAAGAATTTGGGATTTTAGCAATTATGTTTGAGATGATGTTGAGAATAAAATATTGACAATAATTGTTTCCTATATTTTTTTCTATTTCCCCTACCTGATTAGTTCTACAGATAATTGACCAATTCTAGCCAGCGTGGGAAGGTTTAGATTTATTCCGTTAGTCCAAAATACATTTCAACCCGTTTAAACCAAATTTGGACCAGCACTACTTAACACGCAGCCAATATCACCCCAAGTTAGCTTTAGCTTTATCAAGGTGTGATTATATTTTTATACTAAATTTTTACTCTAGATTGCCCAACATAGGTTAATGTTAAATAGGGTATATACATATTTTCCCTTTGTGTCGTTCTCTTGAACTATAATTCAAGAAATGGCTGAAAGTGTGCCATTTTGTGATTCCTTCCTAACATACTTCTATTTATATTTATTATTTTTAATTAGCCTGATTTATACAAAATACTTGGTACTTATATTTTAAATCAAGATTATACCATGAACTAAAGTAAGAAATTTTATTATTGATTACTATAAAATATTGCCATTGTTATTTTAAAATTTGTTTCTCTTATAATACTAGCAATTTAATTTTATATTTCAGCTAGTTCTTCCTGGAATTTTGGAACAAGTGGTTAGTTGTCGTGATGCTATAGCTCAAGAATATTTAATGGAATGCATTATTCAAGTAAGAATTTCATAATTTCAGGATTAATCATGTGTTTGATTAAGAGTTAAGACATCGAAACATGATATATCAAAATGTTGATTTATCATATTTGGAAAACAGATATATTCTATGGATATTTTAACAACTAATATGTCACATTTTCAGTGATATATAATTATTTTATTAATACACCTCAAACTGTGAAACACCTTCTAGTAGAATGTCCCCAATTCCAAAGTCACAGAGAAAAAATAGAACTAGGAAAAACTCTAAACGAAATACTACAAGATAATGAAGAGAGAGTCTCTATGGTGTTTAAATTTTTAAAGATTATAAACTACTATAATAGAGTATAAATTATAGAAAACACCAATGACTCTTTAGGGTAGAGGCTAGAAAAAGAGAGAGAGAAAAAAAAATTATTTTATTATAAAAAAAAAATTATGCATTTTTCAACTTTTGATTATAGTTTAATTATTTAATCAACCTCTAGCCTTTGTTCTGAACTAGGGTAATAAATTGCATAAATAGAGCTGTATAGAGAATTATACTGAAACATAAATTACTGTTAATAGCTTTACCAACGTTATAAGCTGTCAAATAATTTAAATTATATTAACTAAAAAAAAAAATTAAGACTGATAATAAACATCAATGGTCCAATGGATGTATTACCCGGATTTTCTAAAATATCATTAAGTAAAGTAAATCTACAGGTGGTACATACGACAATGCATGAAAGGTTTTGGGGTCAGTGATATATCATATTCTCCTATCTTTTCATATTTTATACTTTGTTTTCTCTTCCTTACTTCCTCTGATTTCTTTACATCATGTTTATATGTGTTGTTTACATTACTTACTGTACAGTACAAATAAAATAAACAACATACATAGGTATTTAGAAGCCAGAGGAAGTAAGGGAGCGGAAGCAAACTATAAAATTTGGGAAGAAAAGAGAATATGACCTAGTAAGTTTTTAAGTCTTAAATTTATTTACAAATATTCTATATTAATTTTAATTCACCAGTGGTGAAATATTTTTTTTATTTTTTCAGGTATTTCCTGATGAGTTTCATTTGGCAACTTTGAGTCCGTTTTTGAAGTCATGTGCTCAGTTACAGCCTGGAGTTAATGTGAAAAATGTTGTAATAGCTTTAATTGACCGTTTGGCTAGCTATGCTTCCTCCCCAGAAGTCGCTTCGTCACCATCTCAATTAGAAGCCCTTTTCACAATTTTTTCTGAGCAAATATCTCTTATCATACAGGTAAAATTTAATTAAAAAATATTTATGAATAGAACTATGATATATTAAATGCTGTTTAGTTTTTAAGTTATATATTATTTTGCTGTATGTACTCAAAATCATACCTAACGTAATTTAAACCACAGCTACATTCTCTGCCACTTGGCTTTAGTGAAATGAGTTTTTTATAATGGTTAGTGTCTGTGCTTAAAAACATTTTATTTGTTTTCAGACTAGAGCTGATCTGCCTACAGAAGATATGTTGTCTTTGCAAGTATCATTAGCCAACTTGGCCTTAAAGTGTTATCCAGAAAGGGTGGATTATGTAAATACAGTCTTAGAAAATACTCTAAATGTTTTTGAAAGGTTACAAATCAGTCAGTGAGTTCACAATCAGCACTTCTCTCTCTTATAATCCTTTATGATTTTTAAAAATTATTTTTGATATTTTCATCTTTAGGTGTGTTGATAGCCAACTATTATTCTGCATCTATAACTTTTTAAATCTTCAGTTTACTTCTATATGAGTTTATTGATTTACTTTATTTTTTAGGGTTGAATATAATAGCAGTGTTTCACGAGAATTGACGAGATTATTAAACATTCCTTTACAGACATATAATAATATTTTAACAATTTTAAAACTCAGTCACTTCACTCCATTACTTGGAATCTTTGACTTAGAAGGACGTAAAAATATGGCTGCATTGATTGTTAATAATGCATTGACTAATGGAACATGTATATCTACCTCCAATGAGGTATGTATGTTAATACATTTACAAATTTGTTAGTAAATTTTAGTTTAATTTATAAAAATAACTGTTGATGATTAATGTAATATTAGATTTATAACTACTGTTTACAATTTATTTTGTACTTTTGAAATGCATTTTTAATATTTTACTATGTATGATTGTTAAAGTTTCATTATCAGCCCACATTTTCAGAGTATCTACCTATCAGGAAATTCAGAAATATGTTATGGGTTTTGGATGGTTGGGAAAAAATCAACAATTAATGGAGAAATCACTGTAAATTTTGTAAAAGTATATATGAATTCTGTGGGTTTGTTAGCTTTGGCAGCTAAAGTAAAGGAATGTTTTTTAAAATGTGAAAGTATAATTTAACGTTTTCTAATGCCTGGTCCACACTAGTATACATGTTGTAAGATTTTGATCTGAGACATATCTCAGTTTGTCTACATAGACATGTCTATAGACTAATCCCTGTCTATAGGCCTGTAATGAGACCAAAAAGTCTCCGGTCTAAAGTCTTCTGATCGGAATGGGAGACATTATGCAACATTAAACATGCTGCACAACATTTTGACAGTATGGACGTCACTCGGCGTCTTGAGGCGAGACACGTCCCAGTCTGCCTCCATCTACCAAGTGGTTGGTTCGCCTGTTTACAGTTATTATCTAAATTTTTACAGTTCTTTTAAAAACTTGTGGTATAACGAGAAAGTTTTAAAACTAATTGAAGATAACCGTTACATCTCCCAGTCTTAATTTATTTAATAATGCATTACCGAACCTAGGTCCTTATTCAAGCTCTTTGTGCATCTACCAATTTGTACGTTTTTGCATTCTTTCGCTTTTAATTAGCACTAAGCAGAAACTCATTCCACCCAATACTATGTCCTTCATGGTGGGCTGTGAAGATGAGACTGAGAAATTCAGATCGTAGTATGGACGCTAGATGAGACAAAGAACGGTGTCTCAAGACTCTCTATATACAAATCTCACAACAATGTCTATTATAGTGTGTACTAGACTTTAAATGTTTTCTTTTACAACCAAGGAATAGATATAATGATACTAATAAATACTTCAATTATTTTATTTATTATTTATTTCAAGTTTAGATTAAATTGAATGATTTATAAATTACAGGTAGATCTTATACTGACTATGATATCATCTTTAGTTACTGAAGAAGAGTCATCCTCTTTAGTAGAAGAAGACCCTGAAGACTTTGCTGACGAGCAAGGATTGTTAGCAAGGTGTTTATTTTATATTGATTTGATAAAAATTGATAGATGCTGTATTTAGTGTATTAATCTAGTGATAATATTGAGTGATTAAACAAGAATTTGCTTATTAATTGATAGTAACATCCATTATCTACAAATATTTTCAGCTTTTAAGACTATTTACTCTTATATATATTTTGGCTCATATAGATGATCTTTGATTGCAAATTTAGAGCAGTCAGAGGTTACTTTCTTGAAAATTTGAAACAGTATCTATCAGATATAATGTGAATAATGGAATTTTAAACATACTCGATAAACCACAATATGAATCCTAATTAAGGTACACATGGAATATTCAGCACTCTTACGCGCAGATAGTTTGAGTTTCCTCTGTTAAGCTGATGGACTTTTCATATCCCAGAGGATTTATTACCAGGGAAATCTAAACGTATAACCATTGAAAAGGTGTGTTTAACAAGTATTGCTACCTGCTGGGACCACCATGGCCAATAATGCATGCCAGCTGCGAAGCTGCTATGTCTCAGGCAATGATACCCAGCTCCCAGGAAGGCTGGCAAACAGAACCTTACCTTATACTAACTATGTGATCTTTGAATGAGATCTAGCAACCTTAGTTCTTTTTCTCAGGGGAGTACTTTCTGTAGAAATGCAAGGAATCCCTTCTCTTAATATTCTGAGCTTGCCTTAAACCAATAATAGCTTTATAAAGATTTTTTTTTGTCAAGTTTAGTTTATTAACTTTCTATTTTAATTTTTTTAGCAATAAAAATATGAAAAAAGGTTAAAACAATTTTTTTTTTTTAAAAGTATAAATAAACTTCAATAATTTTCTACCAATAAACCTTGTTTTAGTTAAGAACTTTGTTAATTTTTTATCAGTTAACTTATTTCATCTTTTAATATTTAGTTTATGAAGCAATTTGTATTATTTTGGTCTGAACCCATGTAAGATGTAAGTAAATATAATTAATGAAAAAATATTTTAAAAAATAAGTTGATTGTGTTGTTTAAGGTTTATTCACCAGTTAAGATCTGATATACCTGATGATCATTACCAAATTCTTCTGAAAGCTAAGTCTCATTTCATGAAAGGAGGGCAGAAAAGAATTAGATATAGTTTACCTCCTCTCATTTTCAGCGCATATCGCTTGGCTTATCGATATGCCGACATGAAAGAACAGGTATTTATTATTTTATAATTAAATTACTAACTTATCGAATTTATACAATTCAACTAAACTGGAGTCGTTATGATAATTGGATACTTGTATCAATTTTCAATTTTTATTTGTCCTTGTATATTAGGTTATAATAATAGAAACCAAAAAATTGCCTAATTTTTCTGACGCATGTTTGCAAAGTAATTAACATTAAAGAAAAGTGGTGGCATAATTTGTGAAGCTTGGCTCATAGAATTGGGTATAGAATACTTTTTAGCTTAATCAGTGTTTCAGCTTTAAAACTTACACCTGAGAAATATCTTTCTGTTTTTTCTCTCACCCTCTTGTCTCTGAATAAAAATATTTGATCAAATGAAATTTGACTACTTATACATCGAAGATTCAACTATCTGAATTGAAAATATTGTATATATGTTATATACCAGTAATGGATATGATATTTTGATTTTGTGATATGGATGTCTCCAATATATCACTGAGATATCGAGATCTCCAAAGTCAAAATCGTAAAACTGGAAATACTTTGATGGGCTTATAAGAATAGACATTGGCGAGATTCCGAAGGAAGAGATCTTAGGGACAAGGATAGTGGGATGACCGAATGTGAGGTGGATGGATGGTGTGACTGCGGATGCAAGGATTCTTCTAGGCATGCGTGACAGGAGGACTGCTGTACAGGATAGAGCCAACTGGCAGAGGCTACTAGAAGAAGTATGGACTCATTGGCGAGTAGTTGCGCCATTGAGTGTGTGTGTGTATGATATGGATGTGATATTGAGTTCTTTTTCTTGGTGTTGCAAAAATCTTTCTCTTATTATTGTTTATGAATGTTTCCTTTTAATTTAAAAAATGGGGCTCTTAGAGAAAGTTACAAACCTGCTATAGACCCTTCCATGCAGCTAGGAACATTGAATATACACTGGGAGTTCTGAGAATTTTCCCCTGAAGATGAAAAATATTTAGTTGAGTTTTATTACACTCTGATTTTTTTATATATATAAATGTTTGTTTATCTTTCATATTTATTTAAGTCTGGCTATCCAGATATATATTCATAGATTGAATTTGATTCCAGTTTGAATAAGTGGAAATGCACCATTTGTTTAGTTTTTGTGAAGTGGTTTATAAATAATTAATAGAACACTTTTCATTTATTTAATTAAATTTATATGTAATTTCTTTTATTTATTTTTAAGGATAATGACTGGGGAAAGAAGTGTTTAAAACTAATGGAGTACTCACATGGTCTTGCTGGAAGTTTAGCTAAGGCAGAATATCCAGATCTAAGTTTGAGATTATATTTACAAGGCACATTAACCGCTGTTCAGATAGGATTTCCATCCTATGAAGAAATCGCATATGAATTTCTTTCGCAGGTATTCATTTTTCATCAGTTAATCGTTTTATTATGAGTTAGATCATTCTGTTACGATTCTGTTCTGTATTATTCTTTGCTGCACAACATTATGTATTTTTGTATTAACATTTAAAATCATTGTTGTTTCCTTGCTACCGGAAGTAGGGAAGCTTTGTATTTATGTTGGATGTTAAAAATTTTTTTGCCCTCAAAATCGATAATTGGGTACTTGTTTGATTTTTATTAGTCAGTGTCAATAAAAATAAAAAAAGTTCCCAATTTTTTCGGATACATGTTTCCAACTAAATAATAAGAAGATAAAAAAAAGATAAATAGCGTTAAAGAAAAAAAAAAATGTATGTTTATAAATTAGAGCTGAAAGAGGTTTGAGACTATCATGTTTGGCAGCCACACACATCATACTACAGTAGACACAGGCCACATCCCCAGTCTGTTTAGAAAACAGTGAACAACTGATCTAGTATCAATTTCATCAAATCCCGTTTAAAAATTTGTATAAAAGTATTTAATTTTAAGAATATAATGGTTGTTAAAAGTGGTAGACAATGAATATGTGGAAAGGGAGGATATACAAGTCGTATGGTTAATATAAGTGGCTACGGATCCAAGATGTCTAATCTAATTTTATTTAAAATATTAAAGATATCATATTTTTTTTCTAAAGGGATTCAGCTTATATGAAGAGGAAATGCGTGACTCTAAATCTCAGCTTTCTGCACTTACTCTCTTGGCTGGAGTTTTCGATAGAGCTTCAATTCACTTCTCAGAGGAAAATTCACGTCCTGTAAGAAACCAGTCTTCACTTGCTGCTGGAAAGTTACTTAAAAAACCTGATCAATGTCGTGGAATTACATTGTGTGCTCATCTCTACGCAACAATTAACCCTTCGACAAACCAGGTGTGTTTATTGTTTTGAAATATATTGAAAATGTTATTGTCGTTATTTTGGAATGTAAATGGTTTAAACCATTCCAATTCAGTTATTTGAGTTTTCTCATTATTTATGTCAGAGGGGATATGTTTTGTATTAATATTTCCCATAGTTTGCCTATGTGCGTTTGTATGGATTGAAATTTATATTATAAAAAATATTGCAATGATAGGTTGAAGATGCCCAGAAAGTGGTGGAGTGCCTAAAGAAAGGTGTAAGGTTAGCTACCCAGTGTATGGATCCTGCTGTTCAGACGCAACTCTTTGTAGAACTTCTTGATCATTATGTGTATTTTTATGAGAAAGGAATTGAAACGGTATGTATATTTGTTTCCTTTTTGATTTTATTATTTTCTCTATCCATATATTGAAGAGTTGCAATATTGTATTGCTTATCCATTTTTTTAGAGTAGTGACTCCTCTTAATTTTATTGTTAACACATCTAGTTTTCACCTCATTACTAGGAACTAACTCAAAGCTTTCTATTTCTCTAAATAATCCGTACATATATTATTACAGTTAAGCTCGAAATCAGTTTTGTACCAAATATAAGCTCCTGTCATGCTGAAATACCACGAATGGGATACCGTTGGATTCAGAATTTCACGGGGGGTTAGCGAATCGTATTCTCCACTTTTGTTTTTCTTTCTAAAATAAACAAAGTCGATACAAACATTTTGCTAGGCTTCGATACTGGAACGGTGGTAGGTCTGTAGATCGATACGGAACAAATTGGATCTTAAAGATTTTGATGCGTACAGCAAGACCCGGATAGTTCCTTTGGAACTATCGGATCCTGCGTTTTAAAGCCAAAAAACGTACTATTTTCGAGATAACGCAAGGCATAGAGTTCGCATCCACACAACCTTACATTAATTGTAATACTGTCATTGAATACATGTCTCATTTCGTCGACTTGAGGTCTCTATGATCGAGAGAGGGGGAGTTTATATTATTCATCGATGGTGTTTTTGATCGCTAAGCCATATCATCGTTAATTTTTCACGAAATCTCAAGATTGAGCCACCAATTTCGAAGGACAAGGCAATCGGACAATTTTTAGCAAATATACAGCTTACTGAAATTTGTATACATGTTAGTTCCAAACAAAAATAAAGATTTTAATTAATTTTTGTTTGCTTTGTGGATTATATGTATCGATAAAGTAACATTTGATGTCTTAATCTTTTGATAAGTTGCATTTTCTTATTAATTTGGCATTTGATAACAATATGCTGTGCGAATTTTTTGCACGGGCCTACTAGTCTTAAATAAGTGCCAAAAGTATGTTTTATGCTTTTATTATATTCCTAACTCATTAGAAAAATATTAGTTGTCCAATATTGCTGTCTGCTGGGCTCCTATCTCTTAATTAGTATATTTATGTTGGTATTAATTTAATTTATTACAGTTCTTTTAATTATTTATTTATTGCAATAATTACAATAACATAGAGTATGGCGGAAAGTTCTGTAAATGAGTCATAGATTAGGAAAACAAGAATTTGTCAGTTTTAATAAAATAAAGTGAATGATTTAAAAAGTATAGCATATTAGCTGTATTTTAATGAATAAAAAATACAAAGATTAAAATAAGAATGATATCTACTTAGCTGTATTTAGCACCTCTTATGGAATATATAAAACTGTTTTAGAAACAGCACTAAAATTTAGCTTAATTTATCTCTAATATGTCATCCTTTTTCCCTCATTTTATTTGTTTTTCTTTTTTTTTCACTTTATCTGTTCCTGTGCTACTTCAGTCCATCCCAATGATTAATATCATTTAGATTGTGTCCTCTATTCCTGCTTATGATACCTAGATAAAATATTCCGCTTTTAGGACTGACCTATTCTTTTATTAAAAAAATATAAACTAAGAAAAAATTCAGTTACATGATTAAAGCCAACTCAAATAATTGTTCTAGTTAAAAAAAAAGTTGTTTTTCTTATCCTTATATATTATTAAAGTTATTCATTCTACATCATTCACAAATATTTTTTTAGATAAGTGATAATATGATCAGTCAACTGATAGCCAAAATTCGAGAAGAATTAGCAAATTTAGACTCGAGTGAAGAGACAGAACAGATAACCAAGCATTTAGAAAATACACTCGGCCACCTTAAAGGAAGATCAAATTCTGGAATTGTTATATAAAAGGTAATTATTCATTGTTTTTTTTTCTGTGTTTCACTGATAAAAATTACAATTGTTTTATTTTATAATTTATTTCTTGTGAACTCTTAAATTTTATTTGATTTATTTTCCTCCTACTATTTTGGCATAATTTTTTGGTGAGAATCTCAAAGCGTAGTCTAAAGGTTTATATACTATTTACTGTAAAACATTTCTGTAGCAGACACATGGTAAATCAATTTTTTTCTGCTATAGAGGAATCCTGTTTTAGAGGAACAGGAAGTAAAACATGATAAAAAATTAAAATTAGTGGATTAAAATTGTACTTTATAAGATATAAATGTGATATAAAGAACATTTTTATTTGTAAATTTACAATTGATATATATATTTTAAGAGAAATAATGTATTTTATAAACAATAAAAGTAAAAATATAAAATGTTAACTTTAAAAAAATAATATTACTTTTAAATTAGTACCTGTAATTTTTGTTACATTGAAGTTTTTGATGCATATCTATTTTGTTTTCTGAATTGGCTTGGATAAATAAAATAAGTGTAACTTCTTCAATGTCTTCCGTCAAAATGAAAAAAGAGTGATGGAATATAGTGGTCTCCCTATGTCACCCTGCCTGACACACACTGTGATGTCTGAAGTCGGCAGATGTCTGATATAACTGTCTTTCATAGTTTCTGCAGGTTTTTTAGAATGATTTAGTTCTCTGTATAAGAACCTCAGACACTTGTCTATAGATGGATTGTCCTTCATATTGTAAGTTATTTATATGAAATCCATAGCTTTGAAAATAATTACTCTATGGTCATTGGAATGGTCCCATTCGATTCTGAAACAAATCTGCTATTATAAATGATACCTTACTTCATGAAAATTATTTTGCAAATAAAACGCTCTTATTCCGACACTTGTCTATTGAGGGTTGTTCTCTTGAAATTTTGGATTATCTCTGCAGATCTTGATTCCTAATACCAAGAGGAAGATTTCACGTATATAAACATTTTTGGTATATTTTTTTCTGTACTATTTGTCAATAAATTATTAATGAGGCTATTCAATCATAACCTCATTGTTTCACTTTTCTTCATTTTCATTTATTTTTAATATGTGATATTGATGGTATACTCATTGACCACATAAAAATTTCCTTATATTATAAGTATCATTTGATATTGGCTATATTAGTATTTTTGATTTGATATTAAACTAATTTCGATATCATTGGGCAATATTGATATCTATAAAGAATATTAGTACTTGACCGATATCACAACAACCCTACGAAGGAGAATAGGCAACAAGAGTTTAAAAACTGTAATCACTGTTTTAATACTGAATTCCTGCTATACGTAATTAAACTAAGCTACTATAAATTGGATAAATGTTTTTGAAATATGGACCTCATTGGCTTCCTGCTGTCCGTAATTGAGAAACGTTTCAATCAAAATCCTAGCATCAAGTCTGTGCGCATCTGTTATAGATAACGTCTGTTACAAACAAGTCATTATATTCAAAGATTACTGAAATCAGATAAGGATTGTAAATTTGTCCATGATAAAAAAGAAATGTTAGTAATAGAGAAGTGTACAGTACCATTCATTTTGTTCTTTCAACATGATACAATTTAGTAGAAATAATTCAGTAATGAATTATTCTACATATATTATTTCACAAGTCTAAAAATTGGATTTGTACCAAATAAAAGATCCTGTCATGCTTAAAGACCATGAATTGGATTCACAATCTCACTCTTTATTTTATAGAATAATTCAGTAATGAATTATTCTACATATATTATTTCACAAGTCTAAAAATTGGCTTTGTACCAAATAAAAGATCCTGTCATGCTTAAAGACCATGAATTGGATTCACAATCTCACTCTTTATTTTATAGAATAATTCAGTAATGAATTATTCTACATATATTATTTCACAAGTCTAAAAATTGGCTTTGTACCAAATAAAAGATCTTGTCATGCTTAAAGACCATGAATTGGATTCACAATCTCACTCTTTATTTTTGTTTAAACAATAAATAGATAGCAAATCTAAACATTTTACTAGGCTTCAAAACTAACAGTTGTGAGTCAGCTCACTGATCTCTAAAGTATTCAGGTTTTGCTTGCTATTTATTAATTTAAAGAAATTGTTAGTATTAAAAGAACTTAAACTATTAATAGAATAGTCTTTAATTAATAAATATATGTTACAGGTTAAATCAACTTGAAGTTGAGAAGTGGTTTTATTACAAATTGTTATTAATTCCATGATATTGTTAATTTTTTATTCATTATTCTATTTGTTATGTATAAAATAAATATTTTGCATTTATAAAATAGATATCATATATTTATTTTGTTGTAATCTCAATTTTTTTTTCAACTTTCTGATATGTAATATTTAATAATTATCAATTATATGGACGGATGTTATTGGTGTTCTTATTAATACATGTATGAATTTGGCTTTTTTAAGACATTCTTTACATTAAAATTTCATTTTATCTCTTTCTTATCAGTACAAGTTCTGCACCTCTCTTCAATATTGTTTGGTATTAGTAGTTATATCTGGATGTAAAATTTATTTCATTAATAATTAAGTTTAAACATTTTCTTAACTTCCATTGTATTTTTTTAATCTGTTATGTTTCCATAACGTACATGTGTATATAAATAAATATATATTTAATTACATATAATAACCTTTAGTAAAAACTGTTGGCCAAGTTAATGAGTAGTATCATTAGTATATAAGATCTAAAATTATGTTTGATATAAACTAAGATGTTATAAGTTATGAAAGAAAATATCTTGGTAAATATATATATACACATATATTTCAAGCCATATTTGATGGTTTTTGTTAACTTCTAATGTTGCACCCTAATAGATAACCAATTTTATGTAGTTTGTTCAATTTCATAAGATTCATTTTTTAAGAGAGGAAAGCTAACAATTTTCAGTCATTTGATGATAAAATACTTAATTAACTAAAGTCTTGATTGTGTGAACTAGTTTTGTGGGGAATCGTTCAGTTGCACTTGCAAACCTTGATTGTGCAGTTGCAACCTTCATAAACCAAAGATTATGGGTTCAAATCCTGGTGCCCAGGAGTCTTTTAACTGGTGTAATTCCCTCACCTGAAAGGACAAAAAAAAAAGATAGTTAAGATAATAAAATTCATTAATAAAATAAAATATTTGTTATATCATCTAAAATTAATTTGGTACAAAGAAAATTGTAATACTGATGTGGTTCAATGTTAAGTTCCTCTTTATGGTAGCTATGTCTGTAGAGTTGCAATTACTGCATGTGGTCAGGTTCTTCTTATTCCAATCATCAGGATGCCAAATCCACTGTTTAGAAGGCTTATGCATGAGATGGTTACAAGTAATATCTTCACATCTTAAGATACTATTTTGCTGATGCTGAACATAGCAGCAACCGCCATCCGTGGCTAAAAATCAATTATGCTTCTTTGTTTCACTGAAAATGCTCACTATAATGGTTGAATTATGAGATTAGGTTTTAAGCCTGTACAACAAAATGTTAAACAGTTTGCCCACCAACAACAAAATGATGGTTTCTTGTTATATTTTGAATCACCTCAGCAGCCTCATGGTAGAACCAATATGAAAAAATAAATTTTAACAATTCTTGGTGAATCTCTGATTTTAAATTGACTATTCATTATTATTACAATCATTTAAGTAATAAATATCATATCATTTGTTCATTTCAAAAAGTCATCTAGGAACATTTCATAAAATTAAATCATTAAGTGCTTTGCTGAATTCCCCTCTCTGTAAAATCTAAACATTGTGTAACTATGTTTGATATATAAAAGGTTTGTAAGTTTTAGTAGGTTTATATATCAACAAATTTTGTCTTCAAAACGGATAACACAACACTCTAATTAAAAAACACAAATTGATTTTTCAGTGTTCTGATTTGGGTATTTACTTGATATAATTTTTTTTACATTATTTAATGTAAGTTGGATTTTCGTATATTTGTATCCCTCTATAATATACTGTTATTAGGTCAAGCTTACAAAAATGATCATGAGAAAAAAAGAAATGAAATATAGCAATGTGACTTATCATCAAAACTCTTCTCTGATATGATAACAGAATACAGAACAGTCTCACTTTCAACAGCTTTATTGCTTCAGGAGTGGTCAGAAAGGAGCAGTATTGATATGACACCATCCATAGACTGCTGAGCAATGTCAATAAAAGGTGAATAGTGCTCAACTGCTAGCAGTCGGAGCAGTACCAGGGGCGGTGGACAGTACCCTTTGCCTTTACGAAGGCAAAATAGCTCCTTTATCTTGTTATTTCTGGCATTTAGATAATCAAACTATTCTAACTAGAGTTGGAAGGTTGATATTCATTCAGCTGGTCTGACACGCATTAAATTTCAACCTGCTCATCCCAGATCGAAACTAGCACCTCTAGGCTCGATGTTGATGAGGTGATAACAGCCATTACATCCTCTCAAGTATTATCTATGTGGAACATCATTTATATCACTATGCTCTGTGATACCCATTCAAGGTTATGATATACTGGATCTTTCCTGTCTATAAGTAGCCTCTGCTTTATATTCTCTTAATCACAGTTACTGAAAACGTAAATGTAGTTGAAAGCTTCCAACAGTTTACTGCATTCAATATTAGATTTCATCTTTAAATGATTTCAGTTGCTTATATCATGATTTGGGCAAGTTATAGATTCGTATTTCATTCCATAACTCTTTTTTAAAATATTTTTTTGTATATTGTCAAAACTGTTTCTTAGTGATTTTTATCACTAAATAGCAGACAACACATGAAGCATTTTGGTATAGTTTTTCTAATATGACGTTCTAGTTAGAACAAAAAGCTGGATCCACAAATTACAATGACCACAGGTTTAAGAATCATTAAAGCTCATGTCTATTGTGATAAATTTATTGTTATCAACTAGTATTAAAACAAAATCAAATGAACATAGCATTGTACAGAAAAAATTGCATATGTACATTCCAATAATATAATTTATATCATTTTTAATATTAATTATATCAGTAAAGGTTGTACGATTTGATACACTCCTGTAGAACTTGGGTTTGCTTTCAGCTCGACATATTTTTGATTATTATTGTATAAAATGAAATAAAAATTACCCAAGAAAAACAAAACAAAATGAGATCTTATAAAAAAAAAAATACTAATTATTAAAATTATAACAGAACTTAAATTTGATGCAACTTGTCCACCTTTAACTGAACTTAAGAAACCTAGGAAATTAAGAACTATGTTCATACATTCCAATTCAACTGCATAGGTTTACTTCTCACTAATAGTCCATACATAAAACCGGAGGCCGTGGCAAAAAAGTTGTTTCAATTCATACTAAGGTGTGGCCTTAAAATTTGACCATGTCCTTAGACCTGATGAGAAAAATGCATGTCTGCCACTGGAACACAAAATGGCGGTCAAGTGAAGATAGATAGAGACCCTATAGACATAGAGAGCTACCAACCTTTTAAATTTATAGTATTTACTGTTCTAAAACATGAAATAATAATCAGCCACCCCATACCCTTAGAGATTTCAAGTCGAAAATTTGAATTTACGATTCAAAAAGATGACTTCTTTTCAGTTTTTAGCTTATATCACTGAAACTATACGTTCTAGCGATAATAGTGTCAGAAGTAAAATTAAAATCACTTTGGACATACGCATCACAAATATACGGAATTGCCAAAAAAACTCACATTCAGAAATTACAAATATTCCAGGCCAAAACCTTCAGAACAATTACTCAAGCACCTTGGTATGTTAGTAACGTAACTCTCCACAAAGACTTGCAAACCGTCACAGAACATATACAAACTTACTACAAAAGGTTTCACAACAAGCTCTATGGTCACCCCAATAGACTCATCCAAGACATGGCCAATAAAAACATGCCCGATAACATCCGCAGAAGGCTGAAAAGGAGTTGGATGAGAGATCTCCTTAATTAACCTCAAACATGACTGAAGATAAACCACTGGGTTTTTCTCTTCCTCATGCTTATCATGCCCTTTCTCCTAGTCTATTTGTACAGTTATCTCATTCACTGGTTGTCAGTGGACATTGACAGTTGTGAATTAAAAAATAAAGAGGAAAAAAAAGAAGAAGTAAAATTAAAGGTAATTTGTAAGGACAAACATTATGAAATAAATACCTTTTTTTTGCCAGGGGCTCCTGGACTATAAACCATCATTTGTAGGTCCCGACTAAGGGATAAATTAGAAAAAATTAAACCTTTAAAATATAAAGTTAAAACAGAAGTACTTCCCTGTAGTAACCATATCTGAGAATAAATGCAAAATTCTAGTCCAAAAAATATATATAGATTAATCATTGCCAACTAGATGAAATCAAAACAAGATAATTAGATTCATTATTTTCAAAAATGAAACTTTGTAATATATCAAGAAAAAACATTTTTATTTCCTCACCCACAAAATTAGTGGTTTCATGTTATGTAGATACTAGAAATTAAAAAATCTTTCCATCTTAAATTTTTCTCCAAGACTGATGTTCCAATTTTTACTTTCACTTATGTATATATATGTAATATATAATATAAGTAAGGGTAAGTATTGCGATTGTGAAAATTTTCGAATTTCAGTTTTCAAAGGAAATACGTTTTTTGAGGTCCCCTGAGTTCAAATAACCAAGTGTCCTAAAATGGTCTGTGTGTGTGTTAACAGTCTAGCTCATAAACGAAAAGTCGTACAAAACTGATATTATGTATTTAAGATTTGCCGGATGTGATAGCAACTTTTTCGTTAAAATCGGCAAACAGGAAGTGCCACTTTATATGAACGCTGAAACACATTTTTACAGTTTTCTCAAAAACGGCTCTAACGATTTTGATCAAACTCGGTGTATCATTGTATAATTAAGTGGTCTTTAATATCATTTTTCTAAAGATATTTAATAAAGTGTCTTTCCTAAGAACATCTTTCATAAGAAATAAGTACCTAAATTTATACTTTTATTCTCAGTTCCATATTTCAACACTGCAATCACCACCTCTGAAATCAAATTACTCATTGTCTGCATAGATAACTTTTTCAACTAAAAATACTACTAAAATGACATAGTCAAAAATGTTGAAATTGGAGTTAGTCATTCTGTGGTTTATAAAAGCAAAGGAAGTTGTGTGGTTTATAAAAGCAGATGGAGTGACTAGATTTTTATTGCCTGTCTTCGTTATATTAAATAGACATTTTGTAATAATGGTCTTAATGACTTGTTATTTGTAAGCTTTAAGCTTTAGCTCCGTTTAAAATGCATTTCAAAAAATTTTATAATAGCCCAGCATTGCCAGAAAATAATTTCTATTCAAAGTAGAGAGGTAAGTGAAAGTTGTGTTGCGCGCACCAGATTTTTTTTTTTAGATTGGCACTAGTCACTCCATAAAATTACCATTTTATTTCCAAATAGTGTTCAATTAAAGGTTTCTTAAATCCACACCTCAATCATATATGAAGATAAAGAGAATATAAATTTTTTAAAATATTTATACCAAAACCTCATATGAAAATTAATTAAAATAATTTTTTTTAAGGCTAAGTAGAATGATTCCTAAAAACTTTCTTTTTTTAAAATTGTTTGTAGTGATAACAATTTATGTATAAACCATTTTCATTTTTTTGTATAAATTTCAAATAATATATTTTGAAATAACGTTAGGCTATTCTGAACATTCATGAGAAAATAAAAAAAAAGTTCAGCAAATGTCACGTCTTTACTTAATAATTAAACTGTCAAGAATGTACCTTATTGACAGATGTCAGCATTTAATAACTTCATATAAAAAAAAGTACATAATAAGTTTTAAGAACTATTCTCAAAATAAAGCTGGTTATCCTAGTAATCAACTTGCAGTCCAAGTAAGAAGGAAAACATTATACGCAATATCTAATACTTCCAATAAAAAATTTTCCTCTACAAAGAATCATTAATTTGAATTATTTAGATTTATCAAGCTTCAGTCCTGTCTCGTACTACTGTTTCAGGCCATTTAACATAAAACATTTCATTGTAAAAAAATTTTGTTAATTACAAGATCACCTTAAAAGATGAATTAATTCA